CCAACACCAAAAAAACAACTCTATTATGACCATCATCATCATCACCGCCGCCACCATCACTCCATCTCCTCGACGGACGTTGTTCCATGTTCGGAACGCGGCGTTCTCACCGCCTACCCGGAGGTTTGCGTGGGGGTGGGGGAGCGTTAAGCATTTGCATCGCGTGATGCAAGAGGATGAGAACTCAAGAATCGATTTACATCTTTATTTGCGTCTTTCGGTGAAGTCACGTAGATCGGTTAACGCAAATAATCAAACTACAAAAAAACCTACGACGTTTCGATCGCAACACGAGCGGGTGATGGTCGCTTGTGTTTTTGTTATTTTTTTGAACTCATCTACGTGACCCTTTGGTTCATTCGGTAAAGTCACGTAGAAAATAAATACATTCAATAATAGAATACGACGTTCCGATCGCGACAAGCGACCGCCATCAGGTAGAACTGAATTTGAGAGAGAGACACACAGACAGACACACAAGCAGAGAGAGACACACAGAGACACACAGAGAGAGACACACAACATAGACACACAGAGACACACAGAGACAAACAGAGAGACACAGAGACACACACAGAGAGAGACAACACAGACCCACAGAGAGAGACAACACAGAGTCAAACAGAGAGACACAGAGACACACACAGAGGGAGACACACAGAGACACAACATAGACACACAGAGACACACACACAGACACACAACATAGACACACAACAGAGACACACAGAGACACACAGAGAGAGACCCACAGAGAGAGACAACAGAGACCCACAGAGAGAGACAACAGAGACCCACAGAGAGAGACAACAGAGACCCACAGAGAGAGACAACACAGAGACAGAGAGACACAACACAGAGACAGAGAGACACAACACAGAGACAGAGAGACACAGAGACACACACAGAGGGAGACACACATAGACACAGAGAGAGAGACACAACATAGACACACAGAGACACACACAGAGACACACAACATAGACACACAGAGACCCACAGAGACACACAAAGAGACACAGAGACACACACACAGAGACACACAACATAGACACACAAAGACACACAGAGAGAGACAACACAGAGACAAACAGAGAGACACAGAGACACACACAGAGACACACAGAGGGAGACACAGAGACACACAACATAGACACACAGAGACACACAGAGAGAGACAACACAGAGACACACAGAGAGACACAGAGACACACAACATAGACACACAGAGACCCAATGCCTCTGTGTCGAGGCCTTACATAGAGAGAGAGGAGGAGGGGGGGTAGATAGACAGGTGGGTCTGCTACCTACGTGACTTTACCTAAAGACCCAAAGAATATGAATTACTACTGCACTCACGAAAGCTTTAAGTCAAGTCTTCTTTGGTTCTTTCGGTAAAGTCACGTAGAATGAGAATAAAATAATAAATTGATAAAATAAAATAACACAATAATAATCTCACGACGTTTCGGCCACAACACAAGCGGCCTTCATCAGGTGAAGGGACGAGACTGTCTGGTAGGACAGCGCTGGAGTGAAAGAGCCACGTTCAGATCACGGCTTTTAAGCCTCAACTTTAGCACCCTCTGTTCCGACCATGGACGAACTCGTCCGTCTGAACGGGGCCCGTAGCTATCCGTGGTGCTAAAGTTGAGGCTAAAAGGCCGTGATCTGAACGTGGCTCTTTCACTCCAGCGCTGTCCTACCAGACAGTCTCGCCCCCTTCACCTGATGAAGGCCACTTGTGTTGTGGCCGAAACGTCGTGAGATTATTATTGTGTTATTTTATTTTATCAATTTATTATTTTAGTCTCATTCTACGTGGTGACTTTACCGAAAGAACCAAAAGAAGATGAATCATTGCAGTCACGAAAGCTTTAAATCTTTAAGTCAAGATTTAGTCGATTTACATATTTGCCAAATCGTCCTTACTTCGGGGGGGGGGGGGGGGTATTGAATTTATGCATACCGTTATCTCTGCCCGACCGTGGCTCAGTCAAAGCAGGGTGGACGAGTGCTCGCTCGTCGCTGCCTGAATGGGCTGGGCGGTGCAGCGAGTAGGATCCGCCTGAGCGCACCGGCGCAAACCTGACAATCGTTTTTTTTTCACGCGCATGGCACAATCACATCGCATCGTCCGGTTGCGATGCGATTGTGTCAATGCCAACATTCTTAACAGCAGCAGCATTACGAAAATGCGAATACCCCCCCCCGCCTCCCTCCCACCGCCACCGTAGCCTCTGACAGGCTGTTACACATCTGTAAACCCCTTCTTACCAAGTGTCTAGCTTGTTACAGACCAATCCAGACCTATACGCTACACTGCACTATACACTACACTACTATACACTATACTACTAAACACTACACTATACATCACTACAAACCTGTCAATCCCTTATCAGTTATTGGTCACCCCGTGCCCCCTTATGAATCTCAACGTTCATCCTACAAAGTCCCATCACAAGGGGATAAACACAAACACACAGACACACAAAAACATTTATGTTGTTGCCCGAATTGGAACGTCTGGAACGCCGCCGTGTGGACCTGGAAGCTCAATTTCCCTGTACAAGAATACGGAGTATAAACCGTGTGGGTTGACACGTGTGCTGTTGAGGGCAAGTGCTGATAGCGAGTAGCAGCAGCAGCGCCTATGAAGGAGACAAAGACAAAGATCCCACGTGTAGCCTCTAACAGACTGTCGGGGCAAGTGCTGATAGCGAGTAGCAGCAGCAGCGCCTATGAAGGAGACAAGGACAAAGGCCCCCCGTGTAGCCTCTAACAGACTGTCGGGGCAAGTGCTGTTAGTGAGTAGCAGCAGCGCCTTCGAAAGCCGGGACTGCAACCCACACACACCCGGCCGTCTTTGTCTCCCCAGTGGCGATGTTTATACACCGCACCACGTACTCATTAGCAATTGGCACTTTTAAACCATTACCCCTGGCGCTTTAAAACCATTACCCCTGACACTTTGAAACCATTACCCCTGGCACTTTGAAACCATTACCCCTGGCACTTTGAAACCATTACCCCTGGCACTTTGAAACCATTGCCCCTGGCACTTTGAAACCATTGCCCCTGGCACTTTGAAACCATTACCCCTGGCACTTTGAAACCATTACCCCTGGCACTTTGAAACCATTGCCCCTGGCACTTTGAAACCATTGCCCCTGGCACTTTGAAACCATTACCACCGGCACTTTGAAACCATTACCCCCGACACTTTGAAACCATTACCCCTGGCACTTTGAAACCATTACCCCTGGCACTTTGAAACCATTACCCCTGGCACTTTGAAACCATTACCCCTGACACTTTGAAACCATTACCCCTGGCACTTTGAAACCATTACCCCTGGCACTTTGAAACCATTACCCCTGGCACTTTGCAACCATTACCCCTGGCACTTTGAAACCATTACCCCTGGCACTTTGAAACCATTACCCCTGGCACTTTGAAACCATTGCCCCTGGCACTTTGAAACCATTACCCCCGGCACTTTGAAACCATTACCCCCGACACTTTGAAACCATTACCCCTGGCACTTTGAAACTATTACCCCTGACACTTTGAAATTAGTATTTAAACTGAAGTGAGTTGCAATTACAATCGAGTAAATTAAAACCAACGAACCACAGACTCTAAAAAGACTCCGAAAAACTCAGCTCGCTCGCAAGACTCGTGGATAGTCTCGCACATCCGTTGAAGCCATTGAAATGCGTTTAAAACGTACAATTTAACATCGATTGCTCGCTACGTGTAACATTACGTATCACACGAAGGAGAAAGAACAACAGAGACATTAACATCAATGTCATCATGATCAACCTGTTTGTCCCTACGGTGGAACAAAAAAAAAGCAATCATCATCACATGGATCTCGCAAAGCTGAGCAGCAGGAGTTGAGTCTGGGCCTGTTCTTGAAGGAGCGATAATGCATCGTGCATAGCAGGGTGCTGTAGGCTGCTGGACTCGCCACGTTGTTAGCAACGGAGGCCACTGGCAGAGACGCACATGGTTGTACTGTACTTCAATGCTGCCTCGACTTTGCTCCTCAAACCCGCACTGAACAGCTCGGTGAAATGCGGTCGACGATTATCCGAACCGGTCCGTGGGCCTCCCGTAGGTCGACTCGGCCTCAATTGAGTATTTTACCTGGTGTCGATGTGTGTAAACATCGACACCGGGGAGACAAAGGCGGCCGGCGCGCGTGGTTTCTGACCACCGACCGCCTCGTGCACCAGTGCCGGCCTTCATAGATGCTGCTACTCGCTACTAACAGCACTTGCCCTAAAGGTATGTGAAGGCTACACGGGGGATCTTGGATGATGATGGTAGTGGTAGTGATGGTCCTATTTTTACCAGCAAGTGGTAATAGTAACAGCAATTCTAGCAAGACGGTGCGACCCAAACAATCGTTGTGAGCAACCAGCAGCAGCATCAGCATCATCATCAGCAACAGCATCAACAGCAGCAGCAACATCAGCATCAGCAACAACAGCATCAACAGCATCAACAGCAGCAGCAACATCAGCATCAGCAACAACAGCAGCATCAGCAACAGTATCAACAGCAGCATCAGCAACAACAGCAGCATCAGCAGCAACATCAGTAACATCAGCAACATCAGCAGTAACATCAGCAGCATCAGCAGCAACATCAGTAACATCAGCATCAACATCATCAGTACCCTTTGGTTTTATTCGGTAAAGTCACGGACAGTCCGGTCCCTTCACCTGATGAAGGCCACTTGTGTTGTGGCCGAAACGTCGTGATTTTTTTTACTTTACCGAATAAAACCAAAGAGTATGGATCATTGCAGTCACGAAAGCTTCAAATCTAGAATCATCAGTACCATCAGTAGTATCAGCAACATCATCAGTACCATCAGTAGTATCAGTAGCAACATCAGTAGTATCAGCAACATCATCAGTACCATCAGTAGTATCAGTAACATCATCAGTACCACCAGTAGTAGTATCAGAAGCTGTCCTTACCTGAACGCCCAGATCAGTAAGCACGCGTGCCTGTCGGCCAGTGAGTCAATGAATCAGCTGCTCCTGCTAACGCCCTATTCATTCACCAGATGCTCGCCAATACGCAAGCAAACAAACGTAAAAATATATATATTGGCGTAAGAATAAAACTGTTAAAACTTAAAAAAATATATTTAGGATTGTATCTATTATTTTTCTATTTGTACTCCTCTATCAGCCTATTGCGTTACGTCGCCGAAACAGCAAATAACTAAGATGTAAATAATATATTTATGTTAATTAATTGTATACAATCGGAACACCGCTATACACAACGCCCTGTCCGTAAATAATAGAGCAGTGAGGTTAAATCGCCTTTTATATGTAAGAATGTGGCTTGTGGGCGTGGCCCCGAGGGGGCGTGGCTACAGGGAGGGGGCGTGTCGCTAAAGAGATGTGGTTACCTATAATTGGGCGTGGTTACCTGGAGGGGGTGTGGCTACCTGTAGGGGGCGTGGTTACCTGTACAGTGGGGCGGGGCTCCGTGATGAAGGGTGGTTACCTGGAGGGGGTGTAGCTACCTGTAGGGGGGGCGTGGTTACCTGTACAGCGGGGCGGGGCTCCGTGATGAAGGGGATTATTCGTCTCGTGAAAAAAAATATAATCATAATAATATTCAAACGCCAACTATATAAACCTTTAGCAAGGAATAAAGTTACTAAATTAACCACACACAGTGCTTTGCGGTAAACATGTGTGGTTAAGGCCCAAAAAAGGGTAAAACTCCTATTGTTAATTTTCCAAACTTTTATACTGCCAAAAAAAAGGTCCAATTATGCTCTGATAATAATATATGATGAGATGTTAAAACAGCAAACTTAAACCTTTTTACAAGGAAACATGTCACAATACTTGTGGTCAGAATGCAAACAAAAATTTAGTATATTTAGTATATGCATCGTCCTTGAATCTGATTGGTCCACACCAGAGACAGCTGACTCTGGTGTGGACCAATCAGATTGGTGTTTTAACATCTCAATACCTATATTCTTGGGTCTTTCGGTAAAGTCACGTAGGTAGAAAAATAAAATAAAATAAAAAATAATACATGCGATATATTATTTTATCTTTTGTTTTTAGTGTTTTAACATCTCAATACCTATATTATTGGGTCTTTCGGTAAAGTCACGTAGGCACACATATATTATTATTATTTTTCTGCCTACGTGACTAATAGATTCCTGCAGTCACGAAAGCCTCAAATCACGTAGATAGGTTCAAATAAATGTTTTTGTTCTTTCCTTTGAACCTATCTACGTGACTTTACCGAAACACCCAAGAATATGAATTCCTGCAGTCACGAAAGCTTTCAGTAAAGATCTCAACAAGATCTCAACACTATTATTATTTTATCTCCATTCTACGTGAATTTACCGAAATAACCCAGAAGATGAATTCCTGCAGTCACGAAAGCTTTCAGTGAAGATCTCAACACCTGTTTTGTTGCCAGAAAAAAGGGAGAAGAAAACCTATTCTCACATTTTGGTATTGGCAAAGGAGGTCCCATGATGGAGCATTGTCTTTGAGACTGATTGGCCTACACCAGAGAGACACAGCAAGCAGGCTTCTAAAAGGCCTCGTCTCACCAGCAGCAGTGTCAGGCCAGACGACGACGCCAAAAGGCGAACAGCACAATGACAATGCCACACGGAGCAGAGCGTTTATAGCCCGTGGTGAGCAGCTACATCGTGTGATACCTCTTTCTTGCCAGCATCAAAGTATGAAGAAATGAAGAAAAGTACTCTTTGGTTTCTTTCGGTAAAGTCACGTAGATAGAAAATTAATAGATCACGACGCTTGTGTCGCGATCGAAACGTCGTGATCTATTGATTTTCTACCCACGTGGCTTCACCGAAAGAACCAAAGAGTAAGTGGATTCCTGCAGTCACGAAAACTTCAAATCAAGATTAAATGAAGAAGAGGTTTAACCCTTTCTGGCAATGAAACAATGAGTTGTGTTTGGATGTTCACGCACCAAATAGATCATCATCCTTTTTGTTGCAAGGAATCAAGTTACTACTTTCACCGCACGCGCTACTTGCGGTGGACATGCAGACAAAACATGGGCTCTGATAATCGCAGACGCATCGCCTTTGAAACTGATTGCCCTAACTCGTTCGTAAGTAGAGGAACCCCCCATGTATTTGAAATATTTTACTTAGTTAATTATTGTGATATTTTATTTCGTTAATAATTCTGATATTTTATTTCGTTAATAATTGTGATATTTAATTTAGTTATTAATTGTGATATTTTATTTAGTTAATAATTGTGATATTTTATTTCGTTGATAATTATGATATTTTATTTCGTTAATAATTGTGTTAATTTAATTTTATTCTTGGTTCTTTCGGTAAAGTCACGTAGAAGGGAAACAATAAAGAACCAAGAATATTAATCCCTGCAGTCACGAAAGCTTTAAATCAAAATTTATTTTATTTAGTTAATAATTGTGATATTTAATTTAGTTAATAATTGTGATATTTTATTTTGTTAATAATTGTGATATTTTATTTAGTTAACAATTGTAATATTTAATTTAGTTAATAATTGTGATATTTTATTTAGTTAATAATTGTGATATTTTATTTAGTTAACAATTACTCGCTTACCTGTGGTTATGTTAATTTACGGTCGTGGCTATGCAAATTATCAGGGGGGGGGAGCGTTATGCTAATTATCGCGCTGTTGATATGTTAATTTGTCGTTTTGGGACCGCACCTGGATAAGTTTCCCGCATGCGTTACCTCAATAAAGATGTTACGGCGACTGTACGTGCGTGATATTTAGACCTCACTCTGCAAACACATGCTAAGGCCATAACTCACACACCCGTGTGGATGAGTGTGTGTGTCTGTGTGGATGAGTGTGTCTGTGTGTGTGTCTGTCTCTACGCTTGCGAAACGTGGACCCCACTAATGGAACATCTTCGCCGGTTAGAAACATTTAGGCTGGCCTGCCTACGATCAATCCTCTGTTTAACCAGGCTGGATTGTGTGAGGAGCTCACAAATCCTTGAAAGATCTGGGCAAGGTCCCATCGGTGAACTCCTCCGGCAGGCAAGGCTGCGCTGGCTGGGTCATGTAGCCCGCATGCCCAATCACCGCATGCCGAAACAGCTTTTGTTTGGCCAGATCGAGGGGGCTAAACGGGCGCGGCACGGGCTAGAGAAGAGATGGAGTGATGTGGTACAGGAGGACGTGGAGCTGAGTGGACTTGCCGATGACTGGTACCAGCGGTGTCAAGATCGGCCTCTGTGGAGGAGGCTCGTGAAGGACGCTACTGGGCAGTTGGAGGCAGTCGCCCTCCAACAACAACGGAGGGCGGAGGAGCGACGCTCACAACAACGAGCGGAGCGCCGGGTGGCTAAAGCACAGCGAGTTGGCACAGTAGGGGGCACAGGTGGTGCATCAGCCAGTCATCTCAGTCATCTTAGTCAGTCGACCCGTGGCACCTGGGTCTGCCCCGTGACCTCCTGCCAGCGGGCGTTCGACACTTCACATGGCCTCAAGGTGCACATGGCCTGGCACAAGCGTCGTGGTGACGTCACCGCCACTTAGTGGCGAATGGCGGTTGTTGTTGTGTCTGTGTGTGTATCTGTGTGTGTGTCAATGTGTATCTGAGGAGCGGTAGTGTAGCGGTTAGCGCTCTGCGCTATGAACCTTGCGACCCGAGTTCGATTCCCGCTCACGGCCAACACCCAGTGACGATTATCTGAACCGGTCCTGGGCCTCCCCTAGGTCGACTCAGCCTCAAATTAGTACCTGGTGCGGTGTGTAAGTAAACATCGCCACTGGGGAGACAAAGGCGGCCGGGCTTGTTTGTTGGCCACCCACCCCCTCGTGTGGCGTGGCGGCCTTCATAGGCGCTGTGTTAAGGCGACACGGGCGGATCTTTGTCTTTTTTGGGGGGGTAGTGAGTGGTCCTGTAATCCGGTTAGATCTGTGTGTGTGTGCACGAGACACAGCATCTGTGTAACTCTATTGGCACCAGGTGCGCCTTACCTTCCGCAGCGTCTTATAGCGTGGTGGTAATTAGCATAGCCAGAGACAAAGATCCCCCGTGTAGTCTGTAAGAGACTGTTGGGGCAAGTGCGGTTAGCGAGCAGCAGCAGCGCCTATGAAGGCCGACACGGCACAGGATGTGGGTGGGTGGCCAAATACCAACCCCGGCCGCCTTTGTCTCCCCCCCGGTGGCGATGTTTTACAGCACACACCGCACCAGGTATTCGTTTGAGGCTGAGTCGACCTAGGGGAGAAGCCCAGGATCGGTTCAGGTAATCGTCACCGGTGTTGACCGTGAGCGGGAATTGAACTCGGCCCGTAGCCAGGTTCGTCGAAGCGGCGGATCACGAAAACCCCACACACAAAGACAAAGGTCTCCCGTGTAGCCTCTAACAGATTGTTGGGCCAAGTGCTGTTAGCGAGTAGCAGCAGGACCGATGAAGGAGACAAGGACAAAGATCCCCCGTGTAGCCTCTAGCAGACTGTTGGGTCAAGTGCTGTTAGCGAGTAGCAGCAGCGCCTATGAAGGAGACAAAGATCCCCCGTGTAGCCTGTAACAGACTGTTGGGGCAAGTGTCGTTAGCGAGCAGCAACCTATGAAGGCCGAAACGGCACACGAGGGGGTAGAGGTGGCCAGCACCACACCCGGCCGCATTTGTCTCCCCCAGTGGCGATGTTTTCACACGCGAAACCAGGTACTAGTTTGAGGCTGAGTCGACCCAGGTGTTGGCCGAACTCGGGTCACCAGGTGCGTAGCGCAACGCGCTAACCGCTACGCCACCCCCACCCCCCCCCCCCACACATTGACACACCGGGTGACGTCACGCAGGTGTGCGTCAGCAGGTGACGTCACGCAGGTGTGCATCAGCAGGTGACGTCACGCAGGTGTGCATCAGCAGGTAAAGTCACGCGCGCACGAGGTGACCGGTGATGCGCTCGCGAAAAATGTATTCCGCGTTGAATGGACACGCGTCATGTCGCAACGGGCACGCAGACAAAGATCGCTCCGTGTCGCCTACACGGGCTGTTGGGGGCATTTGAAGGCCGCCGTTTCGCAATTGAACTATTTTTTACTTAACCAGGCAAGGTCCCCACTGAGCCGCGCATGCTCATTTTCAGAAGCGACCTGGCTATCACAAACGAGAGATCAACGAAGTGGGCTTATCGTCATGATCATGATCACGTGGACATTTTATAGCAGCGGCAAAATAACTCCAAACGCGTGACCTTGATTATAAATGTGGAGGGGAAAACCCGGAGGACCAGGATAAACATTCCACCTGACCACCACGGGGAGGCAGAGACAGCAGTAGGCGTCGTCAGGGTCGGGATCGAACCCACGACCTCCTGTATACCAGGCGAGGTAGTCAACATCTCCTAGCCACCGTGATGATGAGAGAAAGACACGCAAACGCCAAATATACAGCAGTAGGTATCATCAGGGTCGGGATCGAACCCACGACCTCCTGTATACCAGGCGAGGTAGTCAACATCTCCTAGCCACCGTGATGATGATGAGAGAAAGACACGCAAACGCCAAATATACAGCAGTAGGTATCGTCAGGGTCGGGATCGAACCCACGACCTCCTGTACACCAGGCGAGGTAGTCAACATCTCCTAGCCACCGTGATGATGATGAGAGAAAGACACGCAAACGCCAAATATACAGCAATAGGTATCGTCAGGGTCGGGATCGAACCCACGACCTCCTGTACACCAGGCGAGGTAGTCAACATCTCTTAGCCACCGTGATGATGATGAGAGAGAGAGACACGCAAACTCCAAGTATACAGCTTGCATCGTCAGGGTCGGGATCGAACCCACGACCTCCTGTATACCAGGCCAGATAGTTAACATCTCCTAGCCACCGTGTCACCCCTAAAAACACAATAAAATTCAAAGCTCTCCCATATAGCCGACACAGGTTGTTCGGGCAAGTGCAGTAGGCGAATAGCACTTATGAAGGCCGTGTTGCAATTGAAAACGCAATAAAAGAGACGAAGCTTCCCCACATAGCCTACAGAGGGAGGTTGTTGGTTCGTGTCATGAATGCCGTGTCGCAATTGGGGGGGTGGGGGCGAAAAGAAAAGACAAAGATCCCCCGTATAGCCTTGAACAGGATGTTGGGGAAAGGGCCATTAGCGAGTAGCAACCCCTGTGAAGGCCGTCATGGGTACATGAAGGGAAGTGGGTGGCCAGCATTGCTCGCACGTAAATGTTGCAAATCATCTACAGCATACGATGATGGCTTTGAATTTTTTTTACAAGGGTTTAAAAAACAATCCGGACAATGAACAAATATCCTTCCGTACAGCCTTGACCGATCGTTCGCATGAGTGCTGTTACGCACGAGGAAGTGGGTGGCCAACACGACACCCGACCGCCTTTGTCTCCCCCCCCCCCCCTCAGTGCTCATGTTTACACACGCGCACAGACACCACACCAGGTATTCATTTGAGGTGTGAATATACCTGGGGGAGGATCCGGGACCAGGTTCAGATATTCGGTGCCACTTATTATTGGTGGCGGTGGTCGTGAACGGGAATCGAAGTCGGGTGGCTGGGTTTCTTAGCGCAGCGCGGCGCTAACTGCAGCGTCACCGTTCCCCATCACAAGACAAAGATCCCCCCCAGTAGCCTGTAACAGACTGTTGGGGCAAGTGCTGTGAGCGAGCAACACCTATGAAGGCTGGAAAGGCACACGAGGCGGGTTTGGGTGGCCAGCACCACGCCCGTCCGCCTTTGTCTTCCCGGTGGCGATGTTTTTTTATTTATTTATTTAAAGCTTTCGTGACTGCAGTAATTCATATTCTTAGCTCTTCTCGGTAAAGTCACGTTGAAGGGAAACAATAAAATAATAAAAAATATATAAAACGATACAAATTATCACGACGTTTCGACCATAACACAAACGGTCATCATCAGGTGTGAAAAACAACACACCTGATGATGACCGTTTGTGTTATGGTCGAAACGTCGTGATAATTTTTATTGTTTTATATATACTTTATTATTTTATTGTTGCCCTTCAACGTGACTTTACCGAAAGAGCTAAGAAGATGTTTTTGTTTTGTTTCTCCGCGGGGTACTCATTTGAGGCTGAGTCGACCTAGGGGGAGGCCCCCTGACCGGTTCAGATAACCGACCGGAACTGGCGTTGGTGGGTGGCCGCGAGTGGGAATCGAACTCGGGATGTTTGCTGGGTTCGTAGCGCAGCCACCACCCCCCCACCTCCCCCCCCCCAACACACACACGCGCGCAGTGTACATACGATAATTATTTGCATACAGCTAAAGATCTGTTAAACGTGTCCAGTTTCATCAGTTCCGGAAAAGCGAGCACGGTTGAACGGTTCCTGCACTCTGCCCCGCGACGAACCCCGGCCAGCTACCTGCACCTGGCAGAGTTAGATTCCAGAACCTGGGCTAAACATGAGTAGCGGGTAGGGTGTTAGCAATGAACTCTTTATTTTATTTATTGAGATTTATTTTTGACCAGGTAAGGTCCGCTCAGCTATGTCGCTGTTTTTTTTTTAGAAGCGTCCTGGCTATCGCAAACGATAGCTCAACGAAGTGGTGGCTTGTCATCATCATCATCATCACGTGGACATTTATAGGAGCAGGCAAGTAACTTCTGAACGCGTGACGTTGATTATAAATGTGGAGGGGGAAAACGGAGGAACCGGAGAAAAATCCATGCGACCACCATGGGGAGGGAAAGAGAGAGACACGCAAACTCCAAATATACAGCGGCAGGCATTGCCAGGGGTCGGGATCGAACTCACGGCCTCTTGTATACCAGCCGAGGTAGTTAACATCTCCTAGCCACCGTGATGATGATGACGATGAGAGAGAGAGAGAGACACGCAAACTCCAAATACAGCGGCAGGCATTGTCAGGGGTTGGGATCGAACCCACGACCTCCTGTACACCAGGCGAGGTAGTTAACATCTCCTAGCCACCGTGATGATGATGACGATGAGAGAGAGAGAGAGACACGCAAACTCCAAATACAGCGGCAGGCATTGTCAGGGGTTGGGATCGAACCCACGACCTCCTGTACACCAGGCGAGGTAGTTAACATCTCCAAGCCATCATCAGCTCTGGGGGCATGAGACAACGGTTGCCTGGCGGCAATGACCCGGTGTGGTGAAGTATGGTCAAACAACTCCCCCCCCACCTCACCACCACCCCCACCCCCATATTAACATCAGTCAGCCAAAATCATCACCATCATCGTTACCATAATCACCATCATCACCGTTATCATATCATCAGTCAATCAGAATCATCACCATCATCGTCGCTATCATGATCACCGTCATCATCATCATCGTTATAATCATTGCCAGTCATCATATGAGCAGTCATTGATCACGTTTATAATCGTCATCATCAATTCCGCCATTTAAAAAATCTTTATTGTCATCATAATCATCACGATCATCCGTGCATATGGTCCTGCGATCAACGCAACCATCATCAGTGAATGAGTGAACAAGGAGCAATGATGATTCATCATCGTCGTCGTCGAAATAGTAACGACGATTATCTTTATTAACCCAGGGAAAGGCATCACGGAGTCTCAAGACTCTGTTCTCAGGAGGATCTTGCTCTTACATTCGGGGAAAAAAACATTGGCCACAAATTACATTGAACTGATCTTGACTATATATATTTTATTTTACCAGGTAAGGAGGACCACTGAGCTATGTAGATCTTTTTCAGAAGCGACCTGGTTATCACAAACGATAGCTCAACGAAGTGGGCTTATCGTCATCATCATCGTCACGTGGATACTTGTGGCAGCAGCAGCAGCCCAATAACTCTACAACGCGTGACGTCAATTCTAAATGTGGAGGGAGAAAAACCGGAAGAACCGGAGAAAAATCCACGCGACCACCACGGGGAGAGAGAGAGAGGGAGGGAGACACGCAAACTCAAAATATTACCACAGGTGTCAGGGGTCGGGATCGAATTCATGGCCTCCTGTAGACCGGGCGAGGTAGTTAACATTTCGCCACGGGGAGAGAGAGAGAGAGACACGCAAACTCCAAATTTACAGCAGCAGGTATTGTCAGGGTCGGGATCGAACCCTGGCACCTCCTGCACTTCAGGCGAGGGAGTCTTGGCTTCATAAGTGGGAGGAAAATGAGAGAACACGGACGGACGGACGGGTGGGAGAGAGACAAATCCACACAGACGGGTTCGTCATCCCGCTTGCTGTGCTGCCAGCCCCTGGCCACCGCACGCTGCGAGCGAGTTGAGTTGCTGAGTGAATGAATGAGTGAGTGGATGAGTGAGTGAGCGACTAAAAAGTACGACGGAATGACGAGTGAAGGAGCGGGGCGAGCGATTAACCGAGCGAGAGAGCGAGACCGATCGAATGATCCGGCACGTAGACAGATCAGCCAACCGGCGGTTGTCAATTAACTGCGACGGTGGTCCCCCGTCATGGGAATGTGGAATTTCCTGGCTCCTCCAACAAAGTATCAACGGGCGAGTGAAGGGTGGTGGGGGGGGGGGAGACGACGTTGTCACGGGAGGGTCACGTGACCCAGTTTCTTCCTCAGCAGCTCGTTTTGAACTTCCACCTCTTCGTAGGCGGACAGAAGCGCGGGCAGCGTGGGGTCGTGACCTGGGCAGCGTGGGGGAGGGGGAGGGATGGGGGAGGGGCACGACAGACAAAAGACAAAGATCCCCCGTGTAGCCTTCAACAGGTTGCAGGGGCAAGTGCTGCTCGCGAGTAAGCAGCACCTACGAAAGGCCGTGAGGGGAGATGGTTGGCCGGCGCCACGCGCCCCCCACCCCCCCCCCCCCCCGACGCCTTTGTCTCTCCCCGGCGCTGATGTTTTACGCAAGACGCATCGGGGCTTCTCATTCGTGGCCGAGTTGCCCTTAGGGGAGGTTCCGGGACCGCCATTCGTGAGCGCGAGTCGAACTCGGGCTCGCCGGGGTTCGGCGTACGTAAAATATTTACCCTAACTAACACGTTCTCTTTGATTTTGATTGAAAGCTTTCGTGACTGCAGGGATTCATGGTCTTGGTTCTTTCGGTAAAGTCACCGCCACGTAGAAGGGAAACGATAAAATAATAAAAATATGAAACAGTACAATTCTCACGACGTTTCGACTGCAACACAAGCAATCATCATCAGGTGTGAACACCACGGCAAGAAACAACATTTTGATTATTTTTTCAAAAGTTTTTCTTGCTGTGGTTTTCACACCTGATGATGATTGCTTGTGTTGCAGTCGAAACGTCGTGAGAATTTTATATTGTTTTATATTTTAATTATTTTATTGTTTCCCTTCCACGTGACTTTACCGAAAGAACCAAGAATACGTTCTATTTGGTTCTTAAAGTCGCGTAGCTGGAAATAAAATAAAACAAAAAACGACGTTTCGATCGCAACAAAAGCGACCTTCATCAGGTGGCACCGATACAGCACGACAACCGCTGACATAGGAGAAAGAGTTCTCCTGCTGTATCTGTGCCACCTGATGAAGGTCGCTTGTGTTGCGATCGAAACGTCGTGTTTTGTTTTATTTCTAACTACGTGACTTTACCGAAAGGAAAATTGATTCCTGCAGTCACGAAAGCTTCAAATCAAGAACTAACACATTTATTTTTTTTAAACTAGTTAAGGCCCCACTATACTGAGTTGCTATGTAGGAGCTCTTTTATTTTTTTCATTATCAGAAGCGACCCGTCCACCACAAATGATAGCAGCTCAACGAAGTGGCGGCGCATCGTCGTCATCGTCATCACCGCATGGACATTTATAGCGGTCGCCAAATCCGCTCGTCCGCCTCGGTTTACGACGCCATCGATTAGCGACATTTCGATTGACGATCCGTCTCTCGCCGTAGGGTCGGTCCCCGTTGTTTCGTTTTTAACGATGAATGTTCGATTAACGGCGGCGTTTTTACATCACGCGGACCCGCCGATTTCAGCCAATCGGAGCGCTCCCGTGAGTGTGGACTCGGCGGCAGACCTCGGCCAATCAGCGACGTCCCTTTTATGAGCGTTTTTTTTAAAGAGAAACTGGCTCGCACAGTCTTGACTTAAAGTAGGGGTTGGGAACCTTTTTTCTGCCAAGGGCCATTTGGATATTTATATAACATCATTCTCGGGCCATGAAAAATTATCAACTTAAAAATAAGCCCGTTATATTTGGTCAAACATTTAATTAACTCACCCCTAATGCGATGGGCTGGAAATGCTTCTCTTTGGCGAGGCGTGTGATGATGTAAGCTGGTATTGATGATGTTAGCTGGTATTGATGATGTTGGCTGGTATTGGGGATATTAGCTGGTATTGATGATGTTAGCTGGTATTGGTGATGTTAGCTGGTATTGATGATGTTAGCTGGTATTGATGATGTTAGCTGGTATTGGTGATGTTAGCTGGTATTGATGACGTTAGCTGGTATTGGTGATGTTAGCTGGTATTGATGATGTTAGCTGGTATTGACGATGTTAGCTGGTATTGACGATGTTAGCTGGTATTGATGATGTTAGCTGGTATTGATGATGTTAGCTGGTATCGATGATGTTATCTGGTATTGATGATGTTAGCTGGTATTGATGATGTTAGCTGGTATTGATGATGTTAGCTGGTATTGATGATGTTAGCTGGTATTGACGATGTTGCTACTCGCAACTGCTTTTCCAGGTTTGCTCTCCTAGATTTATTGAATTTCGAGTCCCGCCTGCGGTTGCCTTGGCAGGGCCAGAGACCAAATGATTTTGCGGGCCTCATTCGGCCCGTGGGCCGGACGTTTCCCACCCCTGACTTAAAGTTTTCGTTACTGCAGGAATTCATATTCTTTGGGTTCTATCTACGTGACTTTACCGAAAGACCCAAAGAATATGGCGAGCTAAGCTTTTCGATGTTTGATGTCACGTTGCTTATGGAAACGGCTCTGTTGAAAACTTGGTGTTGGGTTTTTTTCTGTAACTTAAAAGTTGAATGAGATCAATATTTATTCATTGAAATTGCGTGCTAAATATTGTAAGCTTTGTTTTTAGAGTGAAAAAAAATGGTCAATCTCCGATCGTTTAACAACTTCCTATATTCGATGGCTTTCGTGGAACCAATTAACGGCGCTAACCGAGTGACAGCTCCAAAGAGCTGACGAAGTGGCTTATCATCATCATCATCGAAGTGGTTTATCATCATCATGGAAGATGGCTTATCATCATCATCATCATCACCACGGCGTGCAAATGTCTAGCGGCAGCCAAACACTCCACGAGAAACGATGATCCCTGAGCCCCAGTATATCACCCCCCCCCACACTCCACCCCACACTCCACCCCACACACCCCCCCCAAACACCCCCCCACACCCCCACCCCTCCAACTGTCTCACGGGGGGGCCTGCGGTGTCGCCGGCGGGGTTGGCGGGCCTCGGGGAGATGGGCGCCGCCCTTCCCACTCATCTCGACGGCCTGGGCTCGGGCCAGCAGCTCATTGAGGGCGTCCAACACGCGCGGGTTGTCGCCCCCTCCCCTCGCGTACATCATCCGCAACGCACTGGACACAAGAGACAAAGATCCCCCGTGTAGCCTCTAACAGATTGTTGGGGCAAGTGCTGTTGGCGAGATGCAGCAGCCTCTGTGGAAGACACACACACATCCACGCACACATCCACACACACACATCCACACAAACACATCCACACACACACACATCCACACACACACATCCACACACACACATCCACACACACACATCCACACACACACATCCACACACACACATCCACACACACACATCCACACACACACATCCACACACACACATCCACACACACACATCCACACACACACATCCACACACACACATCCACACACACACATCCACACACACACATCCACACACACACATCCACACACACACATCCACACACACACATCCACACACACACATCCACACACACACATCCACACACACACATCCACACACACACATCCACACACACACATCCACACACACACATCCACACACACACATCCACACAAAGATCCCCCATATAGCCTTAACAGACTGTAGGGGCAAGTGCTGTTAGCGAGCACCTATGAAGGCCGGAACGGCACACGAGGGGGTGGGTGGCCAGCACCACGCCCGGCCGCCTTTGTCTCCCCAGTGGCGATGTTTTTACACACCGCACCAGATACTCATTTGAGGCTGAGTAGACCTAGGGGAGGCCCAGGAACGGTTCAGATAATCGTCACCGGTGGTGTTGGCCGTGAGGGGGAATCGAACTCGGGTCGCCGGGTTCGTAGCGCAGCGTAGCGCTAAACGCTACACCACCGCTGGTGTTTCTTGTTATTGTTGTTGCTGTTAGTGTTCTTGTTATTGTTGTTGCTGTTAGTGTTCTTGTTGTTGTTGTTGCTGTTAGTGTTCTTGTTATTGTTGTTGCTGTTATTGATGTTATTATTGCTGTTTGTTGCTATTATTGTTGTTGTGTGTGTTTGATGATGCTGCTATTGTCATTTTTGTTGTTGTTGCTGTTATTGTTGCCGTTGTGTTTATTGTTATTGCTGTTATTCTCGTTGTTGTTGTTATTATTATTTTGTAGTTGCGTTTGTTGTTGTTGTTAGTATCGTTCTTGTTGTTGTTGTTGTTGTTTACCTGATCTCGGCTGACAGTCGCCCCCCCGTGTAGACTGGCGCCTCGTGAGTGGGGGGCTCGAAGGGCTCCACTTTCTGTGAGGGGCCCGGCTCATCGCGGGGGGGCACAGCCCCCCCATCCACCTGGCCAATCAGCATCCTTGGCGGGAACATGGCACAGAGACAAAGACAAAGATCCCCCGTGTAGCCTCTGACAGACTGCTGGGGACAAGTGCTGTTAGCGAGTAGCAGCAGCAGTGCCTATGAAGGAGACAAAGACAAAGATCCCCCGTGTAGCCTCTAACAGACTGCTGGGGCAAGTGCTGTTAGTAGTGAGTAGCAGCAGCCCCTATGAAGGAGACAAAGACAAAGATCCCCCGTGTAGCCTCTAACAGAGTGTCGGGGCAAGTGCACACGAGGGGGTGGGTGGCCAGCAACCACGCCCGGCCGCCTTTGTCTCTCCCCAGCGGCGATGTTTCACTACACTACACCGCACCCAGGCACTCATTTTGAGCCACTAACCGCTCCCACCTGCGCGTAACCTTCCAGTGTTTTTAGTCAATAATTAACGACGTTTAAGTGCCAGGTCCAACAGACCAGAACGACGCACGCACATACACACACACACATACACACACACGCACGAACTACCTGATACGAGATAAATAAATACAAGATAAGAGTTAATTCAACACGAAGATAAAGAGATATCTCACCCTTATCTGACTAGAAGTGACCGATTAACCCCTCACCTTTAGCGAATTTTGCCTTTCACCTCACCCCACTCACTCCCCTTCACCTCACCACCAAAGACAAAGACGCCCCGTGTAGCCTCTAACAGACCGACGGGGCAAGTGCTGTGAGCGTAGCGGCTATGAAGGCCGGCACCGTGGCACACGAGGGGGTGGGTGGCCAGCAACCACGCCCGGCCGCCTTTGTCTCCCTCGTGGCGATGTTTACTACACGCCGCACCGCTATACCAGGTACTCATTTGAGGCTGAGTCGACCTAGCGGGGGCCCAAGAAAGGGTTCAGGTAACCTTCACCTCACCATCACTCCCTCACATCACCACCCATCACCTCGCCACCCCCTGCGTCATCACCACCCGCTCACCACTCTCCTCACCACCCATACCCCCTCACCACTCCCCTCTCCTCACCACCCATACCCGCTCACCACTCTCCTCACCACCCATACCCGCTCACCTTACGACCATCTCACCCCACCCCACCACCACCTCACTACTCTTCACCTCACCACCACTCCCATTTACCCCTCACCAATTCTCCACAGCACCCCCTCACCTATCCCCCCTCACCTCACCATCCCCTCACCTCACCACACCCCCCTCACCTCACCACTCCTCACCTCACCACTCCTCACCACACCCCCCTCACCTCACCATCCCTCACCTCACCACCCCCACTCACCACACCACCACCCCACACCTACCCCCCCCCTCACCTCATCACCCCCTCACCTCACCCCCCTCCCCATTTAACTCACCTGCCCACGTCGGCCTGCAGAAGCCTCACGTCTTTCCTGAGCGCCTGCAGCTGCCGTTGCGTCCTCTTCCCCTGGAACCCCAACTCCCTGAGGGTCTCCTGGAGGCCCTGCGGGGTCGCCTCGGGCTCCCTGGGCCTCGCTCGCAGGGACTCGATGCGCTGTCCAAGCTCTGGGGAAGAGAGAAAATTTTTAGTTGAAATGTTCAAATGAAATTAAAAAAACTTTTTCTTAACTTTCTTCATGAGCGGTCTCTCCTTGCGGGAGGAATCCGAAGAGCTATAAAGCTCTTTTTCAGAGATTTCCAAGTCGGGGACACGGGGTTAAAACGTTACAACAGCAAACACAATTACAGGACAAAACCATTATAGGAGTGCAAAGTATAAGAAAGGTAAAGACATCACCCAAACACCGACAAATAGAACACTAAACGATCCCCATCCTACCAGGCAAAGTCACACTGAGGTGTTAACTTGTTTTTCAACAGCGACCTGGCCACAAATGATAGCTAATTTGGTGCCATGGGTTGACTGCTGTGCCAGGCTAGGTGCAGGAGGAGGTCACGGGACAGACCCAGCAGGTGTCATGGGTTGACTGCTGCTGTGCCAGGCTAGGTGCAGGAGGAGGTCACGGGACAGACACAGCAGGTGCCGTGGGTTGTACTGCTGTGCCAGGCTAGGTGCAGGAGGAGGTCACGGGACAGACCCAGCAGGTGCCATGGGTTGACTGCTGCTGTGCCAGGCTAGGTGCAGGAGGAGGTCACGGGACAGACCCAGGTGGTGCCATTGTTTGTGTTTCTGTGCCAGGCTAGGTGCAGGAGGAGGTCACGGGACAGACCCAGCAGGTGTCATGGGTTGACTGCTGCTGTGCCAGGCTTGGTGCAGGAGGAGGTCACGGGACAGACCCAGGTGGTGCCATGGGTTGACTGCTGTGCCAGGCTAGGTGCAGGAGGAGGTCACCGGACAGACCCAGCAGGTGCCATGGGTTGTGTTTCTGTGCCAGGCTAGGTGCAGGAGGAGGTCACCGGACAGACCCACGTGGTGCCATGGGTTGTATTTCTGTGCCAGGCTAGGTGCAAGGAAGTGGCCACGGGACCAGACACAGCAGGTGTTGTGAGCGGTCAGGATCGAAACCCACGACCTTCTGTATACCAGGCGAGGTAGTTAACATCTCCTAGCCACCGTGGTGCTGATGAGACCCAGAAGATAGAAACCATCCGCGAGCGAGTTCTTTGCTCTTTGCTTGTTTTGCACTCGCTAAAACAAACGCAGCTCGTCAATTTTGCTCTGGAAAGCCGATAGGGCCCCCGGGGACTAAACCCCAATACTGTTCTCGTCAACGCGTGCGAGTTATCACAGCCTCTTCTCTTTGTGTTTACCCCCAACAACCCCGCGGTGACCCCGAGGCAGCCCGAGCCCAGTTTGTGTCCTGATCACGGCTCGTTTGTTGGTTTCTCCATCTTCTGTCGGGCTTTGCTCGTTCCATTCGCGCGCCGTGCCCTGGCGGTACGGAAGTGGGATTCTTGCGTCCATCTGTGCGGTGTTGTGCGTGGTCGGGTTATCTCGTCCTCCCTCCATCCCTCCCTCCATCTCTCCCTCCCTCCATCCATCCCTCCCTCCCTCCATCCCTCCCTCCATTCCTCCCTCCCTCCAATCCTCCATCCCTCCCTCCATCCCTCCATCCATCCCTCCCTCCATCCCTCCATCCCTCCCTCCATTCCTCCCTCCCTCCATTCCTCCCTCCCTCCATCCCTCCATCCCTCCCTCCATCCATCCATCCCTCCCTCCATCCCTCTCCCCCTCCACCCCTCCCTCCATTGACAACGCACTTCTTTAGAACTGCTCTTTGTGTTTAGGGGCCGTCCATAAATGACGTCACGCGATTTTGGACGATTTTTGACCCCCCCCCCCCTCGTCACACGGCGTCACAAAAAGTCAGACCCCCCCCCTCAAATATGACGTCACAAAGCTCTGCCCCCCCCCCCAAAACCATATTTCCATTTAAACGATTGTCGTTGTAGTGCGTATTTAATGTGGCGCTGCACTCTGATGTTGTACGAGTGTTGCTATAAGAATTAGTGTTGTTATAACAATTATATTTATTTAAAGTTGCGCATTTTGGTGTGACGTCACATTTCTCAACCCCCCCCCCCCTCGTCACACATCGTCACAAATATCTGACGCCCCCCCCCCGCCCCCCCTAGGTGCGTGACGTCATTTATGGACGGCCCCTAAGTTTGTTGTCCACCCCCCGCCCCTTACCTCCGATTAGCACGCTTGGCGACGTACGGTGCGAAAAAAGTTCACCGTACGTACAGAGGAGGGTGTACAAAACCGTGATGCTTGCTGGTCTACACGTGTGAAAACTGTGTCCCGATTGCCTTGGGATATCCAGTCTCAGACTCCTACAAATATCCATAATATAGGATTTGGGGGGGGGGGGGTTAAATGGCTTAAATATGTTTCGCTATCTAACCCAAAAACACCCTATGTTATGGATGATATTGGTCGTGAAAGCATGCAACGTGTTAAACTCCTACAAATATCCATAATATAGGATTTTGGGGGGGGGGGGGTTAAATGGCTTAAATATGTTTCGCTATCTAACCCAAAAACACCCTTTGTTATGGATGATATTGGTTGTGAAAGCATGCAACGTGTTAAACTCCTACAAACATGCCCGCCGTTTATATTTGTCAGCTGAATTAATTGAAACGATGAATCCGCTTACACAAACATAAATGAAAGTGACTCAAACTAAATTCTATACCCCCAATCCACCACTCCACCACCACCCCCATTCCACCACCCCCACTCCACCACCCCCACTCCACCACCCTCACTCCACCACCCCCACCACTCCACCATCCCCACTCCACCACCTCCACTCTACCACTCCACCACCCCCACTCCACCACCCCCACTCCACCACCCCCACCACCCCACTCCACCACCCCCACTCCACCACTCCCACCACCCCCACTCCACCACCCTCACCATCCCCACTCCACCACTCCACCACCCCCACTCCACCACCCCCACTCCACCACCCTCACCATCCCCACTCCACCACTCCACCACCCCCACTCCACCACCCCCACTTCCACCACCCTCACCATCCCCACTCCACCACCCCCACTCCACCACTCCACCACCCCCACTCCACCACCCCCCACCACCCCCACCACTCCACCACCCCCACCGCTCCACCCCCACCACTCCACCACCCCCACTACTCCACCCCCACTCCACCACCCACCTCGCTTCGCTTCCTCGAGCTCCCGGTTCTGGGCGTGAATCTCAGCGACGGCGATTCGATGATCGACGGCCAAATCTCGCCGAAGGGACCGAGCGTCGTCCGCGGCGAGCGACTTCCACCTCCACCTTCGTGGTGGACTCGAGGCGTCCGCCTCCACCTCATCCTCCAGTGGCTCCCAGGGGTCCCACCTCGTGCAGTTGCGCTGGGGTCGATGAGGACGCGGGTCGAGTAATGAACTCCTCTCCTGGAATCGACGGAGAGAGTTGCAGCGTGCGTTGTGTGCACGTTGTGTGTGCGTTGCGTGGAGGTTGTGTGGACGTTGAACTTCTTTCGCGCCGTACGTAGCCGGCCGTGCTAAACGGAGGTGCCGTGTTTAGTCTATGTGCAGTGTAGAGTCTATGGGCAGTGTTGAGTCTATGGGGCAGTGTTGAGTCTATGGTGCAGTGTTGAGTCTATGGGCAGTGTTGAGTCTATGATGCAGGGTTGAGTCTATGGGTAGTGTTGAGTCTATGGGGCAGTGTTGAGTCTATGGGGCAGTGTTGAGCCAATGGGCAGTGTTGAGTCTATGGTGCAGTGTTGAGTCTATGGTGCAGTGTTGAGTCTATGGGCAGTGTCGAGTCTATGGGGCAGTGTTGAGTCTATGGTGCAGTGTTGAGTCTATGGGCAGTGTTGAGTCTATGGTGCAGGGTTGAGTCTATGGGTAGTGTTGAGTCTATGGGGCAGTGTTGAGTCTATGGGCAGTGTTGAGTCTATGGTGCAGTGTTGAGTCTATGGGCAGTGTTGAGTCTATGGGGCAGTGTTGAGTCTATGGTGCAGTGTTGAGTCTATGGGGCAGTGTTGAGTCTATGGGCAGTGTTGAGTCTATGGGGCAGTGTTTGTCTATCTATGTAGAACTTCTTTTGCACCGTACATAGCCAACCGTGCTAATCGGAGGTGCGGCGTCAGGACAACACACTCAAGACACAAAGCGGCTCCACAGAAATGGATGAACGCGCGTCGGCAGTCGATGTCTGCCTCCTCCTCGTTCCCGAGTCTCCTCCAACGCGGAATCGTGGCCTCTCTGTCTCTCTCTCACCGAATCTTTATTTTTCGACGATTCATTCTCTCTCTCCGAGTCAACCCTCCACCACTGCATCTTTTATCCGTCTCCGAAATCATTCCCCTCCCTCTCTGGAGAACGAACAAAAGAAAAATCCACGCGTTGCAGATCTTCTAAAACGACGGCGACGACGACTCCGATGACGCACGCGTGCCCAAACACCAGCGACACGCACACGCCAGTCACCTGGTAGGCGTCTTCATCTGCTGGAATCTGAGCTTCGATGTCGCCTTGGATTCTGCGAAGCTGAGCGGAAGGTGGAAAAGGTGAGATCCGTTTGACGATGACGACACCAAAAAACAAGGATCAGCATTCCCGTCACCACCAACGAAGACAAAGAACCCCCGTGTAGCCTTGGCAGACCGCTGGGGCACGCGACGGGGTCGGTGGCCAGTCGCCACGCCCGGCCGCCTTTGTCTCCCCGGTTGCGATGTTTACTACACACTGCACCAGGTGCTCATTTGAGGCTGAGTGGAGCTAGGCGAGGCCCGGGACCGGTTCAGATAATAGTCACTGCTGCCGATGGCCGCAGAGCGGGAATCAAACCCGGGTTGCCGGGTTTGTACGACCACCAACACCACCACCACTACGATCGATGTTACCATCATTAACGGAACTACCATCATCACCACTACCATCATCAACACAACTACCATCATCAGCACCACTACCATCATCATCACTACTACCATCATCAACACCACTACCATCATCAACACCACTACCATCATCAGCACCACTACCATCATCACCACTACCATCATCATCACCACTACCATCATCGCCTCTATTATCTCAACCAAAACCGCAATGAACATCTCTCTGTGAGTCTGTGGGTCTCTGTGTGTCATAGAGTCGATGGGAGGGGGGTCTCTTTGTAAGTCTGTGAGTTTCTATGCAAGTATTTGAGTCTCTGTGTGAGTCTTTTGCTCTCTGTGTGAGTCTATGGGTCTCTATACGAGTCTATGGGTCTCTGTGTGAGTCTATGGGTTTCTATACGAGTCTATGGGCCTCTGTGTCAGACTATCGGTCTCTGTGTGAGTTTATGGGTCTCTGTGTGAGTCTGTGGGTCTCTGTGCGAGTCTATGGGTCTCTGTGTGAGTCTATGTGTCTCTGTGCGAGTCTATGGGTTTTATGTGAGTCTATGGGTCTCTATGCGAGTATTTGAGTCTCTGTGTGAGTCTATGGCTCTCTGTGTGAGTCTATGGATCTTTGTGTGAGTCTATGGGTCTCTGTGCGAGTCTCTGGGTCTATTTGTAAGTCTATGTCTCTCTGTGAGTCTCTGTGAGTCTATGTGAGTCTCTGTGTGAGTCTCTGTGTGAGTCTATGGGTCTCTGTGTGAGTCTGGGTCTCTTTGTAAGTCTATGTCTCTCTGTGAGTCTCTGTGAGTTTGTGAGTCTCTGTGTGAGTCTCTGTGTGAGTCTATGGGTCTCTCTGTGAGTCTATATGTGAGTCTCTGTGTGATGAGTCTCTGTGTGAGTCTGTGTGTGTCTCTTTGCGAGTCTATGAATCTCTGTGTGATGAGTCTCTGTGTGAGTCTCTGTGTGAGTCTCTGTGTGTGTCTCTGTGTGAGTCTCTGTATGAGTTTCTGTGTGAGTCTCTGTGTGAGTCTCTATGTGAGTCTATGGGTCTCTATGTGAGTCTCTGTGTGAGTCTATGTGAGTCTATGTGTGAGTCTATATGAGTCTCTCTGTCCGTCTCTGTGTGAGTCTTTGTGTGAGTATATGGGTCTCTGTGGGTCTCTGTGAGTCTATGTGAGTCTCTGTGTGAGTCTCTGTCTGAGTCTATGGGTCTCTCTGTGAGTCTATATGTGAGTCTCTGTGTGATGAGTCTCTGTGTGAGTCTCTGTGTGTGTCTCTTTGCGAGTCTATGAGTCTCTGTGTGATGAGTCTCTGTGTGAGTCTCTGTGTGTGTCTCTGTATGAGTTTCTGTGTGTCTCTGTGTGAGTCTCTATGTGAGTCTATGGGTCTCTATGTGAGTCTTTGTGTCTCTGTGTGAGTCTCTGTGTGGTTCTATGAGTCTCTCTGTGCGTCTCTGTGTGAGTCTTTGTGTGAGTCTATGGGTTTCTGTGGGTCTCTATGTGAGTCTCTGTGTCTCTGTGTGATGAGTCTATGAGTCTCTGTGTGTGTGTGTCTCTGTGTGAGTCTATGGGTCTCTATGTGTCTCTGTGTGAGTCTCTATGAGTCTCTGTGTGAGTCTATGGGTCTCTGTGTGAGTCTCTGTGTGTGTCTCTGTGTGAGTCTTTGGGTCTCTATGTGAGTCTCTGTGTGATGAGTCTCTGTGTGAGTCTTTGGGTGTCTCTGTGTCTCTATGTGAGTCTCTGTGTCTCTGTGTGAGTCTCTGTGTGTGTCTCTGTGTCTCTAAGTGAGTCTATGTATCTCTATGGGTCTCTGTGTGAGTCTCTATGTGTCTCTCTGTGTGAGTCTGTGTCTCTGTATGAGTCTCTGTGTCTCTCTATGTGTCTCTATGTGAGTCTCTATGTGGGTATCTGTGTGATGAGTCTCTGTGTGTCTCTGTGAGTGTCTCTGTGTGAGTCTATGTGTCTCTGTGTAAGTCTATGGGTCTCTGTGTGTGTCTCTGTATGAGTCTCTATGAGTCTCTGTGTGATGAGTCTCTCTGTGAGTCTCTGTGTGAGTCTCTGTGTGAGTCTATGCGTCTCTATGTGAGTCTCTGTGTGAGTTTATGTGTATCTGTGTGATGAGTCTCTGTGTGAGTCTCTGTGTGAGTCTATGTGAGTCTCTGTGTGAGTCTCTATGTGAGTATATGTGTGTCTCTGTGTCTCTGTGTGAGTCTATGGGTCTCTATGTGTGTCTCTGTGTAAGTCTACGTGTCTCTGTGTGAGTCTTTGGGTGTTAATCGCTGTGGTAGGACGGCTGACACCGGGATTCGAACGCAGAGGCCACTCAGCGGTCACTGGTCAGCAGCTTCCGTGACACACAGAGGTCATAGGTCATCCTCACCACCACCACCACCACAAACCGTGACCTCTTGTGCTCACCTCGCGAGCCAGCGTACGGAGGACCGGATCGTTCCCCTCGTGTCTCCCGTTCATAATGGACAACCCAGATCACCAGCTCCGCCTGCTGTCGCTCCGTCTCCTGTTGGGAGGTCAACGAGACGCCCGTAGACTGTGTGTGTGTTTGTACTGCGTGTGTATGTTGAACTTCTTTCGCACCGTACGTAGCCAAGCGCGCTTAACTCTTTATTTTATTTGACCAGGTTAAGGCCCCAGCACTGAGCTAGAGAGTTGCTCTTTTTTCATAAGCGGCCTGGCTATCACAAATGATAGCTCAACGATGTGGATTATCATCATCATCACCATCATCACCACGTGGACATTTATAGCAGCAGCCAAATAACCCTAAACGTGTGGTGACGTTGATTCTAAAATGTGGAGTGGGAAAAAACCGCAAGACCTTGACAAAAATCCACGCGACCACGGCGAGAGAGAGACAACACAACTCTAAATATACAGCAGCAGCAGGCGTCGTCAGGGGTCGGGATCGAACCCACGACCTCCTGTACACCAGGCGAGGTAGTTAACATCTCCTAGCCACCGTGATGATGATGATGATGAGAGAGACACGCAAACTCCAAATATACAGCAGCAGGCGTCGTCAGGGTCGGGATCGGAGCCACGACCTCCTGTACACCAGGCGAGGTAGTCAACATCTCAACCCCGACCTCCGCTCCCCCCACCTCCCCTTCTTGGGGGCGAAAGTATTTCGGGGTTGGTGGGCCACGTAAGGACAGTGTTGATGAAATTTATTTTCATTCAATTAAAAACACCAAAAAATCCGTTGCTGTGTACTGCCATCAGCTGGCAGATGGCATGAACAGCCACAGAGATCCCCCGTGTAGCCTCTAACAGACTGCTGGGGCAAGTGCTGTTAGCGAGTAGCAGCAGCGCCTCTGAAGGAGACAAAGACAAAGATCCCCCCGTGTAGCCTCAACAGACTGCTGGGGCAAGTGCTGTTAGCGAGTAGCAGCAGCGCCTCTGAAGGAGACAAAGACAAAGATCCCCCCGTGTAGCCTCTAACAGACTGCTGGGGCAAGTGCTGTTAGCGAGTAGCAGCAGCGCCTCTGAAGGAGACAAAGACAAAGATCCCCCCGTGTAGCCTCTAACAGACTGCTGGGGCAAGTGCTGTTAGCGAGTAGCAGCAGCGCCTCTGAAGGAGACAAAGACAAAGATCCCCCCGTGTAGCCTCTAACAGACTGCTGGGGCAAGTGCTGTTAGCGAGTAGCAGCAGCGCCTATGAAGGAGACAAAGACAAAGATCCCCCGTGTAGCCTCTAACAGACTGCTGGGGCAAGCGTTGTTAGCGAGTAGCAGCAGCAGCGACTGTGAAGGAGACAAAGACAAAGATCCCCCGTGTAGCCTCTAACAGACTGATGGGGCAAGTGCTGTTAGCGAGTAGCAGCAGCGCCTCTGAAGGAGACAAAGACAAAGATCCCCCGTGTAGCCTCTAACAGACTGTCGGGGCAAGTGCTGTTAGCGAGTAGCAGCAGCGCCTCTGAAGGAGACAAAGACAAAGATCCCCCGTGTAGCCTCTAACAGACTGTCGGGGCAAGTGCTGTTAGCGAGCACCTACGAAGGCCGGCACCGTGGCACACGAGGGAATGGGATTGGCCAGCACCACGCACGCCCGGCCGCCTTTGTCTCTCCCCCTCCACGTGCGGCGATGTTGGCTACACGCGGCGCTTCGGCTGCGACTCATTCGAGGCCGAAGTCGACGTCTGGTGATGCCCAGGAGCGGTTCCAGTGGATTGTCGAGAGACGGGAATTGAACTCGGATCATCGCCCCGGGTTCGTAGCGCTCACCGCAACCACCACAACCACCACAACCGCTACCCAGCCGACCACAAAGCAACAACAACAACAATCACCAACAACAGAACGGGGGGGGGGGGGGCGGTGTCGGATTATCCCAGTGGCACAAGTAGCTACATAAGTAGTAGCTACTACACATGTAGTAGCTACTACATATGTAGTAGCTACTGCACATGTAGTAGCTACGACATAAGTAGCTACTACCGATTAGCACGGTATGAAAGAAGTTCAACATGCATACATAGAGACCCGTAGACTCACACAGAGACCCATAGACTCACACAGAGACCCATACACTCATCACACAGAGACCTATAGACGCATCACACAGAGACCCAACGACTTACACAGAGACCATTGACCCACACAGAGACCCATGGACTCAAACAGAGACCCATAGACTCATCACACATAGACCCATAGACTCGCACAGAGACCCATGGACTCACATAGACCCATAGACTCACGCAGAGACCCATGGACTCACATAGACCCATAGACTCACACAGAGACCCATAGACTCACATAGACCCATTGACTCGCACAGAGACCCATGGACTCACATAGACCCATAGACTCGCACAGAGACCCGCAAACTCATCACACAGAGACCCACGGACTCACGCACTGCGTCGAGCGCTTTCAGATGCGCTTCTGTGGCCGTCTGGAACGCTCCCTTCCTTCTGCTATTAGGAAGACACTGGGCGCTGTGATGCCCTTTTAAATAATCATCATCCAGATTGACAAACTAATTTCTTCAGAACTGCGTGTTAAGTTTAGTTTGTTCTCCTCCTCCCCGCACCTCCGATGGTGCAAAAGAAGTCCAACACACACAGCACGGTTGGCTACGTACGGTGTGAAAGAAGTTCAACACACACAGCACGGTTGGCTACGTACGGTGTGAAAGAAGTTCAACACACACAGCACGGTTGGCTACGTACGGTGTGAAAGAAGTTCAACACAGCACGGTTGACTACGTACGGTGTGAAAGAAGTTCAACACACACAGCACGGTTGGCTACGTACGGTGTGAAATAAGTTCAACACACAGCACGGTTGACTACGTACACCGCTGCGGACAGACCACCAACCTCGAGTGGCAGTCCCGTTCAGGTAGGGAGAAAGAGGAGGGGAGAGGGAGCAGAGGAAGGAGAGGAAGGAGAGGGAGGAGAAGAAGGAGAGAGTGAGCAGAGGAATGAGAGGGAGCAGAGGAAGGAGAGGGAGCAGGGGAATGAGAGGAAGGAGAGTGAGCAGAGGAATGAGAGAGTGAGCAGAGGAATGAGAGGGAGCAGAGGAAGGAGAGGGAGCAGGGGAATGAGAGGAAGGAGAGTGAGCAGAGGAATGAGAGAGTGAGCAGAGGAATGAGAGGGAGCAGAGGAAGGAGAGGGAGCAGGGGGAATGAGAGGAAGGAGAGTGAGCAGAGGAATGAGAGAGTGAGCAGAGGAATGAGAGGGAGCAGAGGAAGGAGAGGGAGCAGGGGAATGAGAGGAAGGAGAGTGAGCAGAGGAATGAGAGAGTGAGCAGAGGAATGAGAGGGAGCAGAGGAAGGAGAGGGAGCAGAGGAATGAGAGGAAGGAGAGTGAGCAGAGGAATGAGAGAGTGAGCAGAGGAATGAGAGGGAGCAGAGGAATGAGAGGAAGGAGAGTGAGCAGAGGAATGAGAGAGTGAGCAGAGGAATGAGAGGGAGCAGAGGAATGAGAGGAAGGAGAGTGAGCAGAGGAATGAGAGGGAGCAGAGGAAGGAGAGGGAGCAGGGGAATGAGAGAGTGAGCAGAGGAATGAGAGAGTGAGCAGGGGAAGGAGAGGGAGCAGAGGAAGCTGTAGGACTGCGAGAAGGGCTGAGTGCAGATGCAGCGCTTGTCGTAGTAAACATTTTTTTTAACAAATATTACATAGAAAACAGGGGGAACATAGATATAGAGTAGGGAGAGGGGGGGTACAGAGAGAGGGGGGGGGTTAGAGAGAGGGGGGTAGAGAGAGAGAGAGGGGGGGTAGAGAGAGGGGGTAGAGAGAGAGGGGGGTAGAGAGAGAGGGGGTAGAGAGAGAGGGGGGTAGAGAGAGGGGGTAGAGAGAGGGGGGAGGGGTAGAGAGAGAGGGGGGTAGAGAGAGGGGGTAAAAAGAGAGGGGGGGTAGAGAGAGGGGGTAGAGAGGGGGGTAGAGAGAGAGGGGAGGGGGGGTAGAGAGAGGGGGGTAGAGAGAGGGGGTAAAAAGAGAGGGGGGGGGGTAGAGAGAGGGGGTAGAGAGGGGGGTAGAGAGAGAGGGGGAGGGGGTAGAGAGAGGGGGGTAGAGAGAGGGGGGATAGAGAGAGGGGGTAGAGAGAGGGGGGGTAGAGAGAGAGAGGGGGGGGGGGTAGAGAGAGGGGGTAGAGAGAGGGGGTAAAGAGAGAGGGGAGGGGTAGAGAGAGGGGGTAGAGAGAGAGGGGAGGGGGTAGAGAGAGGGGGGTAGAGAGAGGGGGGTAGAGAGAGAGGGGGTAGAGAGAGGGGGGGTAGAGAGAGAGAGGGGGGGGATAGAGAGAGGGGGTAGAGAGAGAGGGGGTAGAGAGAGGGGGTAAAGAGAGAGGGGAGTGGGGGTAGAGAGAGGGGGTAGAGAGAGAGGGAAGGGGTAAGAAGGAGGAGAGCAGAGCGTGACATCTTTTGTGAAATCTTTCATTTTAACACATAAAGCAAAGCATTGAAAAAAAAAACTAAATAATGAACGAAGCAAAGTGCCGACTACGCCGAGCATCTTCTTGTTTCCTCTGATCGTAAAAAAAAAAGAAATCAATAAATAAAAGAGAGGCAAGGAATGAGAGGCAGGAGAGCAGAGGGCTGCGTGGCTGTTTGTGGCCGAGGTTTTAAAGAGCGCCTCCGTGACACGAACCTTCTTTCCGCTGCTCTCGATATCAAGTCGTGGAGGAGGAGGAGGTCGAAACGACCATGCACAGTTGAAGTATGTGCGCGTGTGTGACTGTCGTGCGTGTGTGACTGTCGTACGTGTGTGACTGTCGTACGTGTGTGTGACTGTCGTGCGTGTGTGACTGTCGTACGTGTGTGTGACTGTCGCGCGTGTGTGAGTGTTGCGCGCGTGTGTGAGTGTTGCGCGCGTGTGTGAGTGTTGTGTGTGTGGCTGAGGTTCCTATGGTGACAAGCGGGGATCAGTGGCGTTAGTTGCGATTAGCGCTGCGCTGCGCTACGAACCCGGCGGCCCGGGTTCGATTCTCCGCTCAGAGGCCACCGACACCACCAGTGACAATTATCTGAACCGGTCCTGGGACTCCCCTAGGTCGACTCAGTCTCAAATGAGTACCCAGTGCGGTGTGTGGTAAACGTCGCTACTGGGGAGACAAAGGCGGTCGGGCGTGGTGCTGGCCACCCATCCCCCTCGTGTGCCGTGCCGGCCTTCATAGGTGCTCGCTAACAGCACTTGCCCCAACAGTCTGTTAGAGGCTACACGGGGGACCTTTGCCTTTGAGGTTGTTATGGCGACCAGGTGTTGGGATTTTGACCGCCTGTGGCCCAACGCGACTTTCAAAACATCACCAGCCATGACTAATCTACTGCTGGATGAAGGCCTGACACGATCCACCACTCAGCACCCGCATCCGAACTCTTATCCAGATATTCACACTTGTCCTACCCTCAATCCAAAACTACCCCCCATCTCGCGAGTACTGTGAGTTACACGTCCTAATTTTATTCATAAAAGAGTTTATTTTTTATTTTTTTGTTGGGTTAGATCTCGTAAATATAAATGTGCGTGTCGTTAAACACCGCCACCAGCCGACGCAGCCGATTAGCAAAGGAGTTTGTGTCACGTAAGCCGAACGTGGCCAATTCGTGACTAGTACAGCACTAACCGGTTGTGTGTTGGATAGTAAAGCCACCACAACATTCACAATTCGTGACTAGTACAGCACCAACCGGTTGTGTGTTGGATAGTAAAGCCACCACAACATTCATAATTCGTGACTGGTACAGCACCAACCGGTTGTGTGTTGGATAGTAAAGCCACCACAACATTCACAATTCGTGACTAGTACAGCACCAACCGATTGTGTGTTGGATAGTAAAGCCACCACAACATTCACAATTCGTGACTAGTACAGCACTAACCGGTTGTGTGTTGGATAGTAAAGCCACCACAACATTCATAATTCGTGACTGGTACAGCACCAACCGGTTGTGTGTTGGATAGTAAAGCCACCACAACACTCACAATTCGTGACTAGTACAGCACCAACCGGTTGTGTGTTGGATAGTAAAGCCACCACAAGATTCACAATTCGTGACTAGTACAGCACTAACCGGTTGTGTGTTGAATAGTAAAGCCACCACAAGATTCACGTCACCAACCGGTTGTGTGTTTGGATAGTAAAGCCACCACAAGAGTCCACAATTCGTGACTAGTATAGCACCAACCGGTTGTGTGTTGGATAGTAAAGCCACCACAACATTCACAATTCGTGACTAGTACAGCACCAACCGGTTGTGTGTTGGATAGTAAAGTCACCACAAGATTCACGTCACCAACCGGTTGTGTGTTGGATAGTAAAGCCACCACAAGATTCACAATTCGTGACTAGTACAGCACTAACCGGTTGTGTGTTGAATAGTAAAGCCACCACAAGATTCACGTCACCAACCGGTTGTGTGTTGGATAGTAAAGCCACCACAAGATTCACAATTCGTGACTAGTACAGCACCAACCGGTTGTGTGTTGGATAGTAAAGCCACCACAACATTCACAATTCGTGACTAGTACAGCACCAACCGGTTGTGTGTTGGATAGTAAAGCCACCACAAGATTCACGTCACCAACCGGTTGTGTGTTGGATAGTAAAGCCACCACAAGATTCACAATTCGTGACTAGTACAGCACTAACCGGTTGTGTGTTGAATAGTAAAGCCACCACAAGATTCACATCACCAACCGGTTGTGTGTTGGATAGTAAAGCCACCACAAGATTCACAATTCGTGACTAGTACAGCACCAACCGGTTGTGTGTTGGATAGTAAAGCCACCACAACATTCACAATTCGTGACTAGTACAGCACCAACCGGTTGTGTGTTGGATAGTAAAGCTACCACAACATTCACAATTCGTGACTAGCACAGCACTAACCGGTTGTGTGTTGGATAGTAAAGCCACCACAAGATTCACAATTCGTGACTAGCACAGCACCAACCGGTTGTGTGTTGGATAGTAAAGCCACCACAACATTCATAATTTCAGTACCGTGACGTTCCGCCAGAAATTACAACCAACATCGTCAGGCTACGGTCAGATATTGTGGAGAAATCCTCCTGGCTCGTTCTTAAAGAGAGCGGTAAATTTAACACGTTCATAGTCACGCGATCAAACCCACAAAACCTTTATCTACATATATATAAAAGGGAAATTTGTGAATGTGTGTGTTCGAAATGTTTAGCGCACTTCCCGACATGCAACAAACTTGACATTTGGCACGTGGGTCGCTTCCAGATTGTACACAATGTAGAAAGTATAAAAAAATATACTTTTGTATTTTAGGGGGGGGGGCGCAATAATGGATATATTTTGCACGGCAAGTGAGCGGTGACGTCACATCTGTGATGTTACCCGCATGCGGCAGCGTGACGCAGTGTGCCTGCTGACGTCACGCACCCCCCCCCTCCACCCTCCGCGTTGGCCGTGGATTAATCCAAGACAAGAACCCAAGTCTCGGGAAAAGCCGGGGTCGTAAAGCTCGTAGAGGGACACATTTAACACGTCCACATTCAGGCGATCTAACCCCCCCAAAAACCCTTTATTATGGATAACATTGGTCGCCAAAGACTCATACCGCGTGTTAAACTTCCTAACTTTAACCCGCACTTCACCAACATAAACCCTCTTCTTTGGTTCTTTCGGTAAAGTCACCACGTAGAATGAGAATAAAATAATAAATTGATAAAATAAAATAACACAATACAATTCTCACGACGTTTCGGCCACAACACAAGCGGCCTTCATCAGGTGAAGGGACGAGACTGTCTGGAGGACAGCGCTGGAGCTGTGGCCGAAACGTCGTGAGAATATTATTGTGTTATTTTATTTTATCAATTTATTATTTTATTCTCATTCTACGTGACTTTACCGAAAGAACCAAAGAAGATGAATCCTTGCAGTCACGAAAGCTTTAAATCGAAACATAAACCCTCTTCTAAAAACACATCTTTACCAAAATTTGTATCAACCAAAATAAACATTTTAGTTTTTTTACAAAAATAGTCAAAACATCTTTACCAAATAAAAACAAAATAAACCCTCTTACATACACACATTCTGCCAAACCCATCCCCACCCGAGAATCCCTTCGTGTTGCAAACTCACCCAACCTGATTTTAAACAATAAGTGTAAGAAGTAAAACAAACTTTAAAGTAGTGCTCGGCCAAGCCGCCATGAAGGAAGGACCTCCCAAAATCGTGAGTCTTAGAGAAGGAGTCGTTCTGTCAGACAGCATGGCCAGATATTACAACTGAACACATTTTGATTTGACCAGGTAAGGCCCCACTGAGCTGCTACATCGAGTAGCTCTTTATCTGAAGCGACCTGCCACGAAGTTGGCTTATCATCATCATCACGTGGACTTTACTCGTACATTCGTAAAAAAATAGCCACGGATAACATTCAACTAAAATTTACTAGGTCGTTCTTTGTCGGGGGTGACCTGCCTATCACGAATGATAGCTCAACGAAGTGGCTTATTGTGTGTACATTTATAGCAGCCAAATACCCTAAACGTTTTGCAGGGAAAAACGGGAGGACCCGGAAAAAATCCATGACACCACGGGGTAGAGAGACACGCAAACTCCAAATCTACAGCAGCAGGTGTCAGGGTCGGGATGGAACCCACATCCTCCTGTACACCAGGCGAGATAGTTAACATCTCCTCGCCACCGTGATGATGATGGTGAGAGAGAGAGAGACACGCAAACTCCAAATATACAGCAGCAGGCATTGTCAGCGGTCGGAATGGAACCCACGACCTCCTGCACACCAGGCGAGGTAGTTAACATCTCGCTAAAGTCACCCCTAAAAACACAATGAAATGCAAAGCTCTCCCATATAGCCTACACAGGTTGTTCGGGCAAATGCAGTGAGCGAATAGCACTTATGAAGGCCGTGTAGGAATTGAGGGTCACCGGGTTTCAATCACGCAGTGCGCTAACCACTGGCACCACCACTCATCCCACAACAGAAAGAGATGCCAGTAGTTACAAGTTAAATTTCGATTTGAAGCTTTCGTGACTGCAAGGATTCATCTTCTTTGGTTCTTTCGGTGAAGTCACGTAGAATGAGAATAAAATTATAAATTAATAAAATTAAATATCACAATTCTCACGACGTTTCGGCCACAACACAAGTGGCCTTCATCAGCGCTGTCCTCCAGACAGTCTCGTCCCTTCACCTGATGAAGGCCACTTGTGTTGTGGCCGAAACGTCGTGAGAATTTTATTGTATTATTTTATTATTTTGTTATTTTATTCTCATTCTACGTGACTTTACCGAAAGAACCAAAGAAGATAGTTACAAGTTGCTCTGCCAAAGCGTGTAATTCTTGACCATGACTGTCTGTTCCTATTTGTGGCCAGGTCGCTTCTAAAAACATAAAAGCTCATGGCTCAGTGAGGCTTTACCTGATAACCAGTCACATGCTAATCCCTCACATTAACATCATGCTAATCTCCCAGTTACATGCTAATTTCTGACTTTAACACCCCGCTGATCCAACACTTTAACACAGCTATTTCAATGCTAAATTCTCCTGTTTGATATGTAAACTCCTTTGTCAAGGCGCTCAGCTTCTCCCACCCAGCTTAAAAGACGTTGCCAAGCTTAGCAGTGTTCATTGAAGCGCTGTCGTCCCGACGGTTCTGTTCCTTCACCTGAGGAAGGCCACTTGTGTTGTGGCCGAAACGTCGTGAGAATTTCATGTTTTATTTTATTATTTTATTCTCATTCTACGTGACTTTACCGAAAGAACCAAAGAAGATGAATCCTTGCAGTCACGAAAGCTTTTAAATCGAAATAGTCCCTTCCAGGTGTCACCTTCTTGCCCAAGTCCCCCCCCCAACCCCCCCTTTTGCTTCGCGCGGTATTCCCCCTTTCCCCCTTTTCCTGATTTCTCAACGTAATTCCAATCGTTGCACCTCTCTCCGTGTTTACTGCCCTTGCGTTTTCTTTGTCGGTATCTTGTTTCGGAATCGTGTCACAGCAGGTGATTTACGCCAATAATTTTTTGTTTTCTTATATAAGTGCATGGCTATCTTGCTTTTCATTATCCAATTCCGTTTCCCAAAAGCACTCGCAACTTGCCCTTGTCCACTTGGCTGCATTATTTTGATTGCAGGTCATCTTGAGTAACTCCTAGGTATACCAACTCCGATGCCTGTCCCAGGGTTTGTCCCTTCCGAGCAGATCCCTTCAACAGTTCAGCGCACCTTTTTTCTTAAATAAGCAGCCCGAAGGACAGTTGTCGCCCACGAAAGCTGACGGATTAGCCCTGCTTGATCTATTCCCTGCTGAGTCACGAAAGCTTTAAATCGAAACATTGTTTACCTTTGCTATAATTTGCACTCCGATCGTCTCTGTTGGCACTGTTTGTTGTCGTGACGTCCCGACACGGCGTCCCCCTTTTTGTGGACACGTGACGTGTGGATTGCACTCTCGTGGTGCCAATCTCTCATTAGCACTGCTGTTGTGCGCGTATGCGGGCATGATACTCTGATGCGGCGACGGAAGCTCCATTCATGCTAATCTCCCTCCCTAATCTCTCTCTCTCCCTAATCTCCCCCGTTAACACAAGTGACGTGGCTTGCGTCCGTGGATGGAATTCCTTTCCAGCTCAGACCCCGCTTGCTTGCCCATCGCCACAAATAAAACCTCCTTGGTGTAGCAGCTCTCTCGCTGGTTCAGCAGTTCCACTGCTAGATGACATTTTTTTTTCTGCCTGAGGACGACCGCTTGTGTTGCGATCGAAACGTCGTGATTTATTTTATTTTGTACCTACGTGACTTTACCGAAAGAGCCAAAGAGTATGGTAAAAAGAGCTTTACAGCTCCACGGATTTCTCCACGCCATCCCGTCCCTCCCCTATGGCCCTTTCGTGACCACCCCCCCCCCCCCCCCCCCCCGTGTGCCCTCTTGCCACTGCCACACATTCCTCGGTCCCTTGCAGGTGCCCTTGTCGTCTAAGTCACTCGGATCTCGATTTACGTTTTTTTTTGTGTCCAGTCAGCGCTCTGAAAATGTTCGTTTCGTTATTTTGAGCGCCTCGAGTTACGGCGCCCTCCCAAGACACAAAAATAAGACGCGGCGCGGTGGAACGGTGGCGCAAAGCACTCGGCGAAGCGCCGCGCGCACACCCCTCTCGCTTACAACAACACCGCGAACCTCCCAAGCCCACGCACGCACATCAACAGCACCCCCCCATCCCCCACGTAAGAACAGCTGTGGCTCAGTGATGCTGGTGCCGTACTGCTCGCGGCCACCGCCAGTGACCGGTGACGATTATCCGAAAACCGGCGCCTGGGGCCTCCTCCCCTGGGTCGACTCGGCCTCAACATCCGACTCACTGGGGAGACAAAGGCGGCCGAGGGCGCGGGGGCTGGCCACCCAACCCCCTCGTATAACCGTGCCGGCCTTCGTAAGGCGCTCCTACTCGCTAGCAGCACTTGCACCTCCGATTAGCACAGTTGGCGACGTAGGGTACACGAAATAAGTTCAACACACACACACGTTAGGGCCACACGGGGGCGGCTTTGTCTTTGCCATATTAACCGAAGGGTCAAGCGACGAAGGGGTGAATGAACCCGCACGGGAGCGAGCGAGCGAACGGAATGAAGGAGGCGGGTGAGGCGCGAGCTGCAAATCCGGGATTTATTTCAACATCCATGAGCAGGGGGTGGCGACACAAAAAACTTCACATCACCCGAGCAATCCTCCGTGGTAAATAAAGCTTTTATCAAAATAACTTTTTCGTTTTTCAAATTAAATTCATTTTTTTTTCCATCTCGCTTAACCTTTCCCAGCCCCCGCCCCCACCCCCCCCAAAAAAAAAATCTTATGTATTATTTATCTTCATTTCTCTCCCTCTCCGTCGCGATTTCCCCACGACCACCATCCTACACGGACAATCGCAGCCAGCTGGCAGATATGGGGGGGGGGTTGATTTCTTCACGAGAGGAGTCGGCCGGGCAGAGCCGAGCGCCTCGGCCGACAAGCAAGGGGCGCGAGGAGTTGAGACGGGCGAGGTGCGGGAGTCGGAGGCGGGTGAGGAGTACAGGAGGATGATCGGTGTTTGGGGGGGGGGGGGGGGACACATCGACTAGACTTCTCAAGCCGGACCTCCCCCCCACCTCCCGAGGACGAAACTTCCGCGACCTTACCCCCCCCCCACTCCTCGATCTCTCTCTTTCTCTCCTGCACGACGAGCACGCAGCACTTCGTATTTTCGGTTTCCAAATGTTCCGTCTCCACGCGCGAGATTCTTTTAAAGGTAAAACGGGGGTTTGTTTTTGTTGTCGTCGTCGTCGTCTTCGTCGATGGTTATATATTTTTTTTTAAATATGCTTCAAAAGAACGAGCGCGCGCTGGGGGGGTATCGCAACCGGGGAAAGTTCCGCGCCATGCGGCGAGTTCGCTTTGTTGCGTTACGTTTCTTCCTCGCGTCGTTTTCAATGTTTTCCCCGCTTCAGTCTCCCACCCGCACCTCTCCTCCGACGTCGCCTCTCGCTGGATCCCCCCCCCCCCCAGCTTTGTCGCAGTGTGAAAAGACGACAACAACAATCAAGAACACCTCGCCACCTCCACCCCCCCACTCTCCCCACCTCCGACGCTTAAGTTCACATCCAAACCGATCGGGGGGGGGGGGGGGGTGGGGGAGCATGCGGAGTGTGGGGCGAGTGGGTGAGAGAAGAAGTTGACGACAGAAACTCAACTCCCGTGCGCAAATAAAACGTGGCCGGCGCGTACGCACGCGGGGGAGGGAGGGGCGAGTTGCAGAAGAAATCGATTTTTTTCGCGTTTTCAGTTTGATCATCCCGAGACTTTTGCGAGCGTAGAGTGTGCACGCAGAGACAGCGCCAGAGACAGCGGACGAACACACGCGGAGAGATACCGGAGCAATATGACACCGCGCCGTGTGGTGGTGGTGGTGGGTGGGGGTTCGGAGATGCAACACGCCACACAAAGAGCATCGATTTGACCAAGGCAGGGCTGGTGACTTTGTTTTATTAATTACACTTCCAATCGCAGCCAGGGGCGAGGGAGCGCGAAGAGATGGGGGCGGGGGGAAGGGCAAGGGAGGGAGTGGGGGGACGTGGGGCTTTGCGCCGGGGAATCACCGGTGATCGTTGACAGATTTTTTTTTTTTTACACACGAAAACACTAAACCCCCCGTAGAAGCGTCAAAAAAAATGTTTTCATTTTGATTCCTCACGTTTTATTCGTTTAAAATCCGCAACGGTGAAAACTTTCTTGCATTCACGGCAATGCTGGAGATTTGAAACTCGGCGGTGGGTGGAGGCGGGGGTATGAGGGCGGATGGGTGGTAGGAGGGGGGGGGGGGGATGGTGGTGGTGGTGGGTGGGCGAGTTGATGGGTGGACGGAGCGTCGCGATGACCACGATCGAGTGACCCTCGCCCACGATAACATCGACGACGTTTGTCCCGCGGACCGTGCCCCCCCCCCCCCCCCCCAAGGTCCGTGCCCCCACCCAGATCCCACCCACCCCCCACCCAGATCCCACCCACCCCCCCCAGATCCCACCCACCCCCCAAATCTTTCCTTCACCACCACCACAGTTACAGTCAAGTCTCTGGGCCTGTGCTGTGAAGGCGTCTGGGTTCACAATTGGGGGTTTAACCATTCGTGGGGAATATTTTTTCCGTCGTGTTTTTTGTGTTTTGTCGCTTCAGCGTCTCGTTTCCAGCGGTCGTTTTTTTGTTTTTTTTCTTCTGCGTCTCCTCGAAGTTTCAGGACGGTGCCCCGCCGGCGCAAGCGAGGCGCCTGTGTCAGATTCCGGTGGGTGGTGTTACGTCCCTCGCCGTTTTAGTAGTTCTACGACGTTTGTTGGTTTCTATTCTTCTTCCAATTCTCTTGGCTTTGTCTCTTGATGTACTTCGTCCGAACAAAATTCCTTTTTTTTACCATTATTCCACTCCGTTTCAGTTTTCGATGTTATTTTTGTTTATATATTGTTCCTTCCTCCTTCCTCCGTTGTCGGTCTCTCTCTGTCATTTTTTTGTTATCCTTTGCGCTTCCATTTCCTCGACGACAGACGCTTTCAACACCTTTGCTCGCGTTCCTGCCGCCCAGGGAGGTCGGTGGGGGGGGGGGGGGGCAACGAAGAGAATTAAAAAAAATTTAAGAGAAAAGAGTTGGAAGAGGATGAGAAAAACGTGGTGGTTTGGGGGGGGGGTAAGAAAAGAATTAGGGGCTGCATCGCCGGGGCCTTAGCGGTTGCAGGGGGATTGGAGGTGGGGGGGGGAGAGGTGGGGGGGGAGAGGTGGGGGGGGGGGAAGAGGTGGAGGGGGGGGGAAGAGGTCGCGGGGTCAAAGGTCGTCGTCGTCGGACGTGTCGGAGGAGGTGCTGGTGCTGTCGCCGTCCCCGCCGCCGCCGCCGTCGTCGTGGGCGAGGAGATGGCCGTCGCCGTGGGCGACCGCCAGCAGCTCGGGCTCGCTCAGCAGCGCCGCGCCCCAGCTCGGGAAACGGAATCCGGGCGAGGGGGCGGCCGAGGGGCCGGGCACCGCCACCTTGGCCACCGTGGCCGACGAGGAGAAGGCGGAGGAGGAGGAGGACGACGCGGGGGATGTGATGGCGACGGTGGCCGGCGCGTGCTTCAGCAGCCCGTTGCGGCGCAGTCCGTTGCTCTGCAGCTGCGGCGCGTCGGACGGGACAGAGAGGGCGGCGGGGGTGGTGAGATGGGAGCGGTGGTCTCCTCCGTGTCCGTGTCCCCCGCGTATCTACCCAAGTGAACCCCCGTGTCTGTCTCTCCCCTCCATGTGTCCGTATCTCCACCACGTCTACGCATGTCTCAATGTCCGTCTCCCCCCACGTCCACCCACGTCTCTGTATATCACCACGTCCACCCACGTCTCTGTATATCACCACGTCACCCCACGTCTCTGCATATCACCACGTCCACCCACATCTCTGTATATCCCCACATCCACCCACGTCTCTGTATATCCCCACGTCCACCCACGTCTCTGTATATCTCCACGTCCACCCACGTCTCTGTATATCCCCACATCCACCCACGTCTCTGTATATCCCCACGTCCACCCACGTCTCTGTATATCTCCACGTCCACTCACGTCTCTGTATATCACCACGTCTACCCACGTCTCTGTATATCACGTCTACCCACGTCTCTGTATATCCCCACGTCACCCCACGTCTCTGTATATCACCACGTCTACCCACGTCTCTGTATATCACCATGTCTACCCACGTCTCTGTATATCCCCACGTCCAGCCACGTCTCTGTATATCACCACGTCTACCCATGTCTCTGTATATCCCCACATCCACCCACGTCTCTGTATATCATCACGTCACCCCACGTCTCTGTATATCACCACGTCTACCCACGTCTCTGTATATCCCCACGTCTACCCATGTCTCTATATATCCCCACATCCACCCACGTCTCTGTATATCACCACGTCTACCCACGTCTCTGTATATCTCCACGTCCAGCCACGTCTCTGTATATCACCACGTCTACCCATGTCTCTGTATATCCCCACATCCACCCACGTCTCTGTATATCACCACGTCACCCCACGTCTCTGTATATCACCACGTCTACCCACGTCTCTGTATATCCCCACGTCTACCCATGTCTCTATATATCCCCACATCCACCCACGTCTCTGTATATCACCACGTCTACCCACGTCTCTGTATATCACCACGTCTACCCACGTCTCTGTATATCTCCACATCCACCCACGTCTCTGTATATCACCACGTCACCCCACGTCTCTGTATATCACCACGTCTACCCACGTCTCTGTATATCACCACGTCCACCCACGTCTCTGTATATCACCACGTCTACCCACGTCTCTGTATATCACCACGTCTACCCACGTCTCTGTATATCACCACGTCTACCCACGTCTCTGTATATCACCACGTCCACCCACGTCTCTGTATATCCCCACGTCCACCCACGTCTCTGTATATCACCACGTCTACCCACGTCTCTGTACATCACCACGTCTACCCACGTCTCTGTATATCCCCACATCCACCCACGTCTCTGTATATACCCACGTCTACCCACGTCTCTGTATATCCCCGTCCACCACGTCTCTGTATATCCCCACATCCACCCACGTCTCTGTATATCCCCACGTCCACCCACGTCTCTGTATATCATCAGGTCCACCCACGTCTCTGTATATATCACGTCCACCCACGTCTCTGTATATCATCAGGTCCACCCATGTCTCTGTATATACCCACGTCTACCCACGTCTCTGTATATCCCCACGTCCACCCACGTCTCTGTATATCCCCATGTCTACCCACGTCTCTGTATATCACCACGTCCACCCACGTCTCTGTACATCCCCACGTCTACCCACGTCTCTGTATATACCCACGTCCACCCACGTCTCTGTATATATCACGTCCACCCACGTCTCTGTATATACCCACGTCTACCCACGTCTCTGTATATCCCCACGTCTACCCACGTCTCTGTATATCCCCACGTCTACCCACGTCTCTGTATATCACCACGTCTACCCACGTCTCTGTATATCACCACGTCTACCCACGTCTCTGTATATCACGTCTACCCACGTCTCTGTATATCCCCACGTCCACCCATGTCTCTGTATATACCCACGTCTACCCACGTCTCTGTATATCCCCACGTCCACCCACGTCTCTGTATATCCCCACATCCACCCACGTCTCTGTATATCCCCACGTCCACCCACGTCTCTGTATATCATCAGGTCCACCCACGTCTCTGTATATATCACGTCCACCCACGTCTCTGTATATCATCAGGTCCACCCATGTCTCTGTATATACCCACGTCTACCCACGTCTCTGTATATCCCCACGTCCACCCACGTCTCTGTATATCCCCATGTCTACCCACGTCTCTGTATATCACGTCTACCCATGTCTCTGTATATCACGTCCACCTACGTCTCTGTATATCACCACGTCACCCCACGTCTCTGTATATCACCACGTCCACCCACGTCTCTGTATATCACCACGTCCACCTACGTCTCTGTATATCCCCACGTCTACCCACGTCTGCAATTCCCCCCCACGTCTTCTCGTGTCATCTCTCCGTGTGCGTACCCCCACCCCCCCACCCCCCCCCGTGTGCTACCCAGGTCTCCCCGCCCCGTTGTCTCCACCCGTACCTTCTCGCTGATGCGCTGGAATTCCTTCATCTCGTCCTCGGTGAGGGGCTCGAACGCCTCGTCTTGCTCACACAACTCTGTCCAGCCCATCTCCCTCAGGAGCCTGGAGCACGCGGAGGGGGGGCGCGGGGGGTGCGGAACCCCCAATCATCAAAAAACGCTCTTCCTTCCCAGGTGACGAAGCCACTGGAGCTATGCACTTTAAATCGACATTGACCAACTTACTCTCTCTCACCACACTCCCCTCAGAATCCCTCGTACCCACCCACCTGTGTTCGGCCTCCAGCGAGCTGGACAGCATGTGATCGTCAGGCGATGACGACGCCTCCGGCGACCTCTGACCCCGGTGTTCTGGCCAATCGGATGCCAACTGCGCTCCCGAGTCCACGGGCGACTCGGTCTCCTCCAGACGCGTGCCGTTGTTGTTGTTGCTGCTGCTGCCGCCGCCGCTGCCGCCACCGCCGTCACCACCTCCGTTGTTGCTGCTGCTGCTGCTGCTGCCGCCACTGCTGCTGCGTCGATTCTCGCCCTGAAGCCACAACGGACGACGGCGATCGCACGGACCTCCCGACCGCGGGCGCGACAAGCAGACCCTCGAGTCTAAACTATTTTTTTATTTCACCGGGTAAGGCGCCAACTCAGCTATGTCGCCCTCTTTCCGAAGCGACCTGGCTATCACAAATGATAGCTCAATGAAGTGGCTTATTCATCACGTGGACATTTATAACAGCGGCCAAACACTCTAAACACATGACGCCGATTCTAAACGTGGAGGGGGAAAAAAGCAGGGGACCCGGAGAAAAATCCACGTGACCACGGGGAGAGAAAGGGAGACACGTAACTCGAAACAAACAGCAAGCGTCAGGGTTGGGCTCGATCCCACACGACCTCCTGTATACCAGGCGAGATCTTGATCCATGGCGGCATTAGATAAACGTCGTAAATGAGGATCGTCGTAAACCGGAGACCGCCCGTATTGTGCTCACCGAAACTTCCTGGCAAATCGTATGTTTTTGTATCCTCTGGACAGACGTCTGGTCAGCGAGGATGAGTATAGGTCAAACACCCTCTAGAGGAGCTCCCGCCAACCACCCCCCCCCACCACTCCTATCGTGAAGGCCCTTCCCGCCAGCAGTGGCCGGAGCAAGCAATTGCAGGGCTGCACCTTAAAATTTGTGCACGCGGCTCATTCGCATAAACCCAGTTAGCAACGCCCTCCCCACACCCCATAAGCGCTAAGAATATTTAAACGCAGACCCGTCCTGTATTCTAATTGTTTTTTTTAACCGAACGCCTAGGCTACGAAGGCCTTGCCACCGTTCGCACCGAACCACACCTGCTGGGCTGTGGGCGGCGTTGGCGGTGCTGGCAGTGCGAGGACGCCCGCCGGGCTCGCCGTTCCTCGCCTCGCGCTTCAGCGTCTTGAGGAACTCGCTCTTGCCGTTGTTGCGAGCACGGCCCAGCTTGGTGAGGCGCGGCGCCAGCGACGAACCGGCCACCTCCACCGGGGAGGTGGACGCCGGCCTCAGGGACGACGCCGCCACCACGGCGGCCGCCGTCGCCGCCGCCGCCGCCGCCGGGATCACCGCCGATCCCGGAGACGCCGGCGCCGCCGCCGCCAAGGCCGTCGAGGCCGGCGCCGCCGCCGATTCCTTGTGGTTGTGAGCGGGCGCCGTCGCCACGGAAGCAACGGGGACTGGTGGAGGCGGCGCCGGCTTGGGGGAGAACGGCGAGTAGAGGCGGAAGGCCGAGTCGCGGGTGAACGGGCCCGACGATCGCGCGTCCTTGCCGTTGCCGGGGTTCTTCCACAGCGAGGGCTGCCGCCGCGGCGGGGGAGAGGGGGGAAGAGGACAGGGGTGGCCGGGAATGGAGCTTAGGTCGCCGGGAGTTTAGTAGCGGGGAATGCGCCAACTGCCACACGGCCGCCGCTCCAACGACAACGGCAGCAACCGGCCAAAGCGGCGGCGACATCACCACGGAGCTCGTGCCAAGCTAGGTACACTTTCGAGGCGACGTGAAGTGTCCAAGTCTCGCTGGCAGGGTGTCGCCGGACAGAACCAGGCACCACGCAGGAAAGGCGTCTAAGACGTCTTCCTGGCCAAACCCCACATGACCACTCCCCACATACACACATGCACTACAACAGCACAACTGCATCGCGTCGACCTAGGGGAGGCCCAAGACCGGTTCAGATAATCGTCACTGGTGTTGGCCGTGAGTGGGAATGGAACTCGGGTGGCCGGGTTTGCAACACAGCGTGCTAACCCGCTACACTACCAACCTCCCTCCCACACACACACACATTTCAACATCGCACGTGCATCACAGCAGTAGACACAATAAAATACAAAGGACCAACTGCACGCACACACACACACACAACACATACGCACACTCACCCCCACGCACAACAGGAACAACTCCTAGATAACCTGTGCTATAAATAAAGTCAAACTGTCTCAACTGGGTGAGATCCACAAACCAGCGGTAGCCGGCTGCACTTTGCCGAAAGCCACCGCTACAGACAAACGCCCCGTCGTGTGCCAAATCGTACCGATATATATATATTTTTAAACCAATTCTCGTCACGGGAATCCACCCCCCCCCCCCCCCACCTTGGCTGGCAGCGCCGCTGGCTTGGGCACCAGGATCTTGTAAATGCTGCTGGACCCCACCCCAGCCACTCCGCTGCCCGCACCGCTGGAACCCGCCACCTTCCCCACTCCGGCCACGCCACCACCGCTCACCCCCACAGCGGTGCCTCCTCCGATGATCGTCGGAGGCACCACCGCCCCGACTCCCGGCCCCACCACGCCGCCGCCGCCGCCCCACCCCCACGACAGGAGCGGCCGCTCCCGAAGAGACGGGGGCGGCCGCTACGCCGTTGTGTGCGGAGGAGGCCGGGTGGTGGACCCGTGCGGCGGGGCCGCCGCTGGCGCCGGAAGAGGCCGACGACGACGACGAAGAGGAGGCGGACGAGGAGGCGGACGAGGAGGAGGAGGACGAGGGAGAGCAGAGCTGCAGCGGAGTGATGGCGCTGGCGCCCCGCACGGCGGCGCCAGCGTGGAGGCGAAGGCGGCCGAGAAGCTCTCCTCGCGGCATGACTTCTTGATGACCAGCATCTTGGTGGAGCGCGGGCGGGGGTTCGGGGGGTTCTCTACAGGGGGGGGCGGGGAGTACAGAGGTTAAGGAGGTCCATGGGAAGGGGTCAAGAGCGGTGGACGACAACAAAGCGGTTTGGCACCGGTAGTTGCTGTGCGCTTGGTGGGGGAGGGCGTTTGATCGGATCGCTGCTGCTGGTGGAGTGTGGTGTAGTGTGTGGTGTGGTTCTATGGAGGAGGCTCGTGAAGGACACACTCCTGGTCAGTTGGAGTCAATCGCCCTCCAACAACAATGGGAGGACAGAGGAGCAACGCGCACAACAATGAGCGGAGAGCCAGGCGGATAAAATGGAGTGTTGGCACAGTAGGGGGTACAGCCGGTGCATCTGCCAGTCATCTCGGTCGGTCAACCCATGGCACTTGCTGGGTCTGTCCGTGACCTCCTCCTGCACCTAGCCTGGCACAGCAGCAGTCAACCCATGGCACCTGCTGGGTCTGTCCCGTGACCTCCTCCTGCCAGCAGCGAGCCTTCGACACTTCACGTGACGGCCTCAAAGTGGCGGGTATTGGTTACGCGATATGGTTTATACGGCAAGAGTGCGATTGGCCGCGTGTGATGTGTGCCATGCGGTGCAGTGGTGTGCGGTGCGGTGCGGGTTTGTGGTTTGTGGCGCGGCGTTGTTTGGCCGTGGGGTGGTTGGGGGTTACGGTGTGCGGTTCGCGGTGTACGTTGAAGTGTGACACAAGCGCACGTTCACTGCAGAGTGTGGAGCGATGAAATCGACTCGTGGTGTGCAGCTGCCTAGACAGATTGCTGGCATGCGATGCCAGGTGTTGTGCCGCGTGTGACGCCGCACGGTTGCGGCGGGCTCACCCCAAACGCCGGTCGGCACGTTGGCAGGCTTGCCCTGCCCTGGGTCTCGATCGGCATCTGGGTTCAACGATGGCTGCAACAAACGGAGAAGGAAAACATCCCACGTTGGCAACCGCACCAAACGGCACAAAAACGCAAATAACGTGGGACAGCCAGCCCAAAAGGCGCGCCAATGGCGTGCACGTACACGCGCAGCCACGAACACAAAAGACAAAGATCCCCGACCCCGTATGGGCTGAACAGACTGTGGGGGCAAGTGCCGTTAGCGAGAAGCGCCTATGAAGGCTGGAACGGAAACACGAGGGGGGTGGGATGGCCAGCACCACGCACGGCCGCCTTTTTCTCCCCAGTGGCAATGTTTTTACACACCCCGCACCTTGCACTCATTAGAGGCTGTCGACCTAGGGAAGGCCCATGAACGGCTCAGATATAAACGAACTAACCGCTACACGACCGCTCCTATGGCGCGTATACACACACACACACACAGACAACCACGAACACACACTCAGCCAAACGTGGCTAACAAAGTTCGTAGTTTTCACAGTTTATAGTTTACTCACAAAGTCCTCCACTTCAAACTGCTTCTCGTCCGTCTTGTCGTCTCCTCCCCGTCGCGGCCCGTCCTCCATGCCGCCCGGCCCGCCGTCCTCCATGCCGCCCCGTCGGCCCTTGTGCCCTCCGCCGTGGAATGCTCCATTCCGCGAGCGGTGCCCACCGCCGTCCCGGTCCCGATCCCGGTGGTCTCGATCCCGGTCCCGGTCCCGGTCCCGGTCCCGATCCCGGTCACGATCGCGGTAGCAGCGCCGAGGGCCGTCCGAGTCCGGGTGGTACGGCGCGCCGCGCTGGCCGCCCCCTCCGCCGTCGCCGTGGTAGCTCCCGCGGTGGACCCCGCCCCCTCCTCCGCCTCCCCGCCCGTCTCCGTCGTGGTAGGGTCCGCCGCGCTGGCCTCCGCCGCCGCCGCCTTCCCAGTGGTAGGAGCCGCGCGACGCCCCACCGTCGGAGTGGAGGCGCCCGGGCGGGCGGCGGTTGCCGTGGTTACCAGTGCCGCGGACCGGCTCCGTTTCTAGGGAGTTCTGACGCGAGATGGGGCGCGTGCGGACATCTGTGTGTGCGGTGGGGGGGGGGGGGGGGGGGCGCGAAGAGGGAGGGAGGGAAGTACACAGAGTGTTATGAATTATCATCAGCATTAGTGTATTTATGTACATGCCAGATGCAGTTATTTTAGTTGCATGCCTGTAATTCAGCGCTTTCAAAGTGCAGTGATACAAAGATCATTGCATGCGAGTGTATGCGTGTGCTTGACTCGGCAATAAGCGAGTACCTGCCGCTTTGCATAAACATCAGCACCAAGGCCTTCGTAGGTGCTACTCGCCGACGGCACTTTCCCCGAAAGTCTGTTACAGGCTACAAGGGGGAAGATCTTTGTCTTGGGTATCTGTGCGTCATTGTCGTCAAGTTCTCTCACCAGGGTTGCGCCCAAAGCCAGCGTCCAGGAAGGCATCGGACGAGTTGTGCCGGCGTCGGCTGGAGCCGGCACGACCGTCGGGCCTCGACACGTGGTCCCCAGGGCGCTCTGGAGTTGGGGGGAGCTACCAGCACAACCGCCACAACCAGCACCACCACCGTCAACATCGCCACCTCCACCAACATCAACAACACTATCGCCACCGTCACCGTCGTCGCCAACACCACCATCAACACCGCCGCCACCAACAAGATCATCACTGCGACAATCATCACCACCAACACCACCAACATCGCCAGCAGCACTATCAACATCATCATCACCACCAATTAAAATATGTATGTTGAACTTCTTTCGCACCATATGTAGCCAACCATGCTAAAACTAAACTATTTTTATCTTATTTAATAATAGGGTTTTTCCCCTTTTTCTGGCAACAAAACTGAAACCTTTTTACGAGGATTCATGTCTGCATTAACCACAATACCTGCAGTCAAAATGCAAACAAAAACATACAATGATAATATATGCATTGTCCTTGAAACTGATTGGTCCACACCAAGGGACGGCCTTCTTTTGAGCCTCGACCCAATTGGTGCTCGATCAGATGACGCCAGAAGGCGTACAGCTCAAAGACAATGCACTATCAAAGTAATGAGGGCTCGGGGTGAGCATCTACATCATTAGACCTCCTTTGCCAGTACCAAAATGTAATAATACTGCAGGTATTGTGGTTAATGCAGACATGAATCCTCGTAAAAAGGTTTCAGTTTTGTTGCCAGAAAAAAGGGGAAAAACTCTATTATTACATTTTGGTACTGGCAAAGGAGGTCTAATGATTATATTTTTGTCTTACCAGATAAGGCCCACTGACCAATATAGCTTTTTCAAAAGTGACCCGGCCATAATGACAGCTAAGATTAGTAGTTTATCACCTGTGATTTTTTAGCGGCAGCCAAATCCTTTAAAGGTATGCTTCTAAATGTGGAGGGAAAAACCGGAGGACCGTAGAAAAATCCCACGCGACCACTACAGGGAGAACAATGTAAACTCCAAACATACAGCAGGCGTCACGGGATCTACATTAAACCTACAATATCTGCATCGGCCAGAACCAGGAGTAATACACGGGACCAGCTGTGAAAGGGTTAACCGTTTATGATGTACAGTCAGTTCTCCTGTACCGCTTGTTGTTTTCATAACGATAATTGGATACAGCGCGATTGAGTGAACAGAACTACATCGCGCGAGTAGGAATGAGGCGGTTGCGCGGCTGCCTCGGAGTAGCATCATCGCACAGGGCATTGGGATTCTACTGGATGCTTCGAGACACTACCACGCGCCTCAGTCCCTGTTCGGCCCGCGTTACGCATCTCACGTGTTCTACTGCGGACTGTGCTCTAACCCTGGGGCCTTTTGGCAGTATCCTAAAGAAGCCGTCTCTGGTGTAGGCCAATCAGTTTCCAAGTCAACGCGTGTATTATCAGAGCATGTTTGTTTGCATGGTTCACCACAAGGACGTGTGCGTTAATGCAGACATGATTCCTAGCACAAGGTTTCTATTGGGTGGTTGAACGTCGTAGCGCTCTGTATTATTGTCAGAAAGGGAAAGACCTATTATTTTTTATACTGTGTTTTTACCATATATTATTGATTATAACGCGGTTTTTCCACAACGCGGCGTTCTCAGGAATGCAACTACTACCGCCGTTACAGAGAACAAGAGAACAGACTATAATATAAATAACACGAGTGTGTCCTCTTTGAGTGGTGGAGCGGTAGTGCAGCAGTCAGGGAGCAGCGCCACGAACCCGTTGACCCGCTCACGGTCAACACCGTGACGTTTATCCAAACCGGTCATGGGCCTCCCCTATGTCGACTCAGCCTCAAATGAGTTTACCTGGTGTGGTGTGGTGTGTAAACATCGCCACTGAGAAGACAAAGGCGACCGGGCGTGTTGTTGGCCACCCGCCCCTCGTGTGCCGTGCCGGCACCTTCATTAGGTGCTCGCTAACAGCACTTGCCCCAACCGTCTTTTAAGGCCATTTGTGTTTTGTCTTTCTGTGTCAAGTCTTCACTATATGGGAGGCCTCAATATTCTAGCAGGACCCCTGGTGACCTGCTAATAACGGCTTCTGCACAGCCAGGGCGGTCCCACCTTCCAGGGAGGTCCCCTTGCGGGGACCCTCAAGGGGACCCATCAAGGGGATTGAAGGTGTTCTTCAGTAAGGCAACTACTGCCACGTTCATTGGGAGAGCAGACTTGTGGTTACCTTGGCGGTGGAAGGGGGCGGAGTAGGGAAGCTGAGCCAGGCTGGAGCAAAATCATGCTGCGCCATTTAGGTCGGGTGTCTTGCATTCACTGTAGCCAGGCATGAACTCTCATGGCTGGGACCCTGGGGAGGAAGGCACGGGCGTGGGAACCAGAGACACAGAGAACCGGCTGTGAATCACGGCCGAGACCGTGTCGATTGTAACTTAATGAATTGCAATCGAGACTTGGCGCATGCCGTTCGGATTGGAAGATGCCCCGGAAAAGTTAAACGCACCGAAAACTTTTTGGAATTCGTTTTGAACAAAAGTGCTTCACAATCGGGGGGAAAAAAAAAATACAGCACTGTGACGTTGAACTTTTTTCGCACCGTATGTAGCCAACCACGCAAATCGGAGGTGCGGGGGAAGGGAGGGATGGAAGGAGGGTAGGCAAGATAACCCGGCCACACACAACGCCGCACAAATTGATGCAAGAATCCCACTTCCGTACTGCCAAGGCACGGCGCGCGAATGGCACGAACAAGCCCGATAGAAGGGAGAAATACAGGGGTAGAGCAGAGTAATTTTTTTTTTACTTTTAACTAATAACGCTGCTGTATTTGTAACGAAAACTAACCCTCAAGTCTGACAGAGGGAACGCGCGCAAATGCATGGGAACATGAGACACTCGGGAACATGTGCATCACACACAGAAACGCAAGGGGATGGCAATCAAAGCAAGGTAACACAAGATAGACAGGCTAAGTTTTGATAAACTCTAGGGTTGCTTGAAGTATATCCTTCGGCGAATCATAGAACGGCACGGGCGTGTTCTGGCGGGTCACGTGACGGAGTGTAACCGATTTGTATGTACGTTGAACTTCTTTCACATCGTACGTGACCAACCGTGCTAAATGGAGGTGTGTGAAAGGGCAACCAACTAAATACAAAAAGCAGTTCTAAAGAAAAGATATTTCAATCTAGATTAAAAGTGTCCGCAGAAGCACATTTGAAAGCGCACGATGCAGTGACCGTCTTTGATGGTCAGCCAAAAGGCGCCGCCGCCGCTGCTGCTGCTGCTGCTGCGAGATGACCGGAGAACGCGCGAAGGTTTATGCACCTTGTCGAGATCAGCGAGGTCTTGTGGTTCATTTGTGGCAAGCACTTATCGCTTTGTCTCAGCAGGGAATAGATCAAGCAGGGCTAATCCGTCAGCTTTCGTGGCGACAACTGTCCTTCGGGCCGCTTATTTAAGAAAAAAGCTGCGCTGAACTGTTGAAGGGATCTGCTCGGAAGGGACAAACCCTGGGACAGGCATCGGAGTTGGTATACCTATGAGTTACTCAAGATGACCTGCAATCAAAATAATGCAGCCAAGTGGACAAGGGCAAGTTTGCGAGTGCTTTTGGGGAAACGGAATTGGATAATGAAAAAGCAAGATAGCCATGCACTTATATAAGAAAACAAAATTATTGGCGTAAATCACCTGCTGTGACACGATTCCGAAACAAGATACCGACAAAGAAAACGCAAGGGCAGTAAACACGGAGAGAGGTGGCAACGATTGGAATTACGTTGAGAATCAGGAAAAGGGGAAAGGGGGAATACCGCGCGAAGCAAAAGGGGGGGTTGGGGGGGGGGTTGGGGGACTTGGGCAAGAAGGTGACACTGGAAGGGACTATTTCGATTTAAAGCTTTCGTGACTGCAAGGATTCATCTTCTTTGGTTCTTTCGGTAAAGTCACGTAGAATGAGAAAAAATATATATAAATTGATAAACTAAAATAACACAATAAAATTCTCACGACGTTTCGGCCACAACACAAGCGGCCTTCATCAGGCGAAGGGACGAGATGGAAGGGACTAGTTGAGACCAACGATGAGGGGGTGGGCGGCCAAATGAGTGAGCGAGTTGACGAAGGTGACGTCAACCGCTTAAGGAGAGCCGAGAGGTCAGCTCGTGTGTGCAGGTTCGGCAAGGATTGCAGCATCGGGAGACACCGCGGGACAAGATGCCGACAGCTTAGGTGGGGGGGGCAGCTTTCATTGAGCAGTGGATAGATCACGGGAAGAACAGATACCCATAATGACAAAAGGCAGGGGTCAGCGACCCGCGGCTCTCTAAGTGACCCGCTTCGTGACGTTGTTTATGAACGACCGCCGTCTCGTATTCACATTGCATTGTGCGGCTCTTGAAAGGTTTTATTTGACCGAATTTGAAGGAAAAAAAAAAATGGCTCTTCTTGTTACAATTTTTTTTTTTTACCGGCTAAGGCCTACAGAGCTGTACAGCTCTTTTTCAGAAACAACCTGGTCACAAATGTCAGCTCAACGAAGTGGGCTTATCATCATCAGGTGGAAATTTACAGCAGCAGCCATCTAAAATACGTGACGTTGATTCTAAATGTGGAGGGGAAAAATCGGAGGACCTGGAGAAAAATCCACGCGACCACGGGGAAAGGGCCGCACGCAAACTCCAAATATACAACAGGCGTCGTCAGGGTCTGGATCCAACACAGGACCTCCCGAGTACCCGGTGAGGGAGTTAACATCTCACCACCGTGGGTTGCCGACCCCAGACGACATCAGGCAACGTGCAGCGTACACAAGTTAAATGCACAGCAACACCACGGGAAGAGTTACGTATCGACGCACGGGAGGGTGGGGGGTGGGGGGGACAGGGAGTTCGCGTTAGGGGCGCAAACGGAGACGCACGCCGACGCACGGTGACGGCACGGGGGAGGGAACACTACGAAACACGAGAGCACAGGTGAAGAGTGGGGAGACGCGAGGCACAATGGAGCAACCTGTGCCAACACACACACACACGTGGACACAAAAGGGACAAGTGCGGTTATAGCGAGTAGCATCTATGACGGCCGGCGGCACACGAGGGGGGCGCGTGGCCAGCACCACGATGGCGATGTTTTACTACACAGCGCACCGGGTACTCATTTGAGGCCGAGTCGACCCAGGGGAGGACCAGGACCGGTTCAGATATTCGTCACCGGTGTTGGTGGCCGTGAGCAGGAATCTAACTCGGGCCGCCGGGTTCGTAGCGCAGCGCACTAACCGCTGCACAAACGCTCCCCCCCCCCACACAATTAACTCGCAAGCAGCAGCACTGGTAAAAATTCAAGGGTGGTTAGCTTTTTTCCCCCTTTGTTATAACGTATTTGAGTTAAAATGTTAAGATTATATTTAATTTTATTATGCTTGTTTACCCAGGAAAGCCTCAGTGAGTCTTGGGACGCTTCTTTATTTTACCTGGTAAGGCCCCACTGAACGATATGTAGCTCTTTTGCAGAAGCGACCTGGCCATCACAAATTATAGCTCAACGAAGTGGCTTATCATCACCGCGTGGAAATTTATAGCAGCAGCCAAATATTGTTAACGCGTGGAGGGAAAACCGGAGGACCCGGAGAAAAATCCACGCGACCACGGGGAGAGAGAGACACGCAAAATCCAAATATACAGTAGGCGTTGTCAGGATCGAATCCATGACCTTCTGCATACTCAGCGAGGCAGATAACATCTCCGAGCCACCACGGCACCAATCATTGCAATGAAAAGCCAAATTGAGTAATCTGCAGATCATTTTTTTTATTTTGGCAAACTTATAACGCCGAAGACAAAGTAGAAGAAACCCACAAACACTCCAACTGTGTCAATAAATTTTAGTTAGAATAACATTTCCTAAAATATTTTAAGCATCTGCTGGCAATGTGCGCTGTGTCCGTGTTGCCAACTCCTCAAAGCGGGAAGAGAAGTCGCCGAAGGAACCGGGGGGAAAAAAAAGCGACAGGAAAAATCTCGCTAGATAAACCTTCTAAAAGTTGTCTCTAATTTTGGTAGAAAAATGACAGCATTAGAAAGTAGATATGAAAATAAAGTCATCGGTTAAAACTCAGAGAACCAGGAGCTGCCGAGGACAAACTCACGTGAAGATAGTGTTTTTCGTTAGACAATAGAAGAGCTTTGACCGCATCATTAAACACAGCATTGCAATATTATCCGTAATATTGAAACATTAATTACTACCGCCGACTTTTACCGCCAGCGCCGCAGCAAACACTACCGCCACCAACACCGCTGGTGCCGTAGCCACCACAAACACACGACTGCTGCTACCGGGGCAAGATGAGATCGGACACCAGACACCCCGTGAGCTTACCTAGGCAGAGGAGAACTCAAGAGACCAGAGGACAGCCTCATTGCAAGAGCGACCTAGCCTCAGTTAACAGAGCCAGCGGTTACTATTTATTATTCTATTCTTACCAGGTCAGGCCCACCGAGCTATTTAACTCTTTTTTCATAAGCGACCTGGTTATCATAATTGATAGCTCAACGAAGTGGCTTATCATGTGAAAATGTATAACAGCCAAGTACTCTAAACGCGTGATGTTAATTATAAATGTTGAGGGAAAAACCAAAGGGTCTGGAGAAAAATCCATGGCGACCACGGGGAGAGTGAAACACACACGCAAACTCCCAATATACAGCAGGCATCGTCAGGGTCAGCATTGAACCCACGACCTTCTGCATACCAGGTGAGGTGGTCAACATCTCCCAGCCACCACGGTTAACGAGGACCACAGAATAAAGCCACCCCCAATGTTGTTTTCCCCCCATACTCACCACGGGCAGCGGGTAGGTCTGGCCGGGCTGGGTCGGCGAGGCCGGTGAGACGAAGGCCCTGCCAGCTCCTGCGCTGCTCCTCCGCCAACGGAGGGGGTCTGGCCGGGGTGAGGGAACGCAAGGGGGGCCACAGCGAGGGGAGGTCCCCCCCCGGCTGTAGACAGCGGGGGGCACCCTGGCCAGCAAAGAATCCCTTGGAAGCTGGGGGAGGGCTGTAGATCTTGCACAGCGTTTCAATGCCCCGGGGCAGCCGCCGGTCGGGGTTGGAGGCGTAAGGGGGGGGGGGGGGGGGGAGAGCTGCGCCGAGACCCCACAGGGTCACCCCGTCGGGCGCCTACTCTCCTCGGCAGCCGCGATGATGTGTCTTCCACCTTCAGTTGCTGAGTCTAGTTTGTATTTTATAGTCCTGCCGCTCCACCCCCCCCCTCCCCCCCCTGACTCCGGGTGTGTGTGTGCACGTGCCCACACGTACGCGTGTCCTGTTACTAATATGTACAATATTCGTGTGCCGCTCAACACTTCGCCTGACTAAAACAAGCAAAATTACAAATAAAAAGCATCCAAGCTGCCAAGAGCTGCTCGTAACAATCGGTGATTCTGCTACGCGCTCATCGCGAAGTCATTCCTGAGCCCAGCGCAAATTGAAAAGTGAAAACCCAACCCAAAGTATTTTAGTAATAACTACCTAACTTTTTTGACCGTAATAAAAAAAATACAACACAACAACAACTACCACAGTAAGGGAATTACATACGCCTCGCGAATTCACCTCGATGCGCTCGCTCCCATCGTCTATTTACGTCGCAGCCTCATGAAAACAAACCGCGCGATCTGAGGCTCCGGACTCCTTCAGCTTGAATCTTATTGTGTACCCATCCCCCCCTCAACCGCTAAGAACATGACATGAACGCTGGTCCACAACTACCTCATGTCTCCCGAGGAAGCGACTCTCAGGAAGCGAACGCGACGGGTCAGAGACTCTCGTTTTTGCTCCTCTTCCACCTCCTCCTCACCGTGGCGCCACTCTCTAAACTCCACCGCGACCCGGATTGGATATCTCCTTAAATTAAGCGATGCGAGCACTTGACGCAAAATTTTACGAATTTCTCAACTTTTGCCGCCGCATGCGGAGCAGCTATTGGCGGAAAAACGGCACGTCGAGGGAGGGGTCCCCAACTAAAAATGGTGAAAATAAGAAAAAAAATTAAGATTCTAAAAAAATATATGTACAGAAAATATGTATAATATGTACACGCGCCGGCAGCGATCAGATTCAGTAAGCGGGGGTGCGGCTGCCTGCACTTATCAGAAGCAGCAGTATTATTTTTTGTAGATTTTTCTTTTAATTAATCATGCATAGTGGGGGGGGGGGGTTGGCCGTCGTCATTTTGTCCACAATTTGGAGTCTGTGAAAACGGCCAGCGCTTAACAGGGAACGTGCGTGGTAAACTACTACACGGTGCCAAACTATTAATACTACGACTGTTACCGTCACTAGCGTACTTTATATTACTATGATTCTTCAGCATTGAAACATGCCTGCTTGCCGATGCAACCTATGACATGACCATCGACATTGTTGCTATTATTATTACAATAACACCGGCCAGACGCCGGGTGGTCACAATACTAAACAGAAACTGCGAAAAAAATCCTCCAAGAACGCCGAGACCAAAAGATGCGAGCGCTCCCAATTCCCAAGTAGCGCTCTCTCGATCAACGCGACGGGACTCCCTGGTACTCGCCTAAGAACCCGACCATCAACAACAACTCATCGGAGGCGGGGGGGGGGATTTTGTTCGGTGTGTTTGTCTGCGTGCGCGAGGTCAACCCCGTTGTTTGTGTGTATGCGTGCACGTATGAGGTCGCCCCACTGCTGCAATCACAAGATGCACATGGTTGAAGAAGCACACGCATGTGCTGTCATTTGCTACTGCTGCCGTGTTTCTCTGTCGCTCCTCCCGGAAACAGAGAGATCCGCCTCTTCGTCTCTCCACTCTTAAATCTAAAGTGGGGCGCGCGCACACACAAACAAAAAACACGTACAACCACACACGGTTACCACAATTTTTTTAAAAGTAAATCCGAGACAATTCAAGAGTCTGGATCAGTGTTTAATGGGCAACCACCATCCATTACAGGAGTGATAGGCTGCGGGACCCCAAGTTGTGGAAAGCGAAAGCAAGTGCAGCAAAATAATTCGTGCACTGCGCGTGTATTGCTCCCACTCTACGATTTTGGTAATTCACCGACCCGCACTGACCAGCGCGGTGAAGAACGGTTACAAAACCTCCGCACGACCTGTGTGTGTGGCGGAGTCAATTCATCCAGCAGTGGATGAACACGAGAGCTGAGTGCACGTCTGCCATGTCACACTTCCGAGGCAAAGGTTGGTGGATGGCGCAGAGATGTGTAAACTTTCCCCAAGCTTGCCGAGGTGCTACGAGTTGAAGGTGATGAAAGTAGCACCAAGTGTCCTCCTAAAACCGGTCTTCATGGATAGACGCAACTGTCATCCCCTTGTATGCATGAAGTAAGTTTTGTTCGGACACTTCTGGAATAAAATTTCCAACTGAATGAAAAAAAACTTTTTTGTTGGTAGAGATTTATTAATAATCCATAAGAGATGTTTGTTGGATTAGATCGCGTAAATGTGTCGTTAAACCCGCCACCACCCCACACAGCCAATTCGTAAGGTATGTCACGTAAACAAAAACACGTGGGTTTATATAAACGAATGGAACCAAAACATTATTTCATCGATGTATTCCTAGATAAATAAATAAAATGATTACTATTCAAATTCCACAATTCCAATTACGAGAACCGGTTAGTTCACAAACAGTGCATCTCCATTGGACGAACGCTATTACCGGACAATTGATATTATTATCATTAGCAATGCCATTGTGCGCTTTAGCATGATTACACCTGTAGTAGTTACTGCTGTTGTGGCAAATACTGTCCAGTATTGTTAATCTTGCAACGTGGGGGTGGCCATGCAGTTCCGTATGCCACAGCCTCAACCTGCCCGCGCAAACCAAAACTAAGACGCATTGCTGCCATCTTCACGAGCATCGCTATCCCAGTATTACTGCTAGTGTAGCAGTAGCAATTACTACAATCACAGTATTATAGGCACAAGTTAATGTAAGTATCGCAACGTGGGTGCCATAGCGATCCTTGTGCCATCCCCACCCCCCGCCGCCGCTGCAACTTGCCCTCACAAATCAAAACTTTCGAGCGCTGCTGTTAACCCCATGAGCTGTATCACAATCAATACTGTATCGCAATGAATGCCGTGGACGGCAGTAGCAGTTATGGTTGCGGGAAGCAGCAGTAATCGTCGTCGTTAACGTCGTGTGTTCGCGCCTGCCCCGTGCATTTCCGCGATGCTCCCACCCCCCCACCCAAACACCTCGCTCGACTCTTTTTGAACAAACAAAAAAAAGCTTCGAAAACAAAACGTCAACCGCGGACTGTGCCGCCGTGCGAACTCGACGACAAACGAAACACGAATCGACGAAGCAAGTCGACTTGATCGCATCTATTGTTTTCTTACATTAAGCGAATTTAAACTGACGCGAGGTGGTGGTGGTGGTGGTCGTGGCCGCGGCCCCACACGCAACCAAAACAAACCCAGCGAGTGGAGCCACCCGCACGGCGCTTTCGCCCCGCACGGACCCGAGACCGTTGCGGGCGGAATGAAGTCCCGGTCCGTCGTTTTACGGTAACGACGCTCCTTAGCAATTGAAATACAAATTTAGCAGCGAGATTACAAAGCAGCAGCGGCAGTGGGTGAGGTGTGTGTGGTGTGTGTGTGGGGGGTCCCACACCGTAGACTAGGCCCGAAGCCTGAGGCCTGTCGACAACAGCCGCGCGCGCCCGCCCTCACCTCGTCTCTGTGGGGGTATTCGTCGCGCGTCTCTCTCTCTCTCTCTCCGCGTGAGATGGCGCCGTTGTGTGCGCGTGTGCGTGCGTGCGCCTGCCTGTCGCTGTGTTGTTTAGCCTGTGGTGGTGGTGGTGTTTGTTTGTTTGTTGTTGTTGTTTTGTTTGCTGGTAGCGAACGCAGCGCAGGGAGAGAGGGGGGGGGGCGGGTGTCCTTTCAAAATGGCGGTCGCGGGGGATCCCGGCGTGCACCGCGCGCGCGCGCGCTCCCACCCCCCACCCCACCTCTCGCGAGACTTGGATTCATTGTTCGCTTTAATAAACATTTATTTTATATGATTTCTATTATAAATGCTCATTTTTCCGGCGACGCATTACCCCACGATTGAGCAAGTGAATGTTTCTTTTTTCGCTATTAGTCGTCGGTGTAAACATTTTTTTTTACTTTTTAAGATTAAAAAAATCGCCTCATGAATAGTCACAAAATGCGTTGTGTTTTTTTTTACAACAAAATTACGTTTGCAGATATTTTTATTTACCTCATGGTCGAGAAAGTAAACGTGGCTTGATGTCTCGACTTCGACAAGTGGCAGCGGTGGTGTTATTTTTTTATGGTTTCATTTTTGTTGGCAAGTGTGTTAAATATACAGGTTTTCAATAAAGTCATTAATTATAGTAGGGTACTTTTTTACCTCATGATTTATAATAATAAAATGTATTTTGATGGTATCCTTTGTGAGTTGCCTCGAAGGTACGCACTCTACATAGTTGACCAAAATTATGTTTGCTTTATTTGTTCACGCCGGTAAAGTTCTGCAGCATAGCCACCGTGATGATGATGAGAGAGAGAGAGAGACACGCAAACTCCACGACCTCCTGTGTACCAGGCGAGGTAGTCAACATCTCATAGCCACCGTGATGATGATGAGAGAGACACGCAAACTCCACGACCTCCTGTGTACCAGGCGAGGTAGTCAACATCTCATAGCCACCGTCTCTCTCATCATCAGTTAAAAGAGTAAAACCTATTACTATATCTTGTCACTGGTAAAGGAGGTCTCATAATGTAAATACTCTTTGGTTATTTCGGTAAAGTCACGTAGAAATAAAACAATAGAATACGACGTTTCGATTGCAACACAAGCAATCGTCGTCAGGTAGAACTAAATTTGAGAGACAAAACACAGACACGGAGACACACACACAGACAGACACACAGGCAGAGAGAGACACACACAACATAGACACACAGAGACACACACAGAGAGACACACAACATAGACACACATAGACACACAGAAAGAGACACACACATAGACACACAGAGACACACAGAGAGAGACACAGAGAGACACACACAACATAGACACACAGAGACACACAGAGAGAGACACACAACATAGACACACAGAGACACACAGAGCGACACAGAGAGAGACAACACAGAGACACACAGACACACACAGAGAGAGACACACAGAGACACAGAGAGAGAGACACAACATAGACACAGAGACACACAGAGAGACACACAACATACACACAAATAGACACACAGAGAGAGACACACACATAGACACACAGAGACACACATAGAGACACAGAGAGAGAGACACACAGAGACACACAGAGAGAGACACACACATAGACACACAGAGACACACAGAGAGAGACACAGAGAGAGAGACACACAACATAGACACACAGAGACACACAGAGAGAGACACACAACATAGACACACAGAGACACACAGAGAGGCACAGAGAGAGACAACACAGAGACACACCGAGACACACAGAGAGAGACACACAGAGACACAGAGAGAGACACAACATAGACACACAGAGACACACACAGAGAGACACACAACATACACACAAATAGACACACAGAGAGAGACACACACATAGACACACAGAGACACACAGAGAGAGACACAGAGAGAGAGACACACAACATAGACACACAGAGACCCAAGGCCTCTGTGTCGTGGCATTAAATAAAGAGAGAGGGTGGTGGGGGGGCAATCGAAACGTCGTATTCTATTATTTAATTAATTCCCTTTCTCCGTGACTTTACCGAAAGCACCAAAGATTAAAAGTGACTCGTCCTGACACTACAAGATAGAGGGAGAGAGAGAGAGAGAAGTGGAAACGACACGTGACGTGCAGTGGACATCATCATCATCACCGCCTTCTATACGACTACGCCATCTGCCCCACGAATCGTGATGAGAGATGATCGAGAGAACTCAACACGAGGAATTGAGACGCGAGACACACTCATGCAGACGAGACTCATCTATTTTACAGAGACCACCACCGTGACTGATTTATGTACCATTGAGTTGAACTTCTTTCGCACCGTACGTAGCCAACCGCGCTAATCGGAGGCACGCTGGGGGAGGGGGGGGCTGACAACAAACTAAACACAAAAAATCAGTTCGAAAGAAGTGAGTTTGTCAATCTAGACAAAGTGGTTCTTAACATGGGGGTGGACGCACCCCCTGTGCGTGCGAGACACGGACAGAATTTTGTTTTAGAAGGCGAATCATCGAAAACACAAACCGAACGTATTTGTTAACATTACACTTTTTTTGTTTACGATTGAGAATGAAAACGGGCGCAAGGCTGCATTAAAGCTGATCTAGGACGATCTAAAAGTGCACCACAGCTCCCGGTGGCTTCCTAACTTCGGAAGAGAGAGCGCGTTCCAGACGGCCGCAGAGGCATGCAACGCAGCCGGATTACAGGACGCGTCTGTCGTTGTGCGCCTTATACATTTGTTAAATCGAGAGATTGAGGTCTGTTTAACACGTAGGCTTTCGCGATCAATATCATCCATAATCGAGTTTTTTTTTTGGGTTAGATCGCGTAAATGTGTGTCGTTAAAACCCGCCACACCCGACACAGCCAACTAGTAATTACTGGCGAAGCGTCGTACTTAGATTGTTAATGTTGTGGCTTGGCTCTCCAACACACCGGTGTGCTGTACTAGTACACTACACTACTATACACAATACACGACACAATACACTATGCACTACACTATAGTGACTATACACTGCACTATACACTACACTACTATACACAATACACTACACTACTATACACTAAACTACTATACACAATGCACTACTATATACTACACTACTATACACTACGCTACACGCAAGTGCTGTACTAGTGACGAATTGGCCTGCGTACAGCTTAGCTGCGCGCGTGCGCCTGTACTAGAACACGCGGTTTTGTTTGAGATGTTTTTGCTTTGCTGGGGTGCGTCTTACTTGAGTCGCTCCGACCTCGTGCGGTTATTTACCTCCGAGATCTCCGCCACCTCTCGAGGGGACCGCTAAGCGAAGAGACATCGGCTTCGTCCCCTCGACCCCGGGACTCTCCGCCAACGTCTCTCGTTTGAAGGAAAGTTTCCTCCCCGCCACCACGGAGGTCAAGTCGGCTTAGGACGCGGTGAGCGTCCGGCCCGTGGGGGTTAAAGAGGCCGTCCATAAATGACGTCACGTGATTCTGGCCGATTTTTGACCCCTCCCCCCTCCCCTCGTCACACGGCGTCACAAAAAGTCAGACCGCCCTCAAATTATGACGTCACAAAGCTCTGCCACCCCCCCCCCCCCAAACCATATTTCCATTTTGAAAATAAAACATGCTTCAAATCGCTTTAAACTATTGTCATTGTAGTGCGTATTTAATGTGGCGCTGCACTCTGATGTTGTAGGAGAAAACATTTGTTAAAAAGGCGTTGGAAAGCTGAAATTTAGCATAAAATTCACTTGAAGATATTCAACGTTTAACGAAAACTGCAGATGGTCCAAATATAATATTGAAATTCTCTTAAAATTATAAAATATTAAAAGTAATTATGAATATAAAAAATACTTCAAACTTTGTATTAGAACGAAGCAAATGGAGAGTACCATTATAACAATCACATTCATTTCACAGAATGAAAAGCCCTGGTAAAATCATTAGAATCAAAATGTTTAATAACAATCATTCAAAAATTTACAAATGTAAGCTTCTCCATTCTCCCATGGAGAAGCAAAATGCTCCTTTATGGAATAAATAAAAGGTGATCTTAGTAAATTTTAATAATCAAACAGTTAATAATGAAGATTAATAAAAATGAGTGTTGTTATACCAATTCTAGTTAAGTAGAACGTGTTGTCTATATTTATTTAAAGTTACGCATTTTGATGTGACGTCACATTTCTCAACCCCACCCCCCTCGTCACAAATGTCTGACCCCCCTCCCCCCCCTAGGTGCGTGACGTCATTTATGGACGGCCCCTTATCTGTCAATCATCCCGTAGCCCGGAGCGATCGCTCAATGGGGAGAGAGGACAAATTAATAGATCACGACGTTTCGATCGCAACACAAGCAACCGTCATCAGGTGTGAAACAAACACAGCAGGACTGCTGACGTTGGTGTTGCGATCGAAACGTCGTGATCTATTATAATTTTTCCACCTACGTGACTTTTACCGAAAGAACCAAAGAGTAAGTGGATTCCTGCAGTCACGAAAGCTTCAAATCGAGATTGAAGGGGAGAGAGAGAGAGTAGTCAAACCGTTACACGAACGTACTGCGACCAGCCAGAGAAACGTGGAATTTCCACCACTGGCAATAATCCTGGCCGGCTGCGGGGGAGAGAGGGGCAAACTCAGTCACCCACTCAACCCACCAATCATCATCATCATCATCATATTTAAGAGGCGAGTAAAATTGGGTACCGCTTAAGTCAAGCTGCACTGCAGAGCGCAACAGGTTACTTTGCGTAGTGACAGCCACCACTTGCTCGCTGCACGTGTGACCAGGCAGGTTCCTCCCGCCATGGGCGCGTGGAATTTCCACCGCCAGACCACCCTCGGAAAGGAAGACGACGATGGAGGGGGGGGGGGGGGCAAGTTCATCTTCCCGGTGGCCACCTCGTTTTATTTATTTTGGTCAGCAAAACACGCGCGGTGCGCCGTCGTACCGTTTACAAACGAGGGCATCAAGATCAGTGCCGGATAATGATCCGAGTAGCACTAGTAGCTACATGTGTAGTAGCTACGTATGTAGTAACTACGTAATGCTACGGGCCCCCGCACTTTCAAGGGGCCCCCGCGCTAAACGCTTTCAAGCTATCAATTCCGGTTCGGTGATTCTGCACTTGCTCTATCACTATAGTACTATACCGCCTTCGACTTTTACGAACGGCCGGGCGTTTAAGGTCAGCGATGTGTCGTATTATCTGGCTGTGTAGCAAATGGAAAAATACAATAGCTTTTCTGCGCAAGTTACAAATTTGTGTTTTAATATTTAAGTGTTTTTTTTTATTTAGGGCCCCTTTATAACATCTGCTACAGGCCCCGCACGAGCTTAATCCGGCACTGATAAAGATCCCCTCCCGACAGACAGCCCGCGCATGCCGTTGGGCAAAGTGCTGTTAGCGAGCACCTATTAGGGCCGGCACGGCACACGAAGGGGGACGGAGGGCGGCGGTAAACACCACGCCAGGCCGTCTTTGTCTTCCCCTCTCCCCCAGCGCTGAAGTTGTACACACCGCACCAAGTGCTCATTTAAGGCTGAGTCGACCTAGGGGGTGTGGGGGCAAGACTCAAGACTAGTTCCTACAACTCTTTTTATTTTATTACGAAGTTTTTAAAGCCCCACTTAGGCGACGTATCTCTTTTGCGGAAGCGACCTGGCCACAAAAATGATAGCGACGAAGTGGGCTCATCATCGTCGTTGTGTGGACATTCATAGTAGCCCAAATACTCTAAAGGCGTGACATTGATTCTTAATGTGGAGGCGGGAAATAAAACCGCAGGATCCCGGAGAAAAATTCCACGCGGCCACGTGGAGAGAGAGAAAGAACGCAGACTCCAAATATACAGCAGCAGCAGGCATCGTCAGGGGTCGGGATCGAACCCACGGACCTCCTGTATACCAGGCGAGGTAGTTAACATCTCCTAGCCACCGTGATGATGAGACAGAAAGAAACGCAAACTCCAAATATACAGCAGCAGGCATTGTCAGGGTCAGAATCGGACCCACGACCTCCTGTATACCAGGCGAGGTAGTCAACATCTCCTAGCTACCGTGATGATGATGAGAGAGAGGCAGACACGCAAACTCCAAATGTACAATAGGCATCGTAATTGGCCGATCCGTTTCCAAGTTCACCATTCCAGTTGTATTTCCCGCTAAAAGTAAAATATATATACGTTTAAAAAACTTTTTAAAAATATATATAGTCTTTGAAATGTAAATGAATGCGCCCATAACATCAGCCCCATGAACTGTGAGACTCATCCGCCGGGCCCCCAATATATATTTTAACATTTAAATGTATTTATAACACTTCCCGTAAGCGTCGAGGGACTTTTTGTTGTTGCTGCAGCCCGTTTCTTTCTCTCTCGCTTTAAGAAAAAAACATCAATAATTCCCCCCGATTTTAAAGAATAAAAAAATATCGCCGCTGACTCACGGACGTCAAAGCTTCCTATCGTGTCACGGCAACTCTCCCCCCCCACCACCACCGCCTCTCTTGATCATGAACAATTCGCTCTCGGCACTGTTTGCTAGGTGAGTGGGCGGTAGGGTAAAGTGTGGGGACTTCCACATGGGGGAGGGGGGGAGAGGTCAACTCAGCTTAAAAAGACGACCTGGTGTGGTGTTAACATCGCCGCTGGGGAGACAAAGGCGGCCGGGACGTGGTGCAGGCCACCCACCCCGCTCGTGTGCCGTGCCGGCCTTCACAGGTGCTGCTCGCTAACAGCACTTGCCCCAACAGTCTGTTCCAGACTATACGGGGGATCTTTGTCCTTGTGTGCGATTGCGTGGCACAGTTTGGGGGTACAGCTGGTGGTGCATCGTGCCCAGCCATCTCAGTCACTCAACCCCATGGCACCTGCTGCTGGGTCTGTCCCCTGATCTCATGCCAGGGGGCGCGTGGCACTTCACGTGGCCTTAAAGTGCACCTAGCCTGGTACAAGCGCCGTGGTGACGTCGCCGCCACTTAGTGGCGAATGGCGGTGATTGTGTTTGTGTGTGTGCGCGAGTCTGCGAAACCCAGCGTCCTGAGTTCGATTCCCGCTCACGGTCACCAACAACCAGTGACGATCATCTGAACCGGTCCTGGGCCTCCTCCTCCTCCTAGGTCGACTCAGCCTCAAATGGAAGGAACCGGAGAGGAGAGAGGAAGGACCTCGACCAGCGAACGGTTTGACGACATCGTGAGAGAGATCGGTGCCAGACAAGAAGTGGCCACTGATTGACGCAGACTGACACTGCAAGATACAGAGTTAGAGAGAGAAAGTGGAAATAAGAAATGACAAAATGTGCAGTGGACACCATCACCGTCACCACCACCACCTGCTAATAACTACGGTGCCATCTGCCCCGCGGATCGTGATGACGATGATGATTAGCAGGGTTGGCTAAGTACGGTGCGAAAGAAGTTCAACATACATACAGACGTATAAACAGACACACAGACAGACGTATAAACAGACATACAGACGTATAAACATACAGACAGACATACAGACGTATAAACAGATATACATACAGACAGATATACAGACGTATAAACAGACATACAGACGTATAAACAGACATACAGACGTATAAACAGACATACAGACAGACATACAGACGTATAAACAGACATACAGACAGACATACATACAGACGTATAATTAGACAGACATACAGACATATAAACAGACATACAGACGTAGGAAAAGACATACATACAGACAAACAGACGTATAAACAGACATACAGACGTATAAACAGACATACATACAAACAGACATACAGACGTATAAACAGACATACATACAGACAGACATACAGACGTATAAACAAACATACAGACATACAGACGTATAAACAGACATACAGACGTATAAACAGACATACAGACAGACATACAGACGTATAAACAGACATACAGACATACATACGTATAAACAGACATACAGACGTATAAATAGACATACAGACGTATAAAAAGACATACATACAGACATACAGACGTATAAACAGACATACAGACGCATAAACAGACATACAAACAGACATACAGACGTATAAACAGACATACATACAAACACACATACAGACGTATAAACAGACAAACATACAGACATAAAGACGTATAAACATACATACAGACAGACATACAGACGTATAAACAGACACAAAGAGGAAGACTCTAACAGAGAAGGGCTTGCCGACGTCGTAAACGAGATCGGTGCCTGACAAGCTGTGGCCACTGCGTGACACGTACTGGCACCACAAGACAGGGACAGCGAGGGAAGTGGAAACGCCACGTGACGAACTGTGCAGGATGGCGCACACCCACATACGACGAGGGTGCTATCTGATGATGACGACGACGATGATGATGACGACGACGACGATTGTGAAACTCCAGCAGCAGCATCACAGCGGCAACATCACAGCGCCCCGTTGCGTCAGCACGGTCACCCCACGCAGCCGCCTCACCCGCCATGCCACCACCACTACCACCACCCCCACTAATCTGTTGTTGACTCCACAATATTTTGCGTGTTGAAAAAGGTAATACGTCAAGCACTTATTGTAGCCATCTTCTCTCCTACATCAGCCTTAGGCGCCCTCATAACCTTAAATGCTCCCCCCCCCCCCACGGACGCCTTTGTCTCTGATCGATGAGGTCAGGTTAATTTACATTATGAGACCTCCTTTGCCAGTAACAAGATATAGTAATAGGTTTTACCCTTTTAACTGGCACAAAAAACTGACACCTTTATTCAAGGCATCATGTATGATGCCTTTTGGCGTCTTCTGGTCCAACACCAGTGGAGACTAGGCTCTAAAGAAAGTCGTCTCGGGTGTGGACCAATCAAATTCAAGGACAGTGCATAATATTATTATCAGAGTTGTCTTTTTGTTTGCATTTTGACTGCTTGTGTTGTGGTTATTGCAGACATGATGCCTTGAATGAAGGTGTAAGTTTTTTGTGCCAGTTAAAAGGGTAAAACATATTACTACGAGGTCAGGTTAAGTTGGTGATTGACGGACACCAAAGGAAACGTGCAATAAAAACGATTGTTTTTATTTTACCAGGCAAGGCCACATACTGAGCTACACAGCAGCTGTTTTTTCAGAAGCGACCTGGCTATCACAAGTCATTTGTCAACGAAGTCGGCTTATCATCGTCATCACGTGGACATTTATAGTGGCAGCGAAATACCCTACAATTGCGTGACGTCGATAACGAAATGTTGACGGGGGGGGGGGGGGGGGGAAAGCCGGGGGAACTCGGAGAAAAATCCACGCGACCACGGTGAACGCGACTCCGTTCCGGCAGCACCGGCGCTCGAAGCCGTGGGATGACGAGAGGGTGGATGGGGTTAACTACCTCGCCTGGTATGCAGGAGGTCGTGGGTTCGATTGAGACCCTGACGCTTGATGCATATTAGGAGTTTGCGTCTCTCTCTCTCTCTCTCTCCCCCCATGGATTTTTCCTCCGGGTCCTCCCGTTTTCCCCTCCACATTCAGAATCGACGTCACGCGTTCAGAGCATTCGTGTGCTGCTTTGATTTCCACGCGATGATGACGACGACGACGATAAGCCGCCACCTCGCTCGAGCTATCATTTGTGATCGCCGGGTGACTTCTGATTAAAAAAAAGAGCCGCATAGCCGCTCAGCTGTAAAAATAAAAAAAAATAAAAAAATATATATATTTTTTAAAAAACAGTTTTTCTTTTTTTACTCCCCGCCGTGTAGGCCGAAAGCCTGCAGCGGGCACCCCCCGCGGAGGTGGCCCAGCAGGCGCTGGCGCAGGCCGCCCACGTGGGCGCGCAGCTCCTGGGCCTGGCTCGCCAGCCCCGAGTTGGCGGCCCGCAGCGACGCCGCTCGCTCCTGCAGGCGCCCGATGCGCTCCAGCTTGCGCCGGCGGCACCGCGACGCCGCCTGCCGGTTCCGCAGGCGCTTCCTCTCGGCGCGGTCCGCGTCCGAGTCTCCTTCCCTCTCCCCACCCTCCTCCTCCTCCTCCTCCTCCTCCTCGTCCTCCACCTCCTCCACCTCCTCCTCCTCCGCCAGCGCGTCCGCCGGTGCCGACGGCGGCGCCGCCGCCCTCCTCCTCCAACTCGTCACCGCCGCAGCCGCCATCGCGGCATCGTCGCCGTCGTCGTCGCGGCCGTAGGATTCCCCTCCGCCGGTGCCGCTGCCGGTATCGCCGCCACCGCCGGTACCGCCGCCACCACCGCCGGTACCGCCGACACCGCCGGCGTTGACCCCTTCCGCCCTCGCGTCATCCCATGTCTCCGAGCGCCGGTGCTGCCGGAACGGAGTCGCGTGACCGGGATTGTGCACCACGTGGTAGCGGTGGAGGCTCTGCTGCAGCAGGAGGTGGTGGTGGTCCATAATGGCCGGCTGCTGCTGCTGCTGCTGTGTGACCAGGTGCTCTTGTTGGTACTGCTGCTGTTGCTGGTGGTATAGTTGCTGCTGCTGCTGTTGTTGTTGGTAGTGTTGGTGCAGTGGTTGGCGGTGTGGTGGTAGTCCGAGGTGGTGGTGGTGCTGGGAGAGCTGAGCTGCGGTGAGGCGTGACGTCAGAGGGAGATGGAGGAATCCGTGAGGGTCCCGGTAAGGGTCCCGGTGAGGGTCCCGGTGAGGGTCTCGGTGATGGTCCCGGTGATGGTCCCCGTGATGGTCCTCGTGAGGGTCCCGGTGAGGGTCCCGGTGAGGGTCCTGGTGAGGGTCCCGGTAAGGGTCTCGGTGATGGTCCTCGTGAGGGTCCCGGTGATGGTCCCCGTGATGGTCCCCGTGAGGGTCCCCGTGATGGTCCCGGTGAGGGTCCCGGTGATGGTCCCGGTGATGGTCCCCGTCCCGCTGTGAGGGACTGCAAGGGGACCGCCCCGGTTGTGCGGTAACCGTCGCGAGCGGTCCCCAGGGGTCGGGGTAGAATACGGAGGCCTCCATAGAAGTGAACACTGCACACAGAGAGACAACAAAAGACAAAGATCCCCCGTGTAGCCTTTAACGGGACTGTTGGGGGCAAATGCCGTGAGCGAGTAGCAGCAGCGCCTATGAAGACCGGCACGGCTCCTGCCTTGTGTCATTATCGGTGTGCTAACAGACACCAACTGCTGGTGCCTGTTATTCTCCCGTCTCCGTTATCGTCAGCCCGTGATCACCTAATCACTGCTCTATTAAACCCTCCCCGCCACCCCGAAGCCATTGGCGTCTTCTCCAGCGGTGTCTCGCGATGCCACAATCCGTCCCGCAATCTGCTGCACATGAGCTGACCACTCGTCTCTCTTGCTGTCTCTGGCTCTCTCTGGCTCTCTGGATCTCTCTCTTTCACTCTCTGGCTCTCTCTCTGTCTCTCTCTCTGTGGCTCATTTCCTGCGGTGCCAGGGAGGATCTGCTCCACCAGTACTTACGCTGTCAGCGGCTCAACCCAATGTTCCGCCCTTTGGGGGACATCTTCAGGAAACTGGAGGTTCCCTTCTCCAACAGCAGCTTCGTATATGGGGTGGTGCCTTACCTGGCTAACAAGCGCCATGACCTCGCCAACTTCGCCTGTGTTCAGACGAAGTTGGCGGTGTACAGAACGAGGAAGAAGATGCTGCAAGGTGACACTGACGGCTGCTCTGTGCTGCTTCCAGTGTTCAGGGGCCTGCTCAAGGCGCGGCTCCGGCTGAAGCACGCCACGTACCACACACACGTGTCGGTGATGTGCAGCGCGTCTTCTTAGAACGCTGGGGAGCCGGACAAGCCCCTCTCTGTACCGGCGTGGACGGCCACCCACGTGTTCACCTTCTGAAGCGCTCGCTCGTCACCGTGGCGTGCGCCATGACCACCACCACCACGTGACTTTTATTTCGTGTTGTGCGAGGTGCATTTAGCGCCAGAGCGCGTGGATTTATAGCGTGTTTGTTTATTTGTGTTGCTGATGACTTTGTGTGTTTCATATCGGAATCGCCTCCAGTGCTGTTGCTGCTGGCGGCAATAAAAGTTGTTTTAAAAGTAAAAAGTCTCTCTGGCTCTCTCTCTCTCTCTCTGGCTCTCTCTCTCTCTCTGGCTTTCCAGCGGCACGTTGGGTGCGTCTTACGGCAGGCGTCAGGGGTCGGATGCGGACCCACGGTCCTGCTATATACCAGACGAGGTAGTTAACATCTCATATCCACCGTGATGATGATGAGTGAGAGAGACACGCAAACTCCAAATATACAGCAGCAGACGTCGTCAGAGGTCAGGATCGAACCCACGACCTCCTGTACATCAGGCGAGGTAGTTAACATTTCACCACCACATATAAAGACCCCCTGTATAGCCTTTTACAGACGGTTAGGGCAAGTGCTGTTAGCGAGCACCTACGAAGGCCGGAACGGCACACGAGGGGGTGGTTGTCCAGCACCACGCTCGGCCGCCTTTGTCCCGTGGCAATGTTTACACACCACACGAGGTACGCATTTGAGGTCGAGTTGATCTAGAGGAGTCCCAGGACCGGTTCAGGTATCTCTCGCCACTGGTGTTCCGGCTGGGTGGACAGCGGGGGGGGGCAACGTCAGTCGTTGGACTGTACTGCCACGCTCCTGCGTCATTAAACCGCTGGTGAAACAAAGCGAATGCACTTACGCACACACACACACTTGTGTACATGCATACACACATGCGGTGTGCATTAACACACGCGTACGTAAAACAACGCGTCACGCGCACGTGCAGCGGACACGCATTGTGGGTGCACTCCGTATCCTCCGGATGATAAGACGCTCTGGAAAGTCAGAGGCACCCAGACAAATGCCGTACCCACCCCCGTGTGTGTGTGTGTGTCTGGGAGATGTGGAGTCTCGCACGCTGATCACTAAACGTTACGTGCTGGATTATAAGGCGCGCCTTACCTAAACATTTGTTTTTTATATATAGCAAAGGTGAGAATCTTTTAGCCCGGAGAATACGGTAGTTATATTAACACGCAAATTATCACACACACACACGTGTTCCCTTTAATCAGCAGAATACGGTAATTATATTACCACATGCGCCTTTTAATCCGGAGAATACGGTAGTTATATTAACACGCACGCTCCTGCGTGCGTGCGCCCTTCAAGAGTAACGTTATCACACAGTGGCTGACTCTGACACACTCACACATTGTGACGATACAAAGACAAAGATCCCCCGTATAGCCCACGAAGACTCTGTCGTACTGCACGGATTATAAGGCACTCGGCCGGTCACAGACTGGTCCCGACTACGAACGCAACGAGACCTATCCCTTTGCAGCCCTGAGCAAAGTGGCGGAAATTCCACATTCCTATGAACAAGTCCGAGTCCTTTCGGGCCAGATGACTGCCGCCGTTCCGTTCACCCACAAAGCGGTACCTATTTTATCGACCCCTCGAGGACGGGGGGATGATGATGGGCTGAGTCCAACTAACCAGGTTTGGAACTCGCAAAGTACGAATCGTGAACCTTTATAGCCCGCAGAATGCGGTACCCTAAACAGTTCGGTGTATAATATACAATAACATTTATGTTAATTTTAACACGTAAACAAAGTTACTAACTTATACATGAGTATTATTATTTAGTAAATGTTTTATATATACGGTATATATATATAAAAACACGTGAAAGTTGTAGTTCATATCAATAACTCACCCCGCGTAGCAGGTGCCGGACCGGTCTAAAGCGACCACGCGGGGTGATCGACCGCGTTTTTATGACGAGGGGGGAGGGGACTGTTAAATCGATTAATATTCATGAGCTTCCCCGAGGGGGGCGGTGGCTGTAAAATCTCATTAATATTCATGAGCTTCCCCGAGGGGGCGGGGCGGTGGCTGTAAAATCGATTAATATTCATGAGCTTCCCGGAGGGGGCGGTGGCTGTAAAATCGATTAATATTCATGAGCTTCCCCGGGGTGGGGAGACGGTGAAATCGCTTAATATTCATGAGCTTCCACTAAAAACATCCACCAATCTAATTAATATTCATGCGATTTACAGAAAACCCCGCCCGCCCCCCCCCATCGCTCATTAATATTCATGAGATGATTCACAGGAAACCAGGGCGCACCCCACCCCCCGCCGTCCATCCTCTATGCATTAAATATTAATGACGCACGGCGGCCGGCAAACGGAACGATTAATATTCATGAGCGGGTCGTGACGTCACCGCGTCGGAACACTCCGTTGGGGGGAGGGAGGGGGAAGCGGCGGGTAGTGGGGGTTCGGTTTCCGGTGGCAGGGAAGTAACCGTGCGTCACGACGCCGCGGCTCTCTGATTGGCCGAGCCCCTTAGCTAATAAACAGCCCTACGGTGTGGGGATGGATCCCACACGTGGATCCCACATTGGAATGGCAACAGATAAGAGGGGCCCCAATTCGTGATTTCTCTGAAACGTTTTAAAGTGTTGAGTTTTTTTTTGTGTTCAACACCCAAAACCTCAGTGGTCTTTATTATTATTTTTTTACAGGCAAGGACGTTGATCTTTTGGATTTATGAGAAATGCCAACACATAGGTCTCGTTTCCATTGCTATTGTGAACGGTATTGTTTACATTTTACGTATATATTTTTTTCCCATTCTCCTAAGGCTAAGCGAACGATACTTCCCTGAAATTGTCACGTTTCAGATGCCCCCCCCCCCCCCCCCAATTGCTTTAATGTCGTGGGACCGTGGACATGTGAAAAAAGAGCTTTATAGCTCATCGGATTCCTCCAAACAAAAGCATTCCGATTCTGCGGTATACAGGTCTTGGCGCATACCTCACACTGTTCGCCCCTGTTATGAGGTCGTGAACGGGAATGGAACTCGGGACGCGGGGTTTGTAGCGCAGCGCGCGTTCACCCGTTACGCACATGCCACTCCCAGTGACATACATCATGAGAAGGTCCCCCGGGTAGCTTTGACAGACTGCTGGGGCAAGTGCTGTTCGCGAGGAAGCAGCACGTGATGAAGGAGACAAAGGTTCCCCCGGTGCAGCCTTCACAGACTGCTGAAGTGCTTTTAGCGAGTAGCAGTACCGATGAAGGCCGGCATAGCACACGAAGGGGTGGGTGGCCAGCACCACGCACGCCTGGCCGCCTTTGTCTCCCCAGTGGCGATGTTTCTACACCGCACCAGGTACTCATTTGGGGCCGAATCGACCTAGGAGAGGCCCAGAAACTGTTCAGAATAATCGTCACTGGCGTTGGCCGTGAGCGGGAATCGAACTCGGGTTCGCCGGGTTCGTAGCGCAGCGTAGCGCTAACCCGCTACACGACCGCTCCCCACATGCTACATACCATAATACAAAAAAGCAACAAACGCCATTCGCTACTAAGTGACGGTGACGTTACCATGGCGCTTGTGCCAGGCCAGGTGCACTTTGAGGACACGTGGAGTGCCGAAGGCTCCTACCACACAAAGATCCCCCGTAAAGCGTTAATGGACTGTTGGGGCAAGTGCTGTTAGTGAGCGCCTATGAAGGCCGGAACGGTCGACGAGGGGGGGGGGGGGGGTGGGCCAGCACCACGCCCGACCGCCTTTGTCTCCCCAGTGGCGATGTTTACTACACACACCAGCTACTCATTTGAGGCTGAGCCGACCTAGGGGAGGTTCAGATAGTCGCCACCGGTGTTGCCCGTGAGCGGGAATCGAACTCGGGGCGCAGAGTTCGTGGCGCAGCGCTAACCGCTACACCACCACTCCACACACCACGCACACACAGACAACACGGTGACACAAAAAGGCTTACAGCAAATAATGTATTTCGTCACGGTTTTGTCTGGAAAATGTATATCGCGCGTGAACTTTTATTTCCAATAAGTGGAATTAATACGAGGTCGACACGAAGCTCGCCTCGGAGCGAACGCCGTGTGCGTAAAAGAGGTTTGTCGGGTTACATGGCGTAGATATAAATGCGTCTGTTAAACCCGCTACCAAACCCGACACAGGCAATTGAAGGGAGTTTTGTCACGTAAACAAAACGTGGCCCAATTCGTGACTATTTCGGCACTCATCGGTTGTGTGTTGGAGAGTAAAATCCACTGCAACATCTACAATTCGAGTACCGTGACGTTTCGCCGGTAATTACAACCAGCATCATCAGGTGACTGCCAACGCCGGTAATTACAACCAGCATCACCAGGCAACAGCCAACGCCGGTAATTACAACCAGCATCATCAGGCAACAGCCAACTCCAGTAATTACAACCAACATCAGGCGACAGCCAACGCCGGTAATTACAACCAACAGCATTAGGCAACAGCCAACTCCAGCTGTAATTACCGGTGAAACGTCACGCCAACTAAAATTGTAAATGTTGTAGTGGCTTTACTCTCGAACACACAAGCGGTGTTGTGTCGACCTAGTATCGAATTGGGTCACGCTTTGATCATGTGACAAACTCCCTTACGAATTGGCCGTGGTCGGGTGGTGCGGGACGTTTAACGACACACACTTACACACAACCCAGAAACCTCTCTTGTGAACAGCATTGGTCGTGAACGCCTCCGGCGTGTTAAAAATGAACACGCCGTTGGGGAGGGGGGGAGGGTGGCACTTTTAATTTGAAGGTTCGGACCGCTGGCTGCAGTATACAACACACGTGGTTATTCTCGCTCAAATGTCAAAGTTTATTTTTTTGCCGAGGGTCGTTAAGATTACTTTGCCCTTATCCAAAAAAACAAAAACGACGACAAGACACTTTTTCTTTTGAAACAGACCGAAACGGGTCCTTGTTATTAAGACGCTCGCGAATAATTGCACAGATAGTGGACATTACGGAGACTACTTAATCGCACAAATAAAAACGACCGAATGATGATGACGACATGGTTATCGTGGTAGTCGTCGTGGTGGTGATAATAATAACTCTATAATAAATGGTACAACTAAACATAACGAAAACTCACACACGCACACGCTCGCACTTAACACTGGCGCGGTTCGGGTTAATGAAACCGATGAAAAAAATTCAAAAATAAAAGCTCAAATAGACGTCGATGAAGATTACGTTTTTTTTAACAAAATATAATAACGGACAAATATGTTGTGACAACACGCAGCGCTCTTTTGCTCCATCTGCCCCCCTGCCAAGGAAACATGTTCAATCGCCAAAAATGTTTTCGGAAACTCCTTGATAATAATGATAAAGGGGTGCGCGCGACTGAAAACGTTTGCTCGTTTCCACCAACTGCCCGGAAGAGATTGGCGTCATTATCATCATCATCCTCCACCAACAACAACAACGAGAGAGCAGAGAAACAGCTATCTATACCGTAGAGCCACCGTTCTTCACTGCCTTGGCCACTACGTTGTCACTAGCGGCCCCCCTCCCCCCGGTGCCCCCCCCCCCCACCCTCTCAGACAATAACACAAATGTAAAAAAACCAGCCCCCCATAAACATCGTCATCGTCGTGCTGCTATCACACAACCCCCGACAATGATTTCACAAACACGTGTGGTGGATTCTTCCTCCTACCCTCCCCCCCTAACACACACACCGATTAATACATTAACCCCACCCACCCCCAACCTCTATCGCTAGTCCTCCCACCACCTTGATTGGCTCACAAGTGACATCGAGTCACATTAACCCCCCCCCCCCCCCCCGACTATTTAAGAGCGAAACAGGGGGGGAGGAATTCTCCACAACTCTGTGCCGTCCGGCTGACGAGGCTGGCTGGGGTTCTTGTTGTTAATCACCGGCGAAACGTCACACAGCAACTCCACCGCCACCACGTCTCCTGTGCAGGTTTCTCCAAAATTCGGCGAAATGTTGGGGATTGTGGCCTCGGGGGTATGGAGACCGAACGGATTTATTGATTTACAAAAACACATTTTCTCTGCGATGTTTATTTTTCTCACGTGCATTTTTTTTTCTCTCTCTCTCTCGTTACTTATGCCTTCATCTTTTTTTAGTTTCCGATTTTCGACGTAGTGGGGAGCCGTTTTGTTTTTGTATCGTCTGCCTAAGGGGACCGGGCGAATTGATGAATGACGCTATCTAAAATTACATTACCATTATGAGTGTGTGTAGTGGGTTCTGCTCTCCAACACACGAGCGCACTGTGTTGCTGAGCTAGTAACGAATTGGCCACGTTTTCTTCGGGTGACAAGAACCCCTCACCGATCGGCTGTGTCGGGTGGTCGCGGGTTTAACGACACATTTACGAGTGTTATCGACGAAAGCGCACCCTCTGTGAAAATGCGTTAAGAACCACTGCTGTGTCGTGTACATTGGCCTCCGAGTGCCGAAAACTTGAGACCCACCACCGGGACGCGACCTGTCATCGCACTGCGGTGATCAACGCACGGACAGATATTCAATTGGGTGGACGGATGCACGGGTCGGTGCGTGGGTGCCGGGGTGCATTTCAACCCTCACCCCGTTCGCACCGAGCCGGCAAGCGGTACCAGTTAAATATACAGGGAATGTAAATTGTTAAACCGGACAGGCATAGGAGGAGGAGGAGGAGGGGGTACGGAACACACATCCACACACGCGGACAGTTTTTGGTTGACGGGATAGGGGGCAGTCCGGTGGAATGTTTTGCGACGGAGCGGTGACTTCTTCCACTGGGGAACACTTTTCACGCAAACGCAGAACGCGCACGCGACCATCGTAATGCGGGAACACGCACCGTCACGCCACGGCACGTGCAGCGTTTGAACGCGAGCACCGCCGTTATAACGCGAGCACCGCCGTTATAACGCGAGCACCGCCGTTATAACGCGAGCACCGCCGTTATAACGCGAGCACCGCCGTTATAACGCGAGCACCGCCGTTATAACGCGAGCACCTCCGTTATAACGCGAGCACCTCCGTTATAACGCGAGCACCGCCGTTATAACGCGAGCACCGCCGTTATAACGCGAGCACTTCCGTTATAACGCGGAACGAGCGAGCACCGCCGGTTTATAAAGCGGTTTCCGAGCGGTCGACGACAAACTACCTTCTTGACCTTGCGCGGCCGAGCGGTGAGGCGACACGGTAACGCGGAGTAATACGCAGTAGTGTGGTGGCGGTGGCGTACCCTCGGTGATTTATCCCGCCGTCGCACTGCGCGGTGTGCGTAGTAGTGGTGGTGGTGGTACACCGTGTCTCGCCAAACTTCACCGTGACCGCATTATTTATTGTGAGAAACTGTTTCCGCTGGACACGGCACTCTTCACGCACGCGTCTACCACCGCCACGTTAAACGAGGACTTGCCGTACCGGTCCTGTTACTATTGCCCCATGCCGATACATCTTCAGACAACGTCTCAACTTCCTCCGATTCGGGGAGTTCTCTTTGCGCTAAATACCCCGCTCCCGAGTCTCAACTTTGTTCAGAAAACCTTCAGAATTCGAGAGGGCCATCGTCTGGCCCTGTGAGACAGCGGTTAGGGTGAAACTTCAGAACCCTATTGCTCAGCTTCAACTGCGACCAAGTCACATCGCTTCGTCAATCCACTGCTAGATGATGCACCCACCCCCTCCCCATTCCCCACCACACCAATCCTCCAACGAGACCGGCGGCGTAGGAAAGATTTGAATTTGTTTACACCAATGACCAATTAGCGAGCCAAAGGTGAGCGGGGAGGCTCGCGATTCCGTGATGGGTGTCACCGGCAAGGAAGGAGTTTGGGATTTGTTAAGAGCAGCGGAGAGGCTGGTATGTTGGTTACGATTGATTAAGGTTTTCAGCAATTGTACCGTATGTTGAACTGATTTCGCACCACCATACATAGCCAACCGTGTTCATCAGAGGTGCCGGGGGGGGGGGTTACAACAAACTGAGTCTATGGGGTCTGTGTCCGAGTCTATGGGTCTGTGCGAGTCTATGGGGGTCTCTGTGCAAGTTTATCTGTGTATGTTGAACTTCTTTCGCACCACCGTACGAAGCCAACCGCGCGAATCGGAGGTGCGGGGCAACCGGCCATTGATTGAGGCCTAAAGCGCACGAGAGCCCAGCTGGGCTTGAAATGTGTTAAAGACCTCTCTGGGGGGGGGGGGCAATAACCCCCGACAGATATTACGATGCGTAGGCAAGACGCCGTTTGGAGGCGCGTCGCGGTCTGTGGCGTCGAGCTTTGGAGGGCGGCCGGCCGGCCGGGCAGGCGGGCGAGATAAGTGGAAGCAAATTTTCGCTTCCTGCTGGACGCCGCGTAGAGAGAGGGGAGGAGGGTACAACAACAACAAGGGGATCGCAGGGGACCACACAAGGACGGGTGGGCGGGCGGGCGGGCGGGTGGGCGGGGGACAAATGAGCGGGCGGCAGGACGGTCCGATTTGTGCTGGCCGTGGAAAAACACGGCACGAGCCGGGCCTTTAAAGAAGGACAGATCATCTCGTTGACAAGCAGCAACGGCTGGAACGCGTTCCCCGGGATATGGTAAACTTGCTAATCCCCCCCCCCCTCAAACCCCCTAACTGGACACCTGTTACAAAAAAGAGCTTCGTAGCTCATCGGATTCCTCCAAGATGAATTCCCTCCAGGATGCAGCAGCAAATATTTCTTCAAACAACTGAAGCAACTCGTCGCCGCCCGACTTGCCTCGCTGTGAACGGAGAGCGAAGTGAAATTCCACCCGAGGAGTTCTCTAGACCTCACAGTGGGCTGCTTCCCCTCGGTACTGTTAGTCAAGGACGATGATATTGATGACGATATTGATATTGACGATGATACTGACAATAATATTGACGATGCCAATGATATTGACAATGATATTGATGACCACGATGATACTGACAACGATATTGATGACGATATTGACAATGATATTGGTGACGTTGATACTGATGACGAGAGTGATGAAATTGATGATGGTGATGTTGATGACGACTATGAGGGTGATCAGCATTGTTAGTTATTTTTTTAGTATTTAATACTTGCGCTGGTTAATAATTGCTAAGTCATTTACCGTTCCGAGCGGTATCTTTTGGCTGAATTTATTTCGAAAAAAATATATACGCGTGCTTTTGCCCGCTAAAGGTTATTCACGTTTCCCGTGAATGTAACATGTTCTTAATGTGCATTGGGGCACCGTTTAATGCTTTCGTCGCAAACTTTCGTTTTACTTTGTAGAAATATATATTTAATTTTATGTCTTGCTCAACTCTCTCTTGCCGCTTTAGTCGTGACGCGCGCTGGCGTTTCTCGATCGGGAATTGTAATAACAACTTAGTTTTTTTATTTTCTCCATCTGTTATTTAAAATATATATGTACGTTTACCCGTTCAACAATGGGCACCACTCCGACGATATTGCAACTTCCGACGCAGCGATTCCTTTAGTTTTTTTTTCTTTCTTCAAAATCCATTTTTCCCATTATTGCGTTTAAACACGTCACGACGTCTCGGCTACGCCAACCAAACCCAAGGAGTTCTGTAGACGTCAGTGGGCCGCTGCTCGCTCGGTACCATTAATCGAGGACGATGTTATTGATGACGATGACGATATTGGGGGGTGTCAACCAGTGACCGGCAATACAGAAACTCGCACCGGCAGGAACGCAATAAGCCACGCTCGGTAAATCCCGAGCCGGGTCCTACACCCGCCCGATCGATCTATGGGGTTGCGCAACCGATCAAACCCTCGACAAATAATCGCGCAACTCACAACCACCACCACCCCCCGCATCCGAGCGAGCTGTCGCGCAGCAGCAGCAGCAGCAAGGAAAATCCTAAAACGGCGCGCTCCCGCCCCTCGATTACGGACTTACATCGAAGGACAAAAAAAAAAGCCTCCGCTGGCTGCAAATCGCCGTGCAGACGGATCGGCGCTCTGGTCGTTGAGGCCGTCTCAAACCGCTCGGCAACCGGTTGCGAAGACGTCCGGCATATAAGCACAAACCCGGTTGCGTGTGCGCGCAACCGATCGCTCGGGTACGGAGGCGGCTTGAAACCGCCCCCCCCCTCCCACCCCCGCTCTGATTCGCTTATACGGGGGGCATCACGGGAAGCGATGTTGCACGGAGTGATGCGGAACAACAAATCGGGGTTTTGTTCCCGGGCTGCGAAGATCGGGGGCCGTTGTCCGACCTTTGGCGGGGCCGGCACGGTAGTCCGGAATCGCCGTGGGTGCACCGGAGTTTCAATCGCCGCGGTGGCGTGGATGTTAGCTCCCTCGCCTGGTATGGAGGAGGTTCGTGGATTCGATCTCGACCCCGAAGAAGCTTGCTGTAATATGTGGAGTTTGCGTATCTCTCTCTCTCTCTCATCATCATCACGGTGACTAAGAGATGTTAAATACCTCGCCTGGTAGACAGGAGGTCGTGGGTTCGATCCCTGCTGTAATATTTGGAGCTTGCGTGTCTCTCTCTCCCCGTGGTGGTCACGTGGATTTTTCTCCGGGGTCCTCCCGCTTTTATTCTCCCTCATTGAGCATCGACGTCACGCGTTTTAGAGTATTTGGCTGCCGCTTTGAATTTCCACGCGATGACGGATAAGCCACTTCTCGTTGAGCAATCAATTTGTGGCCAGGTCGCTCGGTGAACCTTACCCGGTAAAATAAAAAAATCTTTATAGTTTTTAAATCACAGACGGCCGCAAAAACCAAAACCGTTCTCAAGCGAACGCGACCAGAACGCTTTGCCACGCGAAACCCGAGTGCGAGCATCGCGATTGGTCAGAGCATTTCTAGTAGTCACATGCTCGCTTCTAGACCAATGGCGTGGAATCACGACAACGAGGGAGCGATGGGGGGCGGGGGGGGGGGAGGGGACCCACAAATCTGCAGCAGTTCTCCGCCACACGCTCCATTCCCACACTGCTTCAGGAAGATCGTGCGATCGATGACGACGCTAGCGTGCGGCTGGGCCAGTTCCCCTCGTCTGTGTGTCGGTCGAACCGTTCCGACCCCGGCGTTCGCCGGACAAAAAAGACCTCGGCTCCGCTCAGCTTATTTTAATTGCATCGTTCCGCGACGCACACGCACACACACACAGTCTCTCGCGAGGACCGCCGTCGCTTGGACCGCCGCAGTCGGATGAAACACACTTCAGAGGTGAGAAAAAAATCGAGGCCTCCCACCCCTTCCCCCCAACGTCTCCGCACACGGGTGGCTCAACGGAGCCTCTAACGCATCCGTGGCCACGGTGGGCGGCGAGGAGGCGTCGGACGCCGGCCGTCGTTGTCGCGACCGCCGTCTTTCCCCGGTCGCGTCTCTCTCACAGGCGTCGTCCCGGTGGTTGGGGTCCCGAAATAAAACCAAGGAGACCTCCGCCCCCCACCGCCCCCCCATCTCTACCGCTTCACGCGATGCGGCAGGCGTACTCCTCCGCTTCGGCGCCCTTCGCCGGCCCGTCCTCCGTCCCGGCTTCCGCCGTCTCCGCGCTCGCCCCGGCGACGACGCCCGCCGGGTCCTCGGCACCCTCCGGGGGGAACGAGGACGGGGAGGAGGAGGCGGCGAAGGAGGACGAGGACGACAGCGACACCATCGGCGACGAGGGAGAGCACGGCGAGACGGGAGACGCCGCGGCCGTGGCGTCCCTCTCCCCGCCGTCGCCGCCACCGCTCCACGCCGGCGCGATCGGCGCCGGGGCGCTCGAGGCGGCACCGGCATCGCGTGGGCGCGAGGGTGCCGGCGCGGGCGCGGCGGTCGCGGCGGCGGCGGCGGCGGCGGCGTTGCCGGCGCGGCCGCCCGACGCTCGCGGTCCCTCGTGGTACGGGCTCCGTGCGGCGTTGCACGCGTCCGACGCCGCCATCGACGACGCTGGCAAGCCGAATCCGGCCGCGCCGCCGCCGGACGCCGCGGCGGTGCCGCCCCCCCAGGAGTCGGCGAGCGCCGACAGAGCCTGCAGCTCTGGCTGGAGCTGCGAGAGGAAGGCCCTGTAGCCGGGGCTGTGACAACAGAGAGAGGGGGTTGGGTCAGTGGGTCGCTGGGTCAGTGGATCGGTGGGTCGCTGGGTCAGTGGGTCGCTGGGTCAGTGGGTCGCTTGGTCAGTGGGTCAGTGGGTCGCTGGGTCAGTGGGTCGCTGGGTCGGTGGGTCACGGTGCCGACCGACGCAGGGGGCACTTCCCAAAGCGGTGTTCAACATCGCAAGCGATTCGTCAGCGTGAAATATTTTCACGAATAATTTGCTGTTGTTCAAGTTATAAAAACTCCCCCCACCACTCACTTGGCTCAGCAAACACAAAAATCCCTTGTGTAGCCTTAACAGACTCTTGGGACAAGTGGTGTTAGTGACCACCTATGAAGGCTGGCACGGTACACGAGTGCCAATGTTTACACATCGCACCAGGTACTCTTCTGGGGCCAAGTCGACCTAGGGGAGGCCCAAGACCGGTTAAAATGAATCGTCACTGGCGTTGGCTGTGAGTGGGAATTGAACGTCGGATCTATGCCGGGTTTGTAGCGTGACGCGCTAACCGGTGCACTACCGCTCCACACCCCGCTCACCACCACCACCACCACCACCGCTCTTTACCCAACGTCACCGCGTGACCGCTCTCACCAGCACTGCGCTGCCCATCGCTCCACGCTTGCCACCACCTCCGCCAGCCTGGCCGCCGCGTCGCAAGGCCCCCCACCGCCCGGCCCCCCCCCTCCCGGCTCCCCCACTCCAGGCGCCCCCCCCCGCGCCACCGCCGCCACCGCCGCCCGCACGGCGCCGGCGTCGCGCAGCACCAGAGCCAGCAGGAGGCACCACTCGGGGCAGCCGGCCTCGGCAAACACGTGCAGCAGGTACCTGGTATGTGGTGGGTGGGTGGGTGGGAGGAGGGAGGAAAGGGAGGAGAGGAAGAAGAGGGAGGGAAGAGAAGAGAAAGGGAGGGAGAAGAGGGAGGGAGAGAAAGGAGTTCAACACGAGATTTCTTTTAATACACAAACTACACAGTTTTTTTTTTACCAGGTAAGGCCCAATGAACCATAGAACTCTTTTTTTAGAAACGACCTGGCTATCGCAAATGGTAGATCGAAGTGGCGTATCATCACATGGAAATTTATATCAGCCTAATACTCTCAACGCGTGACGTTGATTCTAGATGTGGAGGGGAAAACCGGAGGATCCGGAAAAAAAATCTACACGACCACGTAAAGAGCGAACACGCAAACTCCAAATATATAGCAGCAGCAGGCACCGTCAGGGTCAGGATCGAACCCACGACCTCCTGAATACCAGGCGAGGGGAGCCAACATCTCAGATTCTGATTCTGCAATAAATCAACTCGACGGTTTCACCGACGCGTCCGGCGTCGACCACGCACTCACCGCAGCTGCGTGACCGCCCTCTCCGCCGCTCTGCCCGTTGGTTCGGGAGGCGCCCCTCCGCCACCACCGTTCAAGCGGGGGTCGGAGGTGCTCTCGGCTCCCGACTCGTCCAGGAGGCCCCACTCGGCGTCTCCCAGGGAGCTGCTCTCCGTGGCGTCTGTGGCCGAGCCCAGGCTGCACTCGTCCCCTGCGCACAAAAAGCAAAAAAAACACAAAAACAATCACCACCCCATCGCGGGGGGGGGGTTGCGTGCAACCTGGATTGCCAGTTGCGAGCCGCCGCACAACCGGTTGCGTGCGTGTGCCGATAATGGATATTTGTTACTCGTAAACGCGGTGTGCTAACCAGTGCCCCACCGCTCCCTACTACAGAGACAAAGATTTCCCCCGCCCCTCCATAGCCTTAACAAATTATCGGGACAAGTGCTGTTAAGCGAGAGGGTGGGCGACCAGCCACAACGCCCGGCCGCCTTTGTCTCTGTAGTGGCGACGATTACACGCCCCGCCAGATGCTCATTTTTAATGCTGAGTCGACCTAAGACCACTTGGAATATATGTGCATGTACAACTTCTTTCGCACTTTACGTAGCCAACCGTGGTAAATCAGCGGGTTACGGAGGAAGCACGACAAACTGAAAACAAAAATCAGTTCTAAATAAGTGACTTTTCAATGTAGACGATTTAAAAGTGCGTAGCTCCCTGTGACTTCCAAACATCGGAAAAGCGTTGCAGATGGCCGCAGAAGTGCATCTGAAGGCGTGCGGTGCAGTGACCGTGTTTGACGAAGGGCGGTGGACTGTATCGCGGTTGGAGTCCAGCGGCCGCACTGGTTAACATTACGGTGTTGTACGAGTGAATGAGCGAGTGAGTCGGCCGGGTAAATTGGGCGAGGAATGGAGCTGACGATTGAGAGCGGGCTGGAGACTGGGCGGCCGGGCGAGTAAGGCCCACCACACTGAGCTGTATATCTCTTTTTCAGAAGCGACCGAGCCATCCCAAATGAGAGCTCAACAAAGCGGCTCATCATCACCATCATCATCATCGCGTGGAAATTCATAGCAGCCGAATAATGCGCGACGTCGATTCTAAATGTGGAGGGAAAAACCGGAGGACCCGGAGAAAACGTCACGCGACCACCACGGGGCAAAGAGAGAGGCACGCAAACTACAAATCTGCAGCAAGCGTCAGGGTTAATCCGGTGAGCGAGCATACGAGCAGACGATCGCGCGAGCGGGCGACTCCGTGAGTCGCCCGCTCGCGGCGCGGGCAAGCGAGCGACTGAGCGCACGGATGCATTGTGGGTAAACCATGAGCGGAAGGATTGTAGGCAACCGTTAAAGCGACGCTGCCACACAAACGGTGATGGGAGGAACGAAGCCAAAAACCTTTCTTGGGGAGAGGATGCAGCACGGCCTCGTGGGTAAACGTGGGACCGTGCGGCCGAGAGGGGGTGGCCCGGAGCAGTGCATCGTGGGTGACGGCGGGGTCATCGGTAGGCAGAAAGATGGGTGACGGGGGATTGGCGAGCCAGGCGGCAGCATCGGATGACGTTCGCCCTGCGCGGAGGCACAGACACCGTCACCGCGCTAACCACGGCCAACAACAATAACAACAGCAACAGCCGCCATTCGCTACATTTAGAAACCGCAACCGACACCGACACCCCCCTCACCACCACAACCACCGCAACAGACACCACACCCCACACCCTCACCGCCACAACCAGCACCACCACCGCCGCCACAACCAACACCACCCCCGCCGCCACAACCAACACCACCCTCGCCATCACCGCAACCACCCTCGCCATCACCACAACCACCAACCGCCATCGCCACCACAACCACCGCGACCGACACCACCCTCACCACCACAGCCACCACCGCGGCTGCCACCACACAAACGTTGACATCAGCTGCCTCGGGCCAATACCGGATGGCGCTGCGTGGTGCCCAGGCTTCACGGCGGTCCCGTGGCATGACGGCCTCAAGTCCGCCACCGTCGGCATGCCGGCGCCCGGCACGACCGGCGTTGCCGTCGGCGCCGGCGGCAGAGGGCGCCGGAAGTCCCGGTGGAGGCCGCGAAGCGCCGACACGGGGTCGGCGGGCCGGGCGGCGCGGTGGCGCTCCTTGCGGAGCCACGCCACGAGCGGGAAGGAGAGGCGGGCGGCGAAGCGGCCCAGCTGACGCACGCGGGCGCCCTCCAGCAGGCGGCGGGCGTGGCGCGCCAGCATGGCGTCCAGGAAGACGTCCTCCGGGGAGCAGCCGGCGCCCGGCAACACCGCCGAAGCCTCCGCCCGCGCCGCGCCGGCGCTGCCCGGGCGGAGGGAGGGGGGGTGGGGGAGGTGCGGGCAAGGTGAACGAGCGGCGCGTGCGAGACGGAGAGACCCTCGTGCGGTTGTGTGCGTGGTTGGTGACGTGTGTACGAGAGACTGGGTATGGTTGTGGTTGCACGCGAGCAATTGTGTGCAGTCGCGGTTGTGTGTGTGAGTGTGTATAGAGGGGCCGCGCCCACCGCCGTACCGTTTGGGGACGTGGCCATCCGGCACGCTCAGGGCCTTGTGCAGCGGCCCGCCCCGCGTGCCCGAGGCTGCGCTGCCCCCGCTGGCGCTGCCCTCCCTGGCCGTCGCCCCACCCGCGGCCGATCCCGCCGGCGCGGCAAACGGCGCTCCGTCGGGCGGCTGCGAGAGGCTGATGCTGCGATGGCGGAAGAACTCGAAGCCGGACGAGGAGGTGGCGCTGGACTCCTGTGTGCGCGAGAGCGAGCGGGAAAGAGCGGGGCGACGAGAGGGAGCGTGAGAGAGCGCAGGATGCGCGTCATGTGTTCCAGTGCACGCGCGCCGACGAGCTCGCCAACGGGCGGGATGACGCGGAGGCGCGCGTGCGTGCCGGCCGACTCACGGAGCCGGGCGGCGTGGCTGGCGCCGCGCCGCCGCCGCCGCCGCCGCCGCCGCCGCCGGCCCCCCCTCCTCCTCCTCCCCCGGCGCCGGCGCCGCCATCGTCGTCACCCCCGGTGCCGATGGCACGCAGGAAGCGGATCATGTTGCGGCACAGGTCCCATCGGCCCTCGTCCAGCGCCGAGTTGAAGAGCAGCGTCGCGTGCTGGCGGCTCAGCGCCGGCGCCTCCATGTTCTGCCGGAGGGGGGGGGGGGCGGAGTCAGGCAAGAGGGTGGGCGTGGTCAGGTAGAGGGTGGGCGTGGCCAGGCAGAGGGTGGGATTGGCCAGGTAGGGGGTGGGCGAGGCCAGGTAGAGGGGTGGGCGGAGTGAGGCAGGAGGGTGGGAGTGGCCAGGTCGAGGGGTGGGCGGAGTCAGGCAGGAGGGTGGGCGTGGCCAGGTAAAGATATTCAGACTGTTGAGGCAAGTGCTGTTAAGCGAGCACCTACAATTTAAACCAGGAAGCGAACCTGCCACAAATGTTAGCTCAACAAAGTGGCTTATCAAATACTACCAAACGCGTGACGTTAATTCTAAAATGTGGAGGACCCGGCAAAAAAAGTCCACGGGGAGAGAGAGAGAAAGAGACGCGCAAACTCCAAATATGCAGCAGGCGTCGGGGGTTGGGATCGAACCCGCGACCTCCTGTATATCAGACGAGGTAGTCAACATCTCTTAGCCACCGTGGTGATGATGATGATGAGAGAGACACGCAGACTCCAAATATACAGCAGCAGCAGGCATTGTCAGGGGTCGGGATAGAACCCACGACCTCCTGTACACCAGGCGAGGTAGTCAACATCTCCTAGCTACCGTGATGATGATGATGAGAGAGACACGCAGACTCCAAATATACAGCAGCAGGCATCGTCAGGGTCGGGAACTTAAAACTTATTTCGCACCGCACGTAGACAACTGCGCTGATTGCAGATGTAGTTAACATCTCGCCACCATTACGAACCTCCCCCATAACCCCCCCCCCACCCCCATGAGGTTCTCGATGCCCCCCGGCCCCGCCACCGCACCTGCAGGATGATGAGATAGGAAGCGGCGGTCTCGAGGTCTCGCGCCACCAGGCACTCCTCGAACAGCTGCTTGGGGCTGCCCACGGCGGCGAACAGGCAGGGCCACAGCGCCACCTCGGACTTGCGGGCGCAATGAGCGACGGTGCGCAGGAAGCCCGGGAAGGCCGCCGCGAACTTGGCGAGCGCCGGCAGCAGGGGGTCCGGCACGGGGGAGCGCGCCATCGCCTCTTCCTCGAGCACGGCGTGCAGCGCCGACTCCAGCGCGTGCCGGAAGTACGGCAGCGAGGAGCAGCCGCGGGCCAGCCACACCGCCGCGTCGCCTGCACGCACGTAGCGGGGGAGGGATCGGGGCGGGGGGGAGGGCGACGGCGCGGCAAGCATCGCGCGGTGAACGTCGCGGTGCGAGGCGGCGGCGGTGCCGACACGTACGGGGAGCCGGCCGCACCGCCACTCCCGGCTGCACCCCTTCCGTGCCCCCCTCCCTGGCCCCCGAGCCCCCTCCATCCACACTCACGCACCCGCTCAGGCCCCACCGCCCCTTTCGGCGCAACCCCTCCCCCACCCCCCCCCCCCCCCCGGCTCTCTCACCGAGATTCCGCGCCAGTAGTCCCCGCAGCACGGCCGGGAGGTAGAGCTGCGACGCACGCTCCGCCACGCAGAACGGCAGCAGGTCGGCCACGCTGCCGCCGCCGCCGCCGGACGAGGATCCCGGCAGCGTCTCGGTGGTGACCCCCAGTACCAGGCCGTGCTCGGCGAGCACCGTCAGCGGGTAGAGCGCCGGCACGGGGAACGGCAGCATGATGCGGCGCGACATGAACGCGTGCTGGAACACGCTGCCCGCGTGATGCTGCTGCTGCTGCTGGTGGTGCTGTTCCTGGTGGTGGTGGTGGTGGCGGTGGCCGTGGTTGAGGTTGTGGTTGTAGCCGTGAAGGGGGCCGGCGGGCCAGCCGCCGTCCGAGGCGGCCGGCGAAAGGGGGAGCCACACCTTCATGCCGGAACGGCCGCAGCCTAACCACAGCACCTCTGTGGCCGGGCCCTGCTGCTGCTGCTGCTGCGGCTGATGCGGCGTGGATTGCGGCTGCGGTTGTGGCCTGGGAGCGGAGTGCCCGGTCGTCCACGTGATTTCCACGCACTCGGCAAGAACCACCGGCGCGCAGAACGACGGCTACGCGGACGGCAAACAGGAGGCGAGACACCGGCGACACACGGGGATCAGAGTCAACGGTGGGATTGGGGTGACGCCTATCGATGGGGAGGTAAAGCGTAAGGAGTCAGGAGGGGTAAGGATCAGTGACCGGTTAGGGGCAGGTTAAGGATGGATTAAGGGTATGGTTAGTGACTGGTTATGGGTTAGGGTAAGAAATGTGTAGAGGGAGAACGTGCATTAGTAACGGTGGGTTCGACATTAGTAGCGAGCGTTACCAGGAGTGTCAGGATGGGAAAGGGGGCGGAAGTTAGCGGGGGGGGGGGGGGGGGTTGGTGGGAGGGACGGGGAGGGGGGGATGGCGGCTGGGGGTGATTCGCCAGCGGATGCGTGCGTGCGATGCCACGGTGGATGATTGGCCAGCGGGTACGTACGTTCTTGCGTGCGAGGGACGCTGCCGAGGAGGTGGATGAGGAGGTGGAGGAGGTCGGATCGTCGCTCACGTCCAGGGGCTGCGGCCCCGAGCGATCTCTCTGCAGCATGAGCAGCTGCCCGGCGACGTTCAGCAGCACACTGTCTCCCGCACACGCCTAGGGAGACAAAGATTCCCCGCCCGCCCCCGCCCCCGTAGCTGCTGAGTCTGCTGTTAGCGAGTAGCAGAACCACGTTTGGGCCACCTTTGTGTCCCCAGTGGCGATGTTTACACACTGCACCGGGTACTCATTTGAAGTTAAGTCGACCTTGGAGAAAGGCCCAGGAACGGTTAAGACAATCGTCACACCGGTGTTGGCCGCGAGCGGGAATCGGGGTGGCCGGCTTCGTAGCGCAGCGTAGCGGGCTAACCGATCCACTACCGCTTCCCACACACACACACACACACGGACGTACACAGACGTACACAGACACACACACAGGGGCGACGCGTGCGCAGGACACGGGGACTGCACCACACCCACCTGCTGTGCGGGCCTCAGGGAGGAAAGCGTCTTCTCAGAGCGCATGCTGGTGAGGGCCACCGACACCACGAGGCCCGGGTGGGGCACGTGGGCCTGCAGGGAGACCCTCTGCAGGGCCCGCAGCGTCACGCCGGGGTGCGGCCTGCAGCCACGCGCGGACACGGGCAACCACGCGCAGACACGAGCAGACACGCGCAGACACGGGCAACCACGCGCAGACACGAGCAACCACGCGCAACCCACGAGCAACCACGCGCAGACACGAGCAACCACGCGCAGACACGAGCAACCACGCGCGGACACGAGCAGACACGAGCAGACACGAGCGGACACGAGCAACCACGAGATGCAGTAAATAACCACCGTCACGTTTTGGCATGCTGCCTGCAGCCACAACCCACGCTCAACCCACGCACGGACCAGAGCAAACAACCCACCCCCCTCCTCCTCCCCACCCACCCCCCTCCTCCTCCCCACCCACCCCCCACCTCCTCCCCACCCACCCCCCACCACCTCCCCGCCTCCCCGCCCCCCCCCCCGCCGCTCACACGTCGAGGGGGCTGCGCTCCACGCTGTAGACGTGCAGCTGGCGGTCGGAGCAGAAGAGGAGGAGGCGCCCGCGGGAGCCGCCCAGCAGCAGCGGCGGCGCCGGCAGCCGCTGCACGTGGGCATGGGCGTTGTCCAGGTTGGAGGCGCGCGGATACACACGCAGCTGGGGGGGGGGTCACGTATGGGGGGGGGGAGGGGTAGTGGTGAGGGTGGGGCGAGGGGCGGGCGGGTCAAATGCAGGGGTCAGACAGTGTAGGGGTTGGCGTGCCGCGCTAGGAACCCGGCGAACCGAGATTCCATTCCCGCTCGCGGCCACCAACACCGGCGACGATTATCTGAACCGGCGATGGGCCTCCCCCCTAGGTGGACTCGGCCTCAAATAAGTTCCCGGCACGGTGTGCGCAAAGATCCGCACTAGGGCGTGGTGCCAGCCGCCAGCCACCCACCCCCCCCCCCGCCACCACGCGTGGCTGTATTGTCCTTCATAGGTGCTGCTATTACTCGCTAACAGCACTTGCCCACTACAGTACGTTAAGGCTATACGGGAGAGCTTTGTGTGTGTAGAGGTGGGTGTGCGCAAGTATAGTGGTGTGTACGCATGTATAGAGGTTCGTGTGTGTGTGTGTGTGTATAGAGGTGTCGGTGCGTGATGCCACCCACCCCTTCGCATGGCCGCATTGTCCTTCATAGGTGCCTGCTACTCGCGAAAAGCACTTGCCCCCAACGGTCTGTTAAGGCTACACGGGGGGATATTTTGTCTTTGTAGAGGCGCTCACCTCGTCCTGCCCCTCGGCAAGGTTGTGGCAGGCGGCAACGATGAAGTCCTGCCACCACACCAGGCCGCCCGTCACCGCCATGCTTTGCTCCTACAGGAGGAACCGCGCGACCCATCACTGCCCGCACCGCCACCATCACCACAGCCACCGCCACCACCCGCACAGCTGCCACCACCACCATCCACATCAACACTACCACCGGCACCACAACCACCACCACTATCATCATCATCTGCACCACAAGAACTACCACGAACTACCAACGACAGCAGCAACAGCCGCCATTCGGCACCGAGTCGTGGTGACGTCACGGCGGCGCACGTGCCAAGCTAGGTGCACTCCGAGGCTATCGCGTGAAGTGTCGAAGGCTCACTGGCTGGTAGGACGTCACGGGACAGACCCAGCAGGTGCCCGACCGACCGAGATGACCGGCAGATGGACCACCACCTGTGCCCCATTACTGAGCCAATAGGAGACCAACTAACACCACCAGTAGCACTCGCTAGCACTATACCACCACTAGCAATATTGCCACTAGCAATACTGGCACACAACCACTACCACCGCCACGAACGCCATCATCATTACCAGCACCGCCAGCACTTGCGCAGACGACGCGTGGACTCCCGGCGATGCGTTACCCCGGCGGGCGCGGCTACCGGGGCAGCGAGGCTAACCTGGGTGATGTTGCCAAAGAGCTTCCACTTGCGGGTGTAGAGCGAGTAGTGGGCGAGGCCGGCACGGCCCGACACGGCCACGCACTGGCCCTGGGCGTCCATAGCGGCGTGCTGTCACCACGGCAAGGGAGCGCACGGCGTTACCACACGGCACCGGCGCAGTCTCACGGCATAGCAGTCTTGCGGCACAGCAACTGAAGCCACAACAGAGCTGTGGTGCGTGTGTGTGTGGTGCGCGTGGATTGTGCGATGTGGTGCGTGTGTGGTGCGCGTGGATTGTGTGGTGTGGTGCGTGTGTGTGTGTGTTGCACGTGGACAGTGTGGTGTGGTGAGTGTGCCGAGCCGGAGTTCACAAGTGCTACTCGCAAACAACAGTCTGTTAAGGAAGGCTATACGGGGGACTCTGCGGTGCGTATGCGGTGCATGCGGTGTATGCGGTGCGTTTTCTATGGTGCGTTTGGTGTATGCGGTGCGTTTTCTATGGTGCGTGTGGTGTATGCGGTGCGTGTCGTGCGTGGTGTGCATGCGGTGCGTGTGTGTGCTGTGTGTAGTGTGGTGCGTGGTGTGTATGCGGTGCACATGTGTGGTGTGTGTAGTGTGTGGTGTGTGGTGCGTGTGGTGTATGCGGAGCGTTTCTGTGATGCGTGGTGTGTATGCAGTGCGTGTGTGTGGTGCGTGTGGTGGGTGGCATGTATGCGGTGTGTGTGGTGTGTATGGTGCGTGGTGTGTATGCGGTGCGTGTGTGTGGTGCGTGTGGTACATGGTGCGGATGCGGTGCATGTGTGTGGTGTGTGTGGTGGGTGGTGTGTATGCGGTGTGTGTGGTGCGTGGTGTGTATGCAGCGCTTGTGTGTGGGGTGTGTGTTGTGCGTGGTGCGTGCTTGTAGTAGACACTCACCCGAATGGGCCAGTTGTTGTCCAGGTAAGAGTTGTGGATCTGAGAGGCGACACGCACGCAAAGACAGAAGAGGGTCGCCCATTATAGCCTTCAAACAGACGGTTGGGGTGTGTGTGTGTGGAAGTTCGTTCACGAGAGGCGGAGCGTCGTGAAAGGTGGCGTGCATCGTGGTGGAGCGTAGTGGTCCACGGTCGTGTAGGGTGGAGCGTGGTGGTTCACGGTGGAGTATGGTGGATCATGGTGGAGTGTGGTGAAAGGTGTTGGATCATGGTGGGGCGTAGTGATTCACGGTGGATCACGGTGGAGCGACGTGAAAGGTGGAGCGTAGTGGCGGTGTAGTGGATGCGTGGCTGCATCCCCCGGCGTCCACCCCCCCCTCACCTGCACTATGTGCCAGTGTCTGTGTCCGAGCAGGAAGGGGGGGCTCGGAGTGTGAGGCCTGGACGTGGGGGGCTCCCCACAGCTCAGGTAGAGCCGATCGTCGCCCTGCAGCAACACCTGCTCCTGATTGCTCTTTGGTGTGGGGAGGGGAATGGGGGAAGAAAGTTGGGGGGGGTGGGGAGAGGTCGGGGGTGGAGACGTAGGGGGCAGAATTTTAACTATTTAAAAAAAATATTTTTTTTACCAGGTAATGTCTCTCTCTCTCCTCGTGGATTTTTTTTTCCTCCGGGATCCTCCGGCGTTTCCCCTCCACATTTACAGAATCAAGGTCACGCATTTTAGAGTTACGTGGCCGCTGCTATAAATTCTCACGAGATGATGATGATGATAATGATATAGTTTAAAAAAAGTTTTGGCTCATGACGACAATGACGATAGCGACAAGGTGATGACTGTGACTCACCACACACGGGTGCAGGGCCAGCGCACTCTTCACAAAGTGCAGGATCAGCAGCTCCGCCTGGTACCCACAATCCTCTTTACTTCCTGCCCCATCGCTGACGTCACTTCCTGCGTCAGGGGGCGGCGTGAGCACCCACAGGGTGTAACCCTCAGGGCCCCAGCTCTGCAACATCGCCGTCATCGGCAACACCGTCATCATAATCAGCAACATCATCATCCGCAACATCGTCATCAGCAACGATCGTAGCAGCAACGATAATAGCAGCAACATCATCATCAGCAACATCTCGTCATCATCAGCAACATCATTATCATTTTTAACAGATAAGGCCTACTGAGCTATTATAGCTCTTTTTCAGAAGCGACCTGGCTATCACAAATGATATCTCCACGAAGTGGCTTATCATCACATGGAAATTTATTGCAGCCAAATACTCTTGAGCGTGCGTCAATTCTAAATGTGGAGGGAAAAATCCACGAGACCACAGAAAAAGAGACACGCAAACTCCAAATATACAGCAGGCATTGTCAGGGTCAGGATCGAACCCACGATCTCCTGTATACCAGGCGAGGTAGTTAACATTTCCTAGCCATTGTGATGATGATAAGATAGAGAGAGACACGCAAACTCCAAATATACAGAAGGCATTGTCAGGGTCGGGATCGAACCCATGACTTCCCGTATACCACGCGAGGTAGTTAACATCTTGCCACCAGGGAGCCCTAAAGTTGTTGTGGCTTGCGTTGGCCATGTCTGACTCACCATAGAGCTGATTTTTAATGGTTCCTTCCGGCTTCCATCGGGATGGAATCTACCAGACACAAATACGAGCATCATCACCACCACCTCAAAGATCCCCCGTGTAGCATTAACAGACTGTTGGGGCAAGTGTTGTTAGCGAGTAGCACTGATGAAGGCTGGTACGGCGCCAGAGGGGGTAGGTGGCCAGCACCACAACAGGTACTCATTTTAGGATGAGCTGACCGAGGGGAGGCCCAGGAACGGTTCAGATAATCGTCACCGGTGTTGGCCATAAGCGAGAACCAATTTCGGGTCGCTGGTAACAGTGCTGGTAGTGCTGCTGGTAGTGCTAGTTGTGCTGGTAGTGCTGGTAGTGCTGGTGGTAGTGCTGGTAGTGCTAGTTGTGCTGGTAGTGCTGGTATTGCTGCTGGAAATGGTAACAGTGCTGGTAGTGCTGTTGGTAGTGCTAGTTGTGCTGGTTGTGCTGGTTGTGCTGCTGGTTGTTCTGGTAATGGTAACAGTGCTGGTAGTGTTGGTAATGGTAACAGTGCTGGTAGTGTTGGTAATGGTAACAGTGCTGGTAGTGTTGGTAATGGTAACAGTGCTGGTAGTGTTGGTAATGGTAACAGTGCTGGTAGTGTTGGTAATGGTAACAGTGCTGGTAGTGTTGGTAATGGTAACAGTGCTGGTAGTGTTGGTAATGGTAACAGTGCTGGTAGTGTTGGTAATGGTAACAGTGCTGGTAGTGTTGGTAATGGTAACAGTGCTGGTAGTGTTGGTAATGGTAACAGTGCTGGTAGTGTTGGTAATGGTAACAGTGCTGGTAGTGTTGGTAATGGTAACAGTGCTGGTAGTGTTGGTAATGGTAACAGTGCTGGTAGTGTTGGTAATGGTAACAGTGCTGGTAGTGTTGGTAATGGTAACAGTGCTGGTAATGTTGGTAATGGTAACAGTGCTGGTAGTGTTGGTAATGGTAACAGTGCTGGTAGTGTTGGTAATGGTAACAGTGCTGGTAGTGTTGGTAATGGTAACAGTGCTGCTGGTGGTTCTGGTAATGGTAACAGTGCTGGTAGTGTTGGTAATGGTAACAGTGCTGGTAGTGCTGTTGGTAGTGCTAGTTGTGCTGGTTGTGCTGGTTGTGCTGGTAGTGCTGGTAGTGCTGCTGGTGGTTCTGGTAACAGTGCTGGTAGTGCTGGCGGTGCCGGAAGTGGTGCCGGGCAGCCCACCCGAAGTCGGCAGCGAGGGTGCACAGCAGCGGCGCTCCGAAGGCGCTCCACGCCGAGAGGCCTCCACGCTCCCAGCTCAGCACGAGCACCGTCCAGTCGGGACTCCAGCGCACGTTCTGCACGGCGCCCGTCCGCTTGCACATGTCTGTCCCGTCCGCCACGACGGCACCGCCACCACAGCCGCACAAAGGCAAAGATTCACCCCCCCCGTATAGCTTCAACACGCTGTTGGGGCAGGTGCTGTTAAAGCGAGCAGCAGCTATGAAGGCCGGCACTGCGGCACACGAGAGGCTGTGGGTGGCCAGCACCACGCCCGACCGCATTGGCCTCATCTGAGGCAGCCATCACCACAACCGCACAAAGACAAAGATCCCCTGCATAGTCTTAACAGATCGTTCGAGCAAGTGCTGTTAGCGAGCGGCAGCAGCTATGAGGGCCGGCACGGCACGAGGGCCTAGGTGGGTGGGAATATTTTTCAGATCCCAAAAAAAAATTGTTGACAATTTTAACCTTCATTTTTCTGAAGCTGGTAATCTTTTTGATAATGTATTGGGAGTCACCCCTGCTCATGCAAATTCCTACACCCCTGTCCAAACACGAAACGAATTTATTTTCCAGCCAATCCACGAAAGTAATGTTCTGAAACAACTGTCCTACCTCAAAGGGTCCTCCTCTACCGGAGCAGATAGTATTCCCGTCTTTGCTCCACTAACTGTTGGTCATCTAATATACAAACCTACAGCCCATTTTTCAACCTGTCCATCAAAGAAGCATCAGTTCCTCTAGAATGGAAACATTCCTATGTCCGTCCACTTCACAAAGGGGGCCCTAAAGATGATCCAGATAACTACCGACCTATCTCAATTTTGTCCCCGTTGATGAAAATTTTTGAAAAATTATTGAACTACCAAATCAGCAGTTTCCTGTCCACCAACAATCTACTACATCTAAAACAATCTGGGTTCCGGAAAAAATACAGCACCACATCTGCTGCATTTGACTTTCTGAATCAGATTTACAGTAGCCTTGATAATAAGCAGTACTGTGCCTGTCTTTTTCTTGACCTGTCCAAAGCTTTTGACACAGTAGACCACAACACCCTGCTTAGTTAACTAAGTTGCCTCGGTTATTCCGAAAACGCAGTAAAATGGTTAAAAAATTACCTGTTTTCTCGCACCCAAAATGTATTCACAGATGGTTGGAGGTCAAACAGTGTTAAGATAACAAAAGGGGTTCCACAGGGTTCCATCCTCGGCCCCCTCTTGTTCTCTCTATATGTCAATGACTTGGGCACTGACCTGGATCATTCCAGGGTAAATCTTTTTGCAGATGACATGATACTGATTACTGCTGGCCGCTCTCCAGATGACGTGATTGCTAAGCTCCAGGGTGATTTCAACAAACTACAACATCAGCTAGTTGCTCTTAAACTAGTCCTGAATACCTCCAAAACCAAGGTGCTATGCTTCTCACCGGGACTAAAGCAGGAAGTTATTTTTCCCCAAGTACATTCCTTAAATAATTATCAAATAGAGCAAGTCAAGATCTATAAGTATCTTGGGGTCATCCTGGATTCAAAACTGAATTTTGAAGATCACATTGATTATATTGGAAAAAAGACAAAAATAAAAATTGGTTTTCTGTATCGACACAAGCACTGCTTCCCCCCTATGTTCCGTTTGGAATTAATAAAAGCTACCATACTGCCTCTACTTGATTACTGTGACATCTTGTATAAATCAGCCCCAAGTACTGTACTGAAGAAGCTTGCTTCCATCTATCACTTGGCCTTAAGATTTACATTGAACTGCCCATATAGGACTCACCACTGTGATCTCTACATTGGGTCAAACTTAACATCTCTTAATGTTCAACGGCTTGTGCACCAGATCTTATTTATTCACGATGTACTTACAAAAAAATCCGCAGACTACCTGCTGAATCTCCTCTCTGTTTCAAAGAACAAATTTGACCTCAGGTCTTTGCTCATTTACCAGCTTCACATTCCCTATTGCCGTATAAAAACTGGAGGAAGGGCCTTTGCTATTGATGCCGCTAGGGTCTGGAATACTACTGCCAATAAACTGCAACTTGAATCACTACCTATGAGATCTTCACTCAAAACTGCCCTAGAGGAGTTGTACACCCCTAACTGCCACTGCTATTCAATGACCTAAAATAAAATAAAATGTTTCGCTCCGGATGACCGCTACAAAGTATTATCTGTATTTTGATTTAGTGTGCTGATCTTAAAGGTGCATTGAAAAATTTGATACTCCGACTGATGCTCCTGTTGTTGTGGAGTGACTCATGCAGCCAGCTATGGCTCTAGGGTTTGGTGTTACATGTTATTTATGTAGTTTATTGTTAAAAATTCGGTCACAGTCCCTATGATCACTGTTACATTGCATTTATGGCTTTATTTTGATTTCGAAAACGTTTTTTGGTTTGGCCATGTTTTTATTTATTGTAGTACGGAGTTAGACTGATGGCCTTAATCTAAGTTGTCTTGTGGTTGTTGTTTGACTTGCATCCCACTGGGATTTTTGCACACAGCATTGGTGTATGGTGCTTTTTCAGGAATATTTTGCTGTTTTTTTTCCTGGATTTTCTGTTTACATAGTCACTTTAAGATGTTTTCCTGTTCTTGTTCATGTTTTTTGTTTGTTGCAGTTACACCCGATTCAAGAGCCGAATGGCTCACAGGGCTATACCAAACAAATGAAACTGAAAACTGAAAAACTGAAACGGCCGATCTCCCGCCTTTGTCTCCCCCAGTGGCAATGTTTTACTACGCACTGCACCAGGTTACTCATTCGAGGCCGATTCGTTCCGAGGGGGGGGGGGGGCCCAGGACTGGTTCAGGCAATCTTCAACGGTGTTGGCCACGAGCGACGGGGGGGGACTCGAACTCGGGTCTACGATGACACAAGAGCGTTTTTTTTAGCTCATCGGATTCCACCTCGGGAATCTTGATTCCACGGCCCCAAGCGCACCCACGGCCACCGGCCGGCCAGGCACGGCGCACCCCCCTTTCCTCCTTACCGGGGTAGTCTTTGGCCGTGAGCTCCAGCCGATGGGACAGCTGCAGCGCTCCAGCGACAGTGTCCATGGCGTAGACCAGCACGCAGCCACTGCAGCACACACAGACAAAAAAAAAGGTGTCCCCCCCCGCCCCCAACCTTCCATATAATCAAGGCTTTTGTTTTGGGCTCAGACTGCGTAAATATATGAATGCGTCGTACCAAAACCCACCGCCGCCACCACCACCACCACCACCACCCAACGCTCAAGTAAGGTTGGTTTAACGCGTCGGTTTTTGCGACCAATATTCATGATATAGGTTTTTTTTTGGGTTAGATCGTACTCAAGACTGTAAATGTTGTGGAATTGCTCTCCAACACACTGCTGTACTAGTAACGAATAGGCACGTTCAGATCACGTGACAAACCTTACTAATTGGCTGTGTCGGGCGGTGGCGGGTTTAACGACACTTTTATATATTTACGCGATCTAACCCAAAAAAAACCTGTATTATGGATAAGTGAGGTTGCATCGAGGTTTTTTGGGTTCGACCACGTAAACTATAAATGCGTCGTTCAAACCGCCACCGCCCGACCGACCTCGGGGATCTTCCGCGTTGGGGTCTTTCCACTTTCCAACAAGGTGAACGGCCCTTGGGGCCACGAGCTTCGTGGAAGATCGAGCCTCAAGGTGAAAGACCTGACACAGAATCGAAGGTTGGCTAGCTAAGACGACGATTGCTGCTGCTGCTGCTGCTGCTGCTATGACGACTACGCCACCAGGGGGCGGCACGAGACCCGGCCTAGGGCCAGTGACGTCACCTGCGGCAGCCGAAGGCGAGCAAGCGGTACTTGTTGTTGGCGGCGACACAGCTCCCGTCCGCCACGTCGGGCGCCCACACGCCCAGCACCTGCTGCTCGCACGGGAGAGTTGAGGGGAGAGTTGACGGGAGAGTTGAGGGGAGAGTTGAGGGGAGAGTGAGCGAGCGGACGAGCAAACGATCGCGGCGGCGGGCAAAGCGAGCAGTTTAACGCACGGGCAAGCGATTTGGGGCAAAGTGAGCCGGCGGGCAGGGACGGGGGCAGGTGGGCGAGTGGGCGACAACGACCGGGGCGAGCGGGCGATAATCAATCGGGTCAAGCGAACGCGGACGGACAACCGAGCCGGCAAGCGGATGGGCGAGCGATGCCTCACGTCCGTGCAGGAGTCGGCGGCGGTGATGAAGCCGGCGCGGCCGTCGGTGAGGACCACGGCGAAGCCACCAAGCGTCTGGCAGAAGGCCATGTCCCGCACGCTTACCGGGCGCGGCGGCAGCGGCGCACCTGGTTGCGGAACAGACAAAGACGTTGGGGGGTGTGTCCCACCACCCTGTAGCCTTAACAGACCTTTCACGTTGCTGTGATCTACCATACTCCACCATGAAACACCATACTCCACCACGCTCCACCACGATCCACTATGATCCACCATGAACCACCACACTCCACCACACTCCACCACACTCCACCACGATCCACCATACTCCACCACGCTCCACTATGATCCACCATACTCTACCATGAACCACCACGCTCCACCATGATCCACCATACCCCACCACGATCCACCATGATCCACCATGAACCACCACGCTTCACCATGAACCACCACGCTCCACCATGATCCACCACAATCCACCATACTGCACCATGAACCACCACACTCCACCATGAACCACCATGATCCACCATACTCCACCATGATCCACCACACTCCACCATGAACCACCACACTCCACCATGAACCACCATGATCCACCATACCCCACCATGAACCACCACGCTCCACCCTACACGACCGTGGACCACTACGCTCCACCACAATGCACACCACCTTTCACAACGCTGTGCCTCTCGTGAACCAAGTTCCACACACACACACCCCAACCGTCTGTTTGAAGGCTATAACGGGCGACCCTTCTGTCTGTGCGTGCGTGTCGCCTCTCAGATCCACAACTCTTACCTGGACAACTCGCTCCTACAAGCACACACCACGCACTACACACACCACACGCACCGCGTAAGCCCCACACGCACCGCATACACAGCACATACTCCACGCGCATACCATATACAAAGATCCCCCGTGTAACTTTAACAGACTGTTGGGGTAAGTGCTGTTAGCGAGTAGCAGCACCTATGAAGGCCGGTACTGTGGCACACGAGGTGGTGGGTTGCCAGATCCACGCCCGGCCGCCTTTGTCACCCCAGTGGCGATGTTTACTACACACGTCACACATTCATGAGTCTCTTTAAAGGCCATCTTGTGACATGGCCATCATGGGCCCGCTGATGGAGAGGGGGACACCCAGACCCAGGGCTCGAATTCGGTCTCTCAACTCGGCTGGTTTCAGCGACGACGCCAGTAAGCAGGCGACCCCGTGACTCCGTGGACCACCGCAACCCTGCATCATCGCTGAGCTCACCGGCAGCCGACTGAAGGTCGACCGCAAAGGGCACAGTGCAAAGGTCGAGCGCCTTCCTCCCATTGGTCAACCCGTCCCAGCGCAGATGGTGCAGCTTGCCATCCGTTGTCGTGGCAATGATGTCATCGGGCAGTGAGATGAGGCTATGAGGAGGGGAAGAGAGGGAGGTAGATGAGGGAGGGAGGGAGAAGAAGGGTTATAGAAGAGATAGGAGACATCTGGCCAGTGTGGAAGAGTAGGCCAAATACCCTCTCTCGCACAGGCTTTTCTGCCAGCAGGGGCGCACGCGAGCAACTGCAGCGCTGTGTCCGTACCTTCACCTGCGCGCAGAGACACTTGCAACACACAGGGGTGCGTTACTAAACTAAAGCTGTTGAATTGTTGTTGTTGTCGTCGTCGTGATCGGAAAGGCCGGGCGGAGGGCACCCGCCGGACCCGGACGCCCGCGCCGCGTGAAGCGGCAGCTGTGGCCGGAGGGTGAAGCCACTTCAGTCGAGAGAGAGAGAGAGACTCTCAATCACTCACCCACTGCTCGATTCCCCCCCGCCACTCTCGCGTGCGCGTGCATGTTGAACTTCGCGTGGTGCGAACGAAGTTCACACCGTACGTAGCCAACTGTGCTAATCAGAGGAGCAGTGTTGAGTCTGTGGTGCAGTGTTGAGTCTATGGTGCAGTGTTGAGTCTATGGTGCAGTGTTGAGTCTATGGTGCAGTGTTGAGTCTTTGGTGTAGTGTTGAGTCTATGGTGCAGTGTTGAGTCTATGGTGCAGTGTTGAGTCTATGGTGCAGTGTTGAGTCTATGGTGCAGTGTTGAGTCTATGGGCAGTGTTGAGTTGAGTCTATGGGCAGTGTTGAGTCTATGGGCAGTGTTGAGTCTATGGGCAGTGTTGAGTCTATGGTGCAGTGTTGAGTCTACGGGCAGTGCTGAGCCTACGGGCAGTGCTGAGTCTGTGGGCGGTGTTGAGTCTACGGGCAGTGTTGAGTCTACGGGCAGTGCTGAGTCTACGGGCAGTGTTGAGTCTATGGGCAGTGTTGAGTTTATGGGCAGTGTTGAGTCTGTGGTGCAGTGTTGAGTCTGTGGTGCAGTGTTGAGTCTGTGGTGCAGTGTTGAGTCTATGGTGCAGTGTTGAGTCTATGGTGCAGTGTTGAGTCTATGGTGCAGTGTTGAGTCTATGGTGCAGTGTTGAGTCTATGGGCAGTGTTGAGTTGAGTCTATGGGCAGTGTTGAGTCTATGGGCAGTGTTGAGTCTATGGGCAGTGTTGAGTCTATGGTGCAGTGTTGAGTCTATGGTGCAGTATTGAGTCTATGAGCAGTGTTGAGTCTATGGGGCAGTGTTGAGTCTATGAGCAGTGTTGAGTCAATGGTGCAGTGTTGAGTCTACGGGCAGTGCTGAGTCTACGGGCAGTGTTGAGTCTGTGGGCAGTGTTGAGTCTACGGGCAGTGTTGAGTCTACGGGCAGTGCTGAGTCTACGGGCAGTGTTAAGTCTATGGGCAGTGTTGAGTCTATGGGCAGTGTTGAGTCTATGGGGCAGTGTTGAGTCTATGGGCAGTGTTGAGTCTATGGTGCAGTGTTGAGTCTACGGGCAGTGCTGAGCCTACGGGCAGTGCTGAGTCTGTGGGCGGTGTTGAGTCTACGGGCAGTGTTGAGTCTATGGGCAGTGTTGAGTTTATGGGCAGTGTTGAGTTTATGGGCAGTGTTGAGTCTATGGTGCAGTGTTGAGTCTATGGTGCAGTGTTGAGTCTATGGTGCAGTGTTGAGTCTATGGTGCAGTGTTGAGTTTATGGGCAGTGTTGAGTCTATGGTGCAGTGTTGAGTCTATGGTGCAGTATTGAGTCTACGGGCAGTGTTGAGTCTACGGGCAGTGCTGAGTCTACGGGCAGTGTTGAGTCTATGGGCAGTGTTGAGTCTATAGGCAGTGTTGAGTCTATGGGCAGTGTTGAGTCTATGGGCAGTATGTATGTTGAACTTTTTTCGCACCATACATAGCCAACCGTGCTGATTGGAGGTGCGGGGAAAGGACGACAAACTAAAGGCAAAAAGTAGTTATAAAGAAATGAGTTTAACACGTAGCTTTCGCGACCAATATCATTCATAATACAGGTTTTTTTTTGGGTTAGATCGCGTAAACATATAGATGTGTCATTAAACCCGCCACCATCCGACACAGCCAACTAGTAAGGTTTGTCACGTAAACAGAAGGTGCCAATCTAGATTTGCCAATTCATTACTAGTACAGCACACCGGTGTGTTGGAGAGCCAAGCCACAATATTTACAATTTGAGTATGACGTTTCGACAGGAATTACAACTGGTTTCATCAGGCCACAGCCAGATTTGTCACCTGATGAAGCTAGATGTAATTACTGGCATGTTCTGTTTATGTAACAAACCTTACTAATTGGCTGTGTCGGGTGGTGGCGGGTTTAACGACACTTTTATATATATTACGCGATCTAACCCACAAAGCTGTATTATGGATAAAGAAATGAGTTTGTCAATCTAGATGGTTCAAAAGTACACGGCTCCAGTGGCTTCCTAATCAGAAGGAAGAGCGGTCCAGACGGCCGCAGAAGCGCATCTGATAACGCGCTATGCAGTGACCATCTTTGTTCGATGGTCAGCCAAAAGCCAATGCTGCCACGAGGATGAACGGCGTTCGCGTGATGATGGGCTGATGCTCCTTGATGAGACCAGCAAGGTACTGTGACTCATTTGTGGCAAAGCAAATGATGAAAGGGGCTTTGATGTTGAAGGTGATGCACATCTTGCGTTGATGGTGTTTATGCCAATGGTGGCCTTGTTGTAATTGGTATTGGCAGTTGGTGTTAAGTGTTGTCGATGACGACGGTGGCCGTGATGATGATGACGACGGTGGCCGTGATGATGATGACGGTGGCGGTGTTGTCGATGACGACGGTGGCCGTGATGATGACGGTGTTGACGACGGTGTTGTCGATGACGACGGTGGCGGTGTTGATGATGACGGTGGCGGTGTTGATGATGACGGTGTTGACGACGGTGTTGACGGTGGCGGTGGACGCACCAGGAGATGGAGGCCTGGATGTCGAGCACACGGCCGAGCTCCAGGGACAGCGCCGGCACGCGCTGCTCGTCCTTGTAGCCCGGGACGCCCCTCCGCACCGGGCTGCCCCTGCCAGAATCACAAAGACAAAGGTTCCCACCGTATAGCCTTTAACAGACTGTTGGGGCAAGTGCTGTTAGCGAGTAGCACCTATGAAGAACGGCACGGCACACGATGGGGTGGGTGGCCATCATCACGCCCGGCCACCCGATGTCTCCCCCCGCCATGGCGATGTTTACACATCACACCAGGTACTCATTGAGGCTGAGTCGACCTAGGGGAGGCCCCAGGCTCAGAAAATGTATCGTCACCGATGTTGGCCGTGAGCGGGAATCAGACTCGGGTCACCGGATTGGTAGTGAAGTCTGCTAACCACTGTGTCACAGCTCCTCACACTCACAGACATACACAAACACACATTCAGGGAACACACTCAGGGCACGCAACAATAAGACAAAGAACCCCCGCTTAGCAGACTGTTGGGGCAAGTGCCGTTAGCAAGTAGCACCTTTGAAGAACGGCACGGCACGAGGGGGTGGGTGACCAGCACCACACATTGGCCGCCATTGTCTCTCTCGTGGCAATGCTTTTAAACACTGCACCACACACACACGCTCAGCTCACACACACACGCCTACACACACACACACAGACCTGTGGTCGACAGCCAGGTAGAGGCTGTTCTCCTCCCCTCCCACCAGCAGCACGTCGAACAGCAGCACATAGCCCCGTCCCGTCTGCAGCAGAGCACACACAAAGCGCGCACACACACAGCACACAGACCACACACACACAGACGGAATACCGGCACAGCACACAAGAGACGGCAATACGATTACAAAGTGGATCGCAGGGCAACCTAAACGCGATGCTCGGGTACAACAGAACAGCGAGCATATTTACTTCAGAGGAATTTCGCCTGGGGCACTGGCACATGTCTTCGCAACTCAGTGGGGGGTAGGGGGTGTGGGCGGGGGGTGTCGGCGGGGGGTGGGAGTGGGGAGGTGGGTGGCGAGATGCAGGGAGCAGCGGTGGCTAGGAGATGTTACTACCTCGCCTGGTGTACAGGAGGTCGTGGATTCGATCCCGACCCTGACGATGCCTGCTGCTGTATATTTGGAGTTTGCGTGTCTCTCTCTCTCTAATCATCATCATCATCACGGTGGCTAGATGTTGACTACCTCGCTTGGTATGCAGGAGGTCGTGGGTTCGATCCCGACCCTGACGATGCCTGCTGCTGTATATTAGGAGTTTGCGTGTCTCTCTCTCTCTCTAATCATCATCATCACGGTGGCTAGGAGATGTTGACGACCTCGCTTGGTATGCAGAAGGTCGTGGGTTCGATCCCGACCCTGACGATGCCTGCTGCTGTATTTTTGAAGTTTGCGTGTCTCTCTCTCTCTCTAATCATCATCATCATCACGGTGGCTAGGAGATGTTGACTACCTCGCTTGGTAAGCAGGAGGTCGTGGGTTCGATCCCGACCCTGACGATGCCTGCTGCTGTATATTTTGAGTTTGCATGTCTCTCTCTCTCTCTCTCTAATCATCATCATCATCACGGTGGCTAGGAGATGTTGACGACCTCGCTTGGTATGCAGAAGGTCGTGGGTTCGCTCCCGACCCTGACGATGCCTGCTGCTGTATATTAGGAGTTTGCGTGTCTCTCTCGCTTCCCGTGGTCGCACGGATATTTTTTTTCCTCCGGGTCCTCCAGTGTTTCCCCTCCACGATGAGACTCGACGTGATGCGTTTAGAGTATTTGGCTGCTGCTACAAATTTCAGAATCAGAAGATGTACTTATAGTGGAGGAATCCGATAAGCCTATAAAGCTCTATTTCACAGATCTCCAATAGGGGCATGGGGTCAAAAAGTAACAAATTCCACGTGATAAGCCACTTCGTTGAGCTATCATTTGTTATGGTCAGGTCGAACCCCTCTTAACGACCACCCTGTTAACAACGAATCGCTTAACGACGGGCCTCCATAGAGCCCAATGTGTAGTGTGTAATGTAGTTTATAGGAGTGTAGTGTAGTGTAGTGGATAGTGGTGTAGTGCCTCCATAGAGCCCAATGTGTTCGCTTACAGACTATTCCCTGTTAACGACGGGCTGTTGAAGGTAGGTACAGTAAACATGAATTAATGCATCGATTACAGATAGTGCCCGAGTTACGATGGTCCGACTTACGATATTTCGATCTTACGATGGCGATAGCGATACGACACAATTGTAAAATATTTTAAATTTTGCGCGGCAGGCAAACGCAGCAGCGTACGAGGTACGATACTGTATGTTGGGACGCTGCCGTGATGTAAGCATCTCCCGCCTTGTGTGGTGATGCCTCACTCTCACCAGCGGTCGACAGAGTTAAGTTGTCTCGGTGTTAGCGCGTGTATTTTTTCCTGTGTTTTTTGTGTTTCAAAGCATGTTAAAAGTTTTTATAGCAAATAGGATTGTTTCCTGAAAAAAACTTTCTATTAAATTGCAGTTCACATCGGTAGGCTAAGAATTTACCTTGTTTTTTTACTTTACATTTTACTGTACAATACAGTATTGTAATTAATAAATACATACAGTATATAGTTTATACAGTACGGTACTGTAAATTGCTCTGTTTTGCTCAATTATCACCATTCTTTAAGGCTCCTGGGTAGGCTAGGGCCATCTTCGACTTATTTTTGACTTACGATGGGGTCGTCGTAACGCATCTCCATCATAAGCAGAGGACGACCTGTAACCAAGTTTCTTTTAATATTACGTGTTTATAATGTTGCTCGTATATTTATGCATTAATATCCATTGTTTAAATATTATAAAGCACGTTTTTCTGAGTGAAAAACGGGTCACTTTCGATGCTATCGGAACGAATTTAGCCCTCAACGCGTATTTCCTATGCTCGCATAACGACCAAATCGCTTAACGACAAAGTCGCTTAACGACCGGTATCGTGGAACCAATTGCCGTCGTTAAGAGGGGGTACTACTGTATAGCTCAGCCAGCCTTTACCTGATTAAAGTTTTTACTTTTAATAGATGATAGTTTGTGTCCCCGCAGTGCCAACCACGCTACATCCACCAGGCTCCATTACCCAGCCGGCTGGGCAGGCAATCAAGCGGGTGGAGGGAGACCGGGGGAATGCTTCTCTCACGCGATCAACATCTGCGTGCCACACGGCCGTGTTGGCATTGCCACGATAGGGGTACGGTGGGGGGGGGGCGAGGGGGGTACCGGGGGGGGGGGGGGTAGGACAATAACCGCAGGCGTGTCCCAGTGAAGGAGGAAATCGGGCGCAGGGAATTCGCCGAGGCTGTGAGGGAAGTTGCCGCGGAATTCATGCAGCAGTGGATAGATGACGGTCAACGACGACGATGACGGAGGAGGGGGGGGGGGGGCGAGACCTCACCGTCACAGCGATGCAGCTGCTGTCCACCTTCCACGCTGCCCGCTCGTACGCGCCCAGCTGAGCGAGTGCCTTGAGGGACGAGCGCCGGCTCACGACCAACACGCTGGGCTGTGGGGCAAGGGGGGGGGGACGTGGGGGGGGGACAGGAAGGAGAGCAACGTCGTTAGGGACATCAGCAGACAATATCATCATACAATAGGGCGCCACGGTGGCGAGATATTAACTACCTTGCCTGGTATGCAGGAGGTTGTGAGTACGATCCCCAACCCTGCCTCCTGCAGTATATTCGGAATGTGTGTCTCTCTCTCCCCGTGGTCACGGGGATTTTTCTCCGGCTCCTCCGATGATGCCTCCACGTTTAGAATCAACGTCAAGCATTTACTGTATTTGGCTGCTATAATTTTCCACTTGAAAGGCCACTTTATTGAGCTATCATTTGCGACAGCCAAGTCGATTCCCAACAAAAAGAGTTTAGTTTATATCGACGTGGCGCAACGATATTGTACCGACCAGATGTGATCCATGATGTCGTCTAAAACTTTCAACAAAGTTCCAGGCTAAAATGTGTGACAAGGCCATTATGAACCCCACAAGACAAGAGGCACCCCCCCTCTGAACACGACCATCATGAACCCCAAAAGACAAAAAACCCCCTGTGAACACGACCATCATGAACCCCACAACACCAGCACTCCTCCCAAGTCTCCCTGGGCCGGCCTCTGCAATCAGCGACTTAATCAACGTCAACCACCGTGGCTATCGTCGCGATCGTCGGCAAAACATTTTTTCAAGTTAATTTTTTCGTCCCAAACACAGCAGTTTCCCGTACGCAACGCCGGGGAGAGGGAGGGTGAAGAGTGGAGGCAGGGAGACACATGAAAGCATGCGCACGCAGACACGTACAGACACACAGGCACGCACAAGCACAGACATGCACTGACACGCACGCACGTACACAAACATCCGCAAACGCAACGTACGCATGTGTGTTTGTGGAACTTCTTCCGCACCGTACGTGGCCAACCGTGCTAATCGGAGGTGCGGGGGGGACAGGGCAACAACAAACTAAAAACACAAAACGCGCAAGGGGTAGCTCACGGGCACACATCCGCACAGGTACACGTTGTCGCGTGCGCGGATGGGCACAAACGCATGCAAGGTCGCTTGTAGTTGGGCACGCACACGTAAGTAGACTGCCAAAAAATACGCAGGCAAGGATCTCCCCCCCCCCCCCCCCCTATAGTCTTTACAGACTGTTTGGGCAAGTGCTGTTAGCACGCCATGTCCGGTGCCGATGTTTACACACTGCACCAGATACTCATTTATGGTTAAGTCGAGCTGTTATTGGTCGTGAGCAGGAATCGAACTCGGGTTGCCGGGATTAGTAGTGTAGTGCGCGCTAACCACGGCACTACCGCTCTCCATGTGCACAAACACGCAACGGCAAAGATCCCCTGTATATCCTTTAATAGGCTGTAGGGGCAAGTGCTGTTCGCGAGTAACACCTATAAAGGCCGGCACGGCACACGGGGGGGGGGTGGTTGGCCAGCATCACGCCCGACCGCCTTTGTCTCCCCAGTAGCGATGCTCACACATTGCACTAGGTACTCATTTGAGGATGAGTCGACCTAGGGTAGTCGGCCCAGGACCGGTTCGGGTAATCGTCACTGGTGCTGGCCGTGAGCAGGAATCGAACTCGGTTTGCCGGCTTCATAGTGCAGGGCGCTAACCGCTGCGCCACGACTCCCCATGGTCTTAGTGTCACGCACTCACTCACAGAGACACGCACGTTCCACGTACTCGCACACACACGTGCCACGCACTCACATAGATGTACGAACGCTCTCTCGCACATTCCCACACAATAACACACAACACACACAACACATGCACTCTCACGCGCACACACCCACTCACACGAAGACAAAGATCCCTTGTAGACACTCCAGACTGTGGGGGCAAGCGCTGTTAGCGAACACCAATTAAGGCCGGCACGGCACACGAGGGGGTGGGGTGGCCGCAACCAAGCCCGGCCACCTTTGTCTCCCTAGTGGCGATGTTTTTACATATTGCACCAGGTACCCATTTTAGGTCGAGTCGATCCAGGGGAAGCCCAAGACTGGTTCAGATAATCATCACCGGTGTTGGCCGTAAGCGGGAATCGAACTCGACGCCGGGTCGGGTAGAGAAGTCTGCTGACCATTGTGTCACCGCTCCTCAAGACTCAGCCACACACACAGATACAAACATCCCCCGTATAGCCTTTAACAGACTGTAGGGGCAAGTCCAGCTCGCGAGCACCTACGAAGTCTGGCACGGCACACGAAGGGTTGGGTGGCTGGCACCAACGCACGACCGTGAGCGAGAATCGAACACTGGGTCACCGGGTTCGTAGCACGCGAACCGCTGCGCTAACGCTCACCCACGACTGGCAGTGCACACACGCACGCACACTCGTACGTACGTACGCGAGCGCGCCACGCAGCTCACCCGTGCGTTCTTTCCGCTCGTGAATTTTTCACGCAGCGCGACACGCGATCCCATCCACAGCGGCGCACACAGCAAAGCCCCCCCCCCGCCCACCGCCCCCCCCGTGTAGCCTTAACGGACTGTCGGGCCAAGTGCCGGTAGCGCTGCAGCGGCGTCTACAAAGGCCGGGCACTGTGGCTCGCGAACGGGGTGGGTGGGTGCGTGGCTAGCACCATGCCCGGCCACATTTCAGTGGCGATGTTAACACAACCGTTCCAGGTACACATGTTCACAAACACATACAAGTTCACACACGCGCACAAACAAGTTCACATGCACACGTACACAAACAAGTTAGCACGCACACAAACAAGTTCGCACGCACACACAAGTTCACACGCACACACACACACACACACAAGTTCACACGCACACACACACACACAAGTTCACACGCACACACACACACGCACGAATAAGTTCACACGCGGGCACAAATTCCAACGCGGGAACAAACAAGTTCACACGCACACACGCATGCGCGCGCAACAACAACCGCCATTCGCCACTAAGTGGCGGTGACATCACCACGGCGCTTGTGCCAGGCTATGTGCACATTGATGCCACGTGGAGTGTCGTGTGCATGCGCGCGTGCACACACACACACAAGTTCACACACGGTGCTTGCCAATTTGGGGGGGGGGTGGTGGATTGTCTTTTTTTTCTCTTGCCGCGCATACTTTCCGCGCGCCTTCAACCCGCTTGGCCGGGGCCGAGCGTTCTTTTTTCTTTTTTGCCGGCGCTGGGATTTGGGAACTCGCCGCTTTGGAAACAAAGAACAGGCGTGGGTGGAGACCCCCTGCTAAAAAAACACAACGCACACACACAACGTTGGCACAGCGGTGGAGGGGCACAGGTGGCGCAATCGGCCAGTCATCTCAGCAGGGAGACAAAGGCGGCCACGCGTGGGGTTGGACACCCAACCCCCTCGTGTGCCACAGCGCCGGCATTCATAGGTGCTCACTAAGAGCACTTGCTCCAGCAGTCTATTAAGGCTATATGGGGGATGTTTGTCTCTGGTGGGGTAGAGTGGTGCATTTTCCAGTCATCTCAGTCAGTCAACCCATGGTACCTGGGTCTGTCCCGTGACCTCCCGCCAGTAGGCGTTCCGACACTTCACGTGCCTTAAAGTGCACTTAGCCTGGCACAGGCGCCGTGGTGACGTCACGGCCACCTAGTGGCGGATGGAGGTTGTTATTGTGTGGGGGAGCGGTAGCGCGCGCTGGACTAGACCCGAGTTCGATTCCCACTCGCGGCCAACGCCAACGACGATTATCTGAACCAGTCCTGGGGCCCTCCTAGGTCGACTCGGCCTCAAATGACTACCTGGTACGGTGTGTAGTAAACATCGCCTCTAGGGAGAAAAAGGTGGATGGGTGTGGCATTGGCCACCCACCCCCTCGTGTGCCGCGCAGGCCTTCAAAGCTGCTGCTCGCTAACAGCACTTGGCCCAACAGTCTGTTAAGGTTACAAGGGGGGACTTTGTCTTAGCACGCGTGGGTGAATTGTGAGGGGCGGCATCGTGGCGACTGGTGCCGCTACGCTACGAACCCGACATAAACCGTGGGTCTCTATGCGGCCACCAAACAGTGGCGGTTATCTGAACCGATCCTGGGCCTCCCCTAGGTCGACTCAGCCTTGAATGAGTACCCCTCGTTCGATGCGCACACACTGGGGAAGACAAAGGCGGTCGGGAGTGACGCTGGCCACGTCGCCCGCTTGTTGCGTGCCGTGCCGGCCTTGAAACGCCACTCGCGAACAACATCTGCGTGTCTGTGATGCAACACGGAGGGGTCAGGGGTTCAGTGTGGGGTGGTTTAGACAATGGGGGAAGGAAATTCCTGGGGAACCCCGAGAGTTGCGTTCGCGTTTAACTCGTCACAGATGCACGCTCAGCGACAGCAGCAAGAACGGCTGGCGTGTGCAAACACACGCATGGACAATCACACTTAACCTCGCAAACAAATCAACGACAGAGACACCCCCCCTCCACCCACGTATAGCCTTAACAGACTGTTGGTGCAAGTGCAGCAGGCACTCATTTGAGGCCGAGTCGACCTAGGGGAGGCCCAGGAGCTGTTCAGACACTGGCCACTGTTTTGTTGGCCGTGAGCAGGAATCAAACTCGGGTACATGCTGGGTTCGTAGCGAGGCAACACTAACCACTACGCCACCGCTCCCCACGATACCAAACAAAAAACGACAAAGCTGCCCCGTATAGCTGTTACAGACTGTTCGGGCAAGTGCTGCTAGCGAGCGGCAGCACTTGCGACAAAGATAAAGATCCCCCGTGTAGCCATAGTAACAGACTGTTGGGGCAAGTGCTTTTGGCGAGTAGCGGCGCCTATGAAGGCCAGCACGGCACACGAGGGGGTGGGTGGCCAGCGCCACGCCCGGCCACACACGCGTAATTGCCTCATCGCGCGCGCTCTGGCAAGTGCGCGACCGGCCGCGGCTCGTCAACGAGCGGCCGCGCGACGGCAAAACCGGCTCGCGCAACGAGACGGGGGGGGGTAGGGGGGCGTGGTGGGGGGACGTCGGAGCGGCAACCTTGTTGCCACGTGTCGGGGAAAAACAAA